ATTATAATAAAATTATTATAATAATTACAATTTTAAGTTGCTTATATCTTTAAGTAAAAAATATTTCTACATATGAAGTCATCAATATATTTTTTTAAATGACAACCTTAACTTTTTATTTGAAGTTTATAGAGCGCAAATGTTCTTGAACAGGTCTTGCAAAATGGGAAAGTATACGTCATCTAGTATACTAAAAGTATACCGTCAATGGGAAAGATCTGCGTCAGGAAGATCGGCAGAAATTAAAATTCAAGACTTGGGATTTTGGGATAACCCTTCTAAAAGGTATGTATTGTTATTTAGATTATCGTTGAAGAATATTGGAGCTATCAATTATTGTATTAGCTACTTACAAGATTAAACCAAAGTAGTACCAGTTAAAAAGAAATTCAAGTAAAAACTTTATCACTTGACGAGAAACCATTAGGTTCGCGGTTTAATTACCTCAGCAGTATATTAATACGAATCTGGCTCGTGTATGTCTATACAGTAATTACCTTTAATTACTCAACAGACACAGAACAAATTGACATACGAATGACGAAATTTCTTAGTTCATAACATATATAAATACAGGGAGTAGTTTTTTTTGGATGTAATACTTAAAAATACATACACACTTTTCTTTGTACATATTTTTTAGTAGCCAATAATGTATGTAAAATGTTTACCTTATTTTTACCACCAAAGTGATGTAGCATCTGACGTGGCACGTAATCTGATAAGTAACATGCATCTAGCAAGTTACGTCGAATTGAACAAACGACAATAAGTGTGTCAGCGCACACTGAAGTAGCGCTGTCAGAAACGTGTCATTTGTCGTTGTAGCATGCCATGCCACTGCTTCAAAAATAAAACTGGTTCTACTTTTCGCCACGTGCTTTGTACACGTTACTCGAATTTGTCAAAAATGAAGGACGATCCGGACTTCAATATACGTTTTGTATCACTGATTGATACTAAACCATGCATTTATGAGCACACTCCTGCCGATTATTCCAACAGGAATAAACAAGACTTGGCATGAGAACAACTTTTCTAACTAGCACATCAAAGGTTTCTTTTTTCATTCTATAAGTGCTTGAAATCTTTCAGGAGAGATATTCAATTTCTTAAAAACGCTAAATACACTGTTTCTTGGTCTCTTTTTGCAATAGGGGTGTATCCAATAGTGACGCTTTGGATAATTTTGGGTCATTTTAATTAGATTTACAACTGCTAACAAATCTTCATCCCCTGAGGACATGTTTACGCCACTGCCACATTACTTATATGTGCGCTTCCTCATCATATTAACATCGAAATCAAATTTATCATGTCTAAAAACTCCCAGACACCAGTTGTTATCCAAATATCAACGTTAGTATAAATACCTAAACACAGAACATACTGTTACGTTTTTCGTCGGTTCCGTGTGGATAGAAAGTCACAATTTATTTAAACACTATTTATTTAACACTAATTAACAAAAACAATAACGATAAAAGACTTATAGAACTATTTACAACGATTTATAACTAAGAATTTATTTTTAATTTTAGCGCGTCAACTGTATATTTATAACTGCCCTCTCTAGGCCACTGCCGCCGGCTTTTATACCGACAGGTAAAAGAAATCTAGAATAGTCCAAAGATCGTTAGGCGCATAGAGAAGGTTTTCGAATGTTCTCGTATGTACGAGTCCATTCTAGTGGGTCTCGATTCTTCTCGAACGAATGAATCATTGCGGTGTCTATGCGATGTTAAGGTCATCCGAGGGCGGGCCATATTGTGAGGTTAGGTCGAGTCCACACCGGCTCGCAACAATACTAAAGAAGAACGCTAACTCCCGTGTAATTTTTTAGTTTCAAATTTAAAGTGGCGCCATCTAGTGTGCCAGGAATGAACTAAATCTAGCGGAAAATTTGAATATACCATATTTTATTATTTTTATATAAGTTGTTTGAAATGTAGATACCTACAAAACAATCAGATCTTCAGAAATCAGTATAAAACGTATTTTCTTACATATGATTGTCGCTGACTGAAAATAATCAGTAAAGAATAGGTATTATCCGTAAACAAGGGTATTATACAAAAAGGAAAAATATTGCAGTGTCAAATAGTTCCATCACACATTTTACAACACAGATAAAAAACCAATTCAAACTATAAGATAGGTATTTATTAATAATTTAATCTCTGGGCCAAGGTGATAGCGGCGAGGTATGTTGAAGTACCTCCGCAGCGGTTTTTTGGTAGTAACGCTTGCGAATTGTGAGCTACTGCTCAACCAGGTTGCAAATGGTGCCTCGTGCCCCGTTTGCTTCTCCTTTTTCTTTTTTCAGGATCGCTAGTTCATCGTTGCTGATTCGTCCCGTATTGATGAAGCCGGAAGGCAGAAACACTGTGTGTCTACGGGCAATCGTATTTTAGCCATGTTTCGTGGCTAATCTTGCTGTAGGTTGCCCAATAATTTCATTCTTCTTTTTTATTAATAAAGCTAATATAAATAACCTACTTTGAAATAGTTTCTTCGGAAAAACTTCCTCGAAATAGTTTTATGGGAACATTATTTTTCAAAAAAAATAAGAGTAAAAGTAACTTAAATATTCATAAAAAAATAGGAGTATTTACAAAAATTATTGTAATACAATATACAATGTTTTCACACAAATTACTAACTCGGTTTATGAAAATGATGTTTTTTTATCACAAACTCACCTGTCACAATACAGATCTAAAATCACAAATCCAATGAAAAAATATATTAATTACAACAATGAAGATCGAAAGATCAGAAATAATAATAAACAGCTGATGATTTACCGGTATCAAATTTGAGAAAGTGTGGTTTAGATCAGTAGAAAAAGAAACAAAATATCTCCCTTTTTGTCAATTTTTAGGCAACTATAATTAAGATAAACTTGATACGCCATCTAGCGCACCAAGATCAAAATAAAATGAAAATGCTACACGTTTATCTCCGAAACGAAGCATTTTATATACAGGGTGAGTTTCCTACGATGTTCTCTATGGGTATCTCGGAAACTATTGGAGATAGAGAGTCGGTTAAATGGCGAAAGAATTGCAGTTTTGTGGGGCATAAATATGCGCCTTTCAGATTTTTGAAAAAGTTCATGGCTTACTAGATATTTCGAAAAAACCAAATTTCAGCTATTTTAAAAATTATCCCTAATTCTATTATAAGTTATTTTAGACAAAAACTTTTCAAATAAAAGTTGTAGATAATCACATCCTTAATGAGACCGTGTCCTCCGTTTTTTTTTCTAAAGCCTGTCATTTTTGACATATGACACAAACATATGTTTTTTTAAATGGAAACCATAGTTGGCCATGACTTCATAAAAAGCGCCATTTTTTAACCTTTTTGGCGACATAAGCTATAATATGTTTTCTTCGAAAAATTACTGAGTTATAGCCAATTCTTATCATTTTTAAATAATTTCACTCAGTTAGCCATGGAAACAAGTTTGATCGTCTTTGCTCTCATAAATGTGAAGCTGTCACATCCAAACTTTGTAAATTAAAATAAACAAAAATTGTAAATATGAATTTTTCAAATGAAGAAAAGCGTGTAAGATTATTGGTTCAACTTTTCTTGGCCATACATTTTCGAGGATACGTTGACCGGTGAATGTTATGTTTTTTTAGAGAACGATTTTCAAGACTTGTTAGAAAAGTTATATTTAGTTATAGCCAATTCTTATCTTTCTTGACTAATTTCACTTAGATTGCATGGCATTCTTATTCTGTTATGATATACACAAACTAAAACTTAAAAAATAATATCACTGCAGTCACTGCATACACTTTAAGTTATTTTAGATAATGTTCAAAAAATCCGCCATTGTTTTGAGAGTTACATCTTTTTAAAACTGAATTATTACCTATTCTCACAAAAAAAGAACCGGTCGACTTAATTAAACTTCTCTCGTACCGCCACTTCGAGAGTGCCTCTCTTATTCATAAGTTCTTTTGTAAACCCTATTGTTAACCATACCGCATAAAAAATCTACAATGGTGATCGAGGAGGCCCATGCAATTAATCCACCTCTTCCTATCACTGAGTTTGTATTATTATGATATAAATAATTTTTAACATTTCTTTCATTATGGGGGGTCATTTGGAAACACTCTATTGATGCGCGAGTAACTACACGCTTTTCTTCATTTGAAAAATTCATATTTACAATTTTTGTTTATTTTAATTTACAAAGTTTGGATGCGACGGCTTCACATTTCTGAGAGCAACGGCGATTCAACTTGTTTCCATGGCTAACTAAGTGGAATTGTTTAAAAATGATAAGAATTGGCTATAACTCAGTAATTTTTCGATGAAAACATATTATAGCTTATATCGCTAAACAGCTTAAAATGGCGCTTTTATATGAAGTCATGGCCAACTATGGTTTTCATTTAAAAAACATATGTTTATGTCATATGTCAAAAATGACAGGCTTTAGAAAAACTCGGAAAACACAAACTCATTAGGGATGTGATTATCTACAACTTTTATCTGAAAACTTTTTGTCTAAAATAGATTATAATGGAATTTGGGACAATTTTAAAATAGCCGAAATTTGTTTTTTCGAAATATCTAGTAAGCCATGAACTTTTTTCAAAATCTAAAAGGCGCATATTTGTGACCCCACAAAACTGCAATTCTTTTCCCATTTAACCGACTCTCTATCTCCAGTAGTTTTTTCGAGATACCCGCATAGAGAACATCGTGGAAAACTCACCCTGTATAGGACATAAATTTATACTCTTTTACTTATTTTTATCTGCAGAATATTCTACCGAATTTTCCTGAATACAATTGGACCACCCTGTATACATAAACACTCTCAAATTTGGCACAATAAAGATTAAAACAAAAGTCGAACGCTAAATCCAAAGCAAATGTTAGGTATTTACACAGACTGCACGTTACTTCATATTGCTGCAATTATTATTCAAAATTTCGAGTCAAATCATTTATATTCGACAACCGTTTAATAAAAAATACAGAGGTGTCATCTGAGGTTGAAAAGTCCAGCTTGACGTTACGACATAATAAATTAATTACATACTAATTTATTTCATTATAGTTCTTATAAGCACAGTGTATATGCCTCAAAATAGCAATCAAGAGGTGATAAGAAAGTTGTTCGTCTTAAAGTAATTAGATAAATAAGACAAACACATAGATTTTTAGTATCTTAAAGTTACTCGCAGTGTTAAGACGAAAAAAAATTAATGAAAGTAAAATGAAGTTAACAACAATTAGCATCTTGATTCTTTCTATATGTTATAATCTAGGTAAGTACATACTGCTAAATAAAAATGCCTTACTGGGTGGTTAGAGGTGGTCATTAAAATATAATATTTGATATGTTCTAAGTTCTAATTAAGTTTTTAAATTAAAAAAATACAAATATAAAAATTAAAAGTTTTATTGATTTTAAATTTTATTAACAATGTTGAATATAATAGTATTGTTCCTGAGAACTAGAACTGAACCTAGTATGAACTAGACTGATGACCTAGTAGTGAACCTGAGATGTGTTTGTAAGCTGTAAATACAGGGTGTTAGGTACTTAATGACCTGTTAAAATTTCAGGGGGTGATAAAACCAGTATATTTGTATAGAGGGTCCGACAATAGTGCGTCGGGCATATATAGCTCCTAAAATAAAAAACTTAGCTTAGGAAAATAATTTAACCTCTACAGGGTGACTCAAAAAAGTGTGAGTGGATCAGGATGATTTTCTTTAAATGGAACACCCTGTATATTATTACATTTTTGGCTTCCTTTCTGATCACTTTACATAATCTTCAGATCTTTTTAAATAGGTTTTGATAGTTTCACAGATATTAATAAATAAATTAAAAAAATATATTTTTTCAGTCTTTTAAAAAGATTATTAAAAATATAAGAACTGTCCTGAAATGAAAACTATATTAGGTGTTTACTTTAGATGGTCTGTACTTACTTTACTATAAATATCGTAATCTTAAATCATACAGGGTGTTCAAAATTCTACGCCAAACTTTCTAAAATATAAAATAATTTTTCTTCGTTATTTTAAATAAAACACCCTGTATACTATTCTTTTAATAGATGGAGAATTACAAAATAAACATTTTTTGTATTTAGAGTATTTCAAAATTTTTAACGGCTTCGCTGATACTCGCGGTATTATTTCATATGACTCTTTCAACGGTAAAATACAAGAGAAAAATATTTGAGTGGCTTTGATAAAAGCTTACTATGGAAAATGGCATATGAAATATAAAACCGCAAATATCTGCGAAACTGTTAAAAATTTTGAAATACTCTAAACACAAAAAATGTTCATTTTTTAATTGTACATTAAAAAATACTATACTAGGTGGTCCATTTAAAAAAACGAAGAAAAATTATTTTATATTGAACATCTTGTATGATTTAAGATTACGATATTTATAGCAAAGTAAGTACAGATCATCTAATGTAAATACATAATATACTTTTGATTTCAGGACAGTTCTTGTATTTTTAATATTTTTTTTAAGAAAGTATTCAAAAAATATACCGCATAAAAAAATCTAAAATAGATAGTTCAGGTGATCGAGGAGGCCCATGCAATTGATCCACCCCTTGATCCTCTCCTTGAGTTTAAATAATTATAATATAAATAATTTTTAACATTTTTTTTTTTTCATTCTGGGGGAGAGTCTCTAAATTTAACTTTTCTAACATGTCTTGAAAACCGTTCTCTAAAAAGCGTATGGAACGTATCCTCGAAAAGGTATGGCCAAGAAAACTTGAAACAATAATCCTACACGCTTTCCTTCATTTGAAAAATTCATATTTATAATTTTTGGTTATTTTAATTTACAAAGTTTGGATGTGACAGTTTGACGTTTCTGAGAGCAAATACGGTTGAACTTGTTTCCATGGCTAAGTGAAATTGTTTAAAAATGATAAGAATTGGCTATAATAACTCAGCAATTTTTGAAAAATTCATATTATAGCTTATATCGCTGAAAATCTTAAAAAATGGTGTTTTTATGAAGTCATGGCCTACTATGGTTTCCATTAAAAAAAAACATAATTCTAAGCATTAACATAAGTGTCATATGTCAAAAATTACCGGCTTTAGAAAAAAGCGGAAAACACAATCTTATTATTGATGTGATTATCTACAACTTTTATCTGAAAACTTTTTGTCTAAAATGAATTATAATAGAATTATAAGGACCATTTTTAAAATAGCAAAAATTTGTTTTTTCGAAATATCTAGTAAGGCATGAGTTTTTCAAAAATCTGAAAGGCGCATATTTATGATCCCACAAGACTCCAATTCTTTCCCCATTTAACCGACTCTTTATCTCCAGTAGTTTCCGAGATACCCATAGAGAACATAGTAGAAAACTCACCCTGTATAAATCTATATACTGTGTCCTCTTCTTGAGTTATAACTCATCATATAATCTCAGGACTTTGACCAAAGCCAGTATTTCATACGGTTTTACAGAACTCAGTTCTCCATCTTCGATATCAGTCATGCTAAAGTTTATGGCATGAATGGTTGTCGTTTCGGCGTACTCAGTGATGATGTATTGTTCTGGTGTTTTTCCGTTATCCACACAGAATCTGCATTTACCGTTGTTTCTTGGTTTTAATCTACTGAGGTGTTTATTGAGGACACAGTATCCTGTTAAAAAAAACCGTCCCAAGATTGTTCTTACTTAAATCAAGCAAAAACTTTGATTTTTCTCGATCGTAAGTCTAAGAAACTTCTTCGGGTGTCTTGGAGGATTCCCATTCTGGGTTACGGATAATGTTTTCTAGGTTATTGAGTTCTGCTTTAAGTTCGTTTCTACTTGGGAAGCAGAACGGTTCTGGTCCAGTTCCAGTTATTGGAGTGTTCGCTCATTTTCAAGCTATATCGTTTGCTTCTTTTATTACTTGCTATCTTTTGGTGGACTGGCACCCAGAGTAGGATGACCTGATTGCCTAATTTGTTCAGCTTTTCTAGGCATTCTTTGACGAACTTCGAATTGATGGATACTGAGTTGATCGATCTCAAAGCTATCCAAAAAAATCCTTTATGGGTTTTTCGCCACTGCACTGTAAGAAAAATCTACAAAATAAAATAGTTATTTTTGGTAAACACTTCTGGCGTTAAACCTGAACGGACGCTGCTTGTCAGAAGTTGTGTTTACAGTTATAAAAATGTGCCTAACAAAGAAAAAAATGCTTAACGTTTCGGAAAGTTTTCTCTTTCCGTCGTTGGAAGCAAAAAAATATAAAGAATCAAGAAAAAAACTATTTAAAATATTTATAAATTGAACTATTCGAGAATACTTTACTTTTTAAAACAGATACGTCTACAAGAAATCGTTCTGTTAAAATGACATTATATTAAGTTAAACTTCAAAATTAACAATTACTACCTGATAACAAATACTTAATAAGCTAAAACCAAAAAGCCCAAACTTTCTGTATGATTATTTTTAAATTTTACGTATGTTATGTTTATTTATGTTATGTTCTTTAAAATCAAAGAAGCGATTGCCATACATTACGAACATCTATAGATGCATGAGCAATACATTTATTTTTATTAGATTGAATTAAAAAAGCCTCTTATTTTTCCTTTAGAGGCTATCGCTTCTTTCATTATAATTTTGGCGTTATTAAAATTTATTCTGTGCCCTGTGTCCCATGAATGCTAACAAATCTTAGATTTGTGAAAATCTCCCTTTCTTAAATAATCTTTATGTTCTTTAATTCTAACATTTAAGGGTCTAGATGTTTTACCAATGTAAAACTTATCGTAACATACGAACATTATTCAAACATAAAGATTATTTAAGAAAGGGAGATTTTCACAAATCTAAGATTTGTTAGCATTCATGGGACACAGGGCACAGAATAAATTTTAATAACGCCAAAATTATAATGAAAGAAGCGATAGCCTCTAAAAGAAAAATAAAAGAGGCTTTTTTAATTCAATCTAATAAAAATAAATGTATTGCTCATGCATCTATAGATGTTAGTAATGTATGGCAATCGCTTCTTTGATTTTAAAGAACATAACATACGTAAAATTTAAAAATAGTAATACAGAAAGTTTGGGCTTTTTGGTTTTACCTTATTAAGTAATTATTATCAGGTAGTAATTGTTAATTTTGAAGTTTAACTTAATATAATGTCATTTTAACAGAACGTCAACGATTTCTTGTAGACTGTTTTAAAAAGTAAAGTGTTCTCGAATAGTTCAATTTAAATATTTTAAATAGTTTTTTTCTTGATTCTTTATATTTTTTTGCTTCCGACGACGGAAAGAGAAAACTTTCCGAAACGTTAAACATTTTTTCTTTGTTAGGCAAATTTTTATAACTGTAAACACAACTTCTGACAAGCAGCGTCCGTTCAGGTTTAACCTTCTTATTCAAAGGGTTTAACGCCCAGAAGTGTTTACCAAAAATAACTATTTTATTTTGTAGATTTTTCTTGCAGTGCAGTGGCGAAAAACCCATAAAGGATTTTTTTGGATAGATGAATCCGCCACATAGGTATAGACATTTTTTGATCTTAAGGCTACTTGACTATCGGATAAGGGGGTTATTTCTTGTTTACAAAGAGACATACCAACGCAACGTTCCAAAAATATTAAAACCTAAATCAAATTTTTAATCCATTATTTTAAAATATGTAATGGTAATTGAAAAAGTAAAAATCGTCATATTTCAAAAACCATCCGATATTGATTATAGTATTTTGATATTTTTGGAATAAGAATATTATGAAAAATGTACTGAGCTATAACAATATACCCCATTTATTATAAAAAACTATAATTTTAATATAAAAATATACTTGAATCAAATACTACCACAAAAACCATAAAACTATAAAATAGATAACCCGATATGAACTTTTTTGGAATATTGGGTGCACTGAGGTAGTACTATATTAATATTATTATTGTCAGAATGGGCAAATAAAACATAAGAAATACATAACTCATAATATATGATTAATCTTGTATATTTATATCAACAAGAACTCCAATACTAACCCAAGTCAATTTCTAGATACATCAGCTGAAGAGTTTCGCCCTAGAGTAACAACACCTCTAGGAGTTATCGAAGGAGGTGTAGGATTATCAGTCAACCTAAATCCTTACTTTAAATTTGAAGGAATACCGTATGCAAAACCACCAGTAGGAAATTTAAGGTTTGAGGTAGGTACATTTTAGTTGATAAAATAATTGTTTGGTCATGTTCACTATAATGGACTACTTTATAAAGAAACTGTAATAAAATTAGCAAAGTCTAACATCAGTCCACTTATACAGGGTGTCCCAGAAATAAGTGCAAGTATTTTAACTGGTAGTATAGTTCAACCCCAGAAACACGCCTATGAGTTTTTTTTCGCGATTTTTTTTTTTAAATTCGGAATTTTTTGAAAATGTTTTTAGTTTTTATTTAAAAAAATAATTTCTTGATAATATGGCAACATAGGTAGTAGATTAAATTTACAAGAGAGAAAATTCAGAAAAGATCCAGTGGTTCTCAAAATTTTAGCAAAAAATATTTTTTTTTGGAAATTAACTCCCTATTAAATTAAAAGTAAAATAGCTCCATTATTTTGGACTTATTTGAAAAACAATAAAGAGAAAATATGTTTCTTTTATCGAGATCTACCACCCCTTAAAATACTTACACTTATTTCTGGAACACCCTGTATTATAGTTATAAAATTCGATAACATAGTTTATAGTTTATTTGATGTGTAATTAAAAAAAAATATGTTTTTCTTAAATACACATCACAGTTTTCGCATTGGCTTTAGTTTCACCTATTCAAAATATCGCTGCAAAAATTCAATATTCAATAATATCAATGCAATTCCGAAATCAGTTTTAATAAAGATCATACTTTGTCCTTGAAACTTTGAAACCAATAATTATATTCGTTATTACTAAAAATATCCCAACTATATCCGTTTCGTAATTAGCAATATTTAATTTCAACTAATAGTAAACAAAACAATTTTATTAATACATATATGTTTACAAATACTTTTTAGTACGGTCCGACCGAGATCTCGGTCTCGGTTACAGTCATTCTCGGCATAAAAAGGCCGAGATTATCGACCGAGACTGCTCACGATCGTCAAATTAGCTTATTTTTGACCGTATCGCTCCACCTATCGATGCGTGGATGAATGAAATACATGTCCGAAGTCAAAAAAAAAAGAATGGATCATATCTGATCCATATATTTATGATCTGATCGAATCACGAAAGGGATTTCCCTGCTGAAGGGAATAAAAAAATAGAAAACAAAAATACAAATACAAAAAATATTAATAAACCCCCGTATACAAACAAATGGTTTTTTACCAATCATGGGTCTGTTAAAAATCCTGCGTGGGTCAGTATCTCACCCACGGGACCTCGGGTCGCCATCACTACTATAAGACAGTTCTCTTAAACAACAATACATGGTTAAATGAAGCCAAAGTTGCACGATTTGATGCTGATCAAAATACCACGTTAAAAGTTTAAAAATTCCAAATGCTATGAAAAGTTTTTGGAAAAAACCGAATATTCGCGATTTTATACTTTTCTTATCTCTCTATTTGAATAGATATATAATAAATTAAATTTCACATTCTTCCTACTTTTACTTTTATTCTTACTTAATCTCTTCTTACTTATTCTTCTCTACTTAAAAATGTGACAAGATTTCGGATTTTGACCGACTTTGAGGAATTTTTAGGAAGTTTCAGAAAAAATAATGGTATTTAAGTTAATTACAAAAGACCTATTTTTTAAAATGTTTAACATTCTGTATATAGGAACTTTTTTCATACTTTTTGATGAGGAATACATGATAACACTTTGCCCAGTTAATGACATTAATTCTTTCAAAGGTTGTTATTACACTTGAATTAAGGCAAATTAATAAAATTGCGTCAATCAATGAGAGCAAAATCGCATTTTTAGAAAAATATACCACTGATAACTCTTATGCACGCCCTTGGTGAATATGTCAACACTTCTTAGCATTAAAATATGTGGCACTTATAGTAACTTCTACCCTCAAAATTTCATTGGAATCGCTAAAACCACTTGGAAGAAATTTATAATAAATCCAAAAAAACTGAAGAACTTAACCCCCTGTAGCTTCGAAACAAAACAGAATCGGACCTATGTAGAAAAAAAAATAATCTTATTTTTACGTAAAGAATCCCCCCACGAGAAATGGCACATGTTTTTTGAAACACCCTGTATATCTCCACAAATTTTGAGGCAATTTCTACAGATTTCGAGGTATTTCGACAGATTCCGTGGATTTTCACATATCGTGATAGATAATAAAAAAAATCAAAATGGTATTTACTAAAATAGTCATTCATATATATTAAAATTTAATTTGGGACTGAAATATTTTACTTTTAAACTGTTACCACTGAATTTCTGAATATATTTTTATTCTTCTTTTTATAACGGGGTGGGTTTGGAAATATCTAAAAGCTTGCCTGATAATATTTTCAGGTCTTTGATATTATTCTAGTTGCCACGATATATCTTTTATTTCAAAAATCCTTAAATACAGAAATCGAGAACGGACAAATCCGGGGATCAGGGAGGCCGTCGTATGGATCCATTAGTCCCAATGCATTATCTAAAAGTTCCGATACAATAGCTTCCAAGATTTACAAGTAACGGTAGGGAGTTAAGTTTCCCTGATATACCGATTTGGTAATTCTAGAAGTGTGCTCTGGATTTTAACGCATAAGACAGTGATGTAGGCAGCTTAATGGAAAATCAAATGTATTAAAAAGAGATAAAAGTTAGGTTGATACATTTATTCTATGCGGTATTGCCGGATTTTGCATCAAAATTTCAAACCGCAGAAGTAGGCGTTTATGGAAAATGTTGCATCTAGGGCTGGGACCATATTTTTCACAATTCGTTACTCATTTTACTACAGATGTAATGGATTATATTTATCTTAGATATATTATATTCATTTCAGTAGTATACATGAAAGTTTTTTAAAAAAAAATCTACACAAATTTTCCTACAAACGTAAAAACCGGCAACACTGTATGCCGTTTTTAATTTTGTTTCTTTTATTATCAATCAACCTACTAATAAAAACGATCTTTTAAAGAGAACTTTCAAATATTGCAATAAATAGTGAAAATAAATATAGAATTAAGCATTAAATGTGAATTAAAAGTTAAAGCATAACTTTAGTTCATATCTTCAAAAATATTCTTTTCGTAGAATAACAGACTACGCCACTGTATTCTACATAATAAGTTCTACAATAATCACTTTTCACCTTCTCGATACCTTCCACAATAACAGAGATACGGGGGGTGTCCCAAATTGCAAAATTTCCAAAAAGACTCTGTAGCTCAGAAACGAAGAGGGCTATGATTTCAACATTTGATTCCAACAATTGTTATCTGAAACCGCAAATGCTCCAAATAAAATGAAAATGACTTTATTTTCCATTCTATAAAGTGAAACTATACAGAGTGTGTCTTAAATAATTACAAACATTTTCAGGATCACGATCAGGATCTCGACAAAAAAAACATATTTTTTACCGTTTTTCAAATCCAAAATAACCGAGTTATTTTACTTTGAAAATTTCAAAAAAAAAAATAATTCTTGCTTAAATTTGGAGAACCATCTCTTTAGGGTTTTCTTTCTTGTTTCGGAGGCTGAAATACATTAACCCCCCAAAGATATTTGCACTTATTTAAGACTCACACACAAGACTGTATAGATCTCATACCCCCCTATGAATATGTATATGTTACGGTTAAAGTCCCATGTCCGGTTAATGTCGACATTAAAATGTTAATGTTTGGGTTAGGTTATGTTTTTGGTTGTTTTGTTGTGTGTTATTCTGGAAATTAACCGGGTAATGTCGACATTAACCGGACATCGGACCTTAACCGTAACATATATACAAAACGTGTCTAGAATTTTTTCTTAATTTCTTTAATATAAAATAATCAACAAATATTTTGTTAGTCCTATAGTCCTAAAATATTTTTTATTACTATAAAAGATCTCAATTTCTAGGAACCTGAAGATCCAGAACCGTGGAAAGGTATTTGGAAAGCAAATTCCTTAACGACATGTATGCAATACGACCATTTCGAAAAAGATGTCCAAAATAATTATCGCGTTCATGGTACTAGACAAATTCTCTTTCAACTCTAATCAAGTTCTAACTAAATCTATTTTAAGGTGATGAGGATTGCCTTTACGTTAATGTTTATACGCATTCCTTGAGCGACAAAGCAAACTTGGATGTTCTGGTTTTCATCCACGGGGGCGCTTTTATGTTTGGAAGAGGTGCCAGCTATGGACCGGAAATTATCATGGACAGAAAAATAGTTTTTGTTAATTTCAACTATCGACTGGGACCGCTAGGTAAGAAATAAAGAAAATTAATAAGTACTTAGGGTAGTCAATTAATTAGGTCAAGCATTTGTCTCGACACATACATACATATATGCCATACACACATACTGCCATTACTCGCTGACGAATATTTGCCACGCATCAGAAGATGGTCACGCAGGGCGTTTTCACTGGGGTTTTTTTCTGTGACTGAAAAGCCCGATACGTGATGTTATCTCTCTACTGCACTCCGGACATTCAAAAATCTCATTGCTTTGTTGCCTCTTTACTTTTTTGTTGTCGCTGTCAACTGAGTTTACATATCTTCTCCATTGCGTTCTATTGTGAGCTGATTCTTCCCACTCGTTCTGCATAACATGCAGGATTAACATGCATGGATTAACATCCCCTCTAAGTTTTCGTGGAAAATATCTTTGTACCTTTTGAGTTGTCCACCCGGCCTCCTTTTACCGTCTACAAGCTCACCGTAAAGCAGAGATTTTGGTATACGGTTTTCTTGCATTCTGCATACGTGACCAGCCCATCTTAAGCGGGATTTAGTAATCACGACTTCAATACTAGGGTGGATCGTAAATCTCAAAATTTAAAATTTTTTAAAACATCGACTTGGAATACCTTCGAAAAGTTGCCTTTGGTAATGTTGATAAAAAAGTGTTACTACAACTTTTTAATAAAATCACATCTTCTGCCCTCTACCAGCCTTTAAAAAATGAATTTTTTTTTTTACAAATCGATTTGGAATACCTATCAAAAGTTACCTTTAGTAATGTTGATAAAAAAGTTTATTTAAAATTTTTTGATTAAATCACGTTTTCTGCCCCCGGTAGAGGAAACCGTGGTGAATACAGGAAAAAAATGGTGCAATTTCTCAAATAGAAATAAAATTAGGACACCCTTTACAAAGATTGGTCTGCCAGCTTCACGCTAATGAGCCAGCTTCACGATTGGTCTGCCAGCTTCACGCTCTTAGGCATCTTTTTCAAGAGCTTGACGGTCAAACCCTAGTTCCAAGAGCTTTTGCAGGAACTATAGGAAATTAAATACAACAGTGCGAAAATATGCCAGTTGTGAACTATACCATTATCGACTGTGATTTACCAGACATGGATTTTCTTGACTTAAGTGCCGATCAGAAATATCTGTATGAAATTTGTGTTGCGGTTTCTACATGTGAGTGCTCAGTAGATTTATTAAACCGAAGCCCAGGAGAGTTAAGTCATTCTCGACGGCTCACTTTGGCTAATCGCACCTTACGTCTTTATGTTAGTATCGAAAATCCAACATTACAATTAAAGGAACTGTCCAAATTTATTGTCAAGGTTTATGCTCCTTTATGGTTTCAAATTAAATGCAACTCTTCATGTGTAAATGGTGCCAAACATGTTTTAAAATCAATAAAACGTAGCCGATGGCAAGAACAAGATTTAAAAAATGTTATAGACCCTGTAATACAAAGAAATGCCTATTTTGTCCATCCCGAAAATCTTCTGCTATGTATGCTGCATTACACTCGCTTCCATATAAGAGAACTTGCACTTCGCCGTATTCTAAATGCAAAAACTCAAAACAACGTTCACGCAATATCCGACCTTTTATCATCCCACAAATTAATTTTGACGCGGATGACTATGTTGATCTAATTGATTGGCAAAAAAATGAAATAACTTGTCCCCCCCCCCCATTGCTCCAAACTTTGGAAATAGATGATTTGAAAAATATGATTTTTAGTTCTTATGAAACAATCATCGACATCGCTGCATTTCCCTGTCACACTCAATCAGTAGAGAGATGCGTAAAACTTGTAACCGAAGCATATTTATCAGTTGTAGGCATATAAAAGAGAGATATAGATTTTATAAAGACAAAAATAGATTCGCGCAAACTTATGCCACAATTTGAGTAAAAAAAAGACTACAATCAATAAGTGAGCAAAAATAAATGGATGAGGGAGGGTGGGATGGAACTCGCCGAGCAGTTATCTCCCCGTGGTGAGTTCTGGATTGTTTGTTAAGAATACATAAAATATTGTTAAACAAGCGAAAAAACGGCTCTAAGTGCTCTGTTCGACATATTTTTAACTCTTTGTTAAAATGTGTAAATATTTGGGTATTTATAAAAAAATTGTTTGACCTTGGTACATAGGGTGCACTAAGTAGGGGGATTAAAATGTCATATTTCAATAAGATATATTATTTCTAATTACAAAAGTTACTTATTACATGAAATTTTGGCTAAAAATAAAAAAATTATATTTTTGTATTTTTTTCTTTTTTTAAAGTCCGGTAGAGGGCAGAAGATGAAAAAAAATTGGAAAACTTATAAATAGATATTAGTTTTCTAATACCAATTGGCAACTTTTGCGCGATATTCCAAAACGATTTTCAAAACTTCGATTTTTCGATCCACCCTATTCAATACTCTCGCAGTTAGCTTTTTCAAGGGCCGATACGTTTGAGACATGATGGAACCATTTGATTCTTAAGAGTTGTCTAAGGTGTCTCTGTTGCAACTTGTTTAATGCGTTCATGTGTCGGCAGTACGGCACCCGGGTTTCGTTTTTCTGCTCAGGTCATGATTGTAGAAAACCATGTCTTTTAATTTCCAGAATGCTCTAGAGGCGCTGCTAATCCTGTGCTGGATTTCAGAGTCGATATTGGCCTTCTCCGAAATCAAACTGCCGAGGTAATTAAATTCCGCTACATATTCCAGTAGTTCTTCTCCGAATTTTATAGTATTGTTGTGATCTTCCGGGGGAGTGCACATGATTTTAGTTTTGTCGATGTTCAACTTAAGGCCCAAAGCCTAAAGTCTCGACACAAAGAAATCGCGGACCGCATTTTGGATATACCCTAGAACTAAAAATTGATAATCTCCCTTTCATACTTATTCATACTTATTTCGAAGCAGAAAAATTAGCAAAAATTCTATTATCTTTAACAGAAAATATTATATTTGCCCAAGTTTTATTCTAGTGCAATTATGATATTATACTGTTTTTATAACAAACAGGTATTTATTTGAATTACGCTGGGTTGACGATTTATTATGTTTATGTCATATACAGGGTGAAAATATGTAAGAATAAGATATTTGATGTGGTGATTCCCTAATTAAGTTGAATTATTAACCAAACTCACAATACACATCTTAAGCTCAATTTGTATAAACATCTTCACTAGGTAAAATGTGTAATTGCACATTACACGTTTATGGAGAACCGGTGATAGGATTTTTTAAAAATTTGGATTTTTGCATAAAGGCACCTGCTCTATCTGTCTAAATTATTTTCAGCATTACAATGTTGCTGCTTCATACTAAAAGTGATAGCATCTTTGTTATTTTAAATGGAACACACGGTATATTATTATATTTTTCGAAACTACTTCCATATCTCAAAATTTTTCTATTATACAAACCTATACCAGACTCTAATGGTTTTCGAGATAAAAAATAATATATGTGTAAAATTGACAAAAACGTGATCGGTAATAAATTCCACATATTGAAAGCTAAAATTTGGTTTATAGCATGTTTATAGGTTAAGGAAAGTCGACATTTATATTCGATTTGTCTAAATCAACTGACTGGATATCAAACAGGGAGGTCAAGAAAAACAATTATTTCCGATTGTTATAAAATTGTACGCATTGTTATAAACGCGTACCTATTCTATCTAGAGTTCAAAAACAAAAAGTACCGTATGTCCAAAAAAACGGCGTCCAATTGGTTTAGAGACGACAATCGATGACATTCCCCATATTACATAAAAAATATCCGCAGTTTTCATTTCCAAGCCACATTCCAAGCCATTTGTGATTGCCACAGCAGGTCTATTTTATCAAAATTACTTTTTAGGATTTCTAAGCACCGAAGATGAGGTGATACCCGGAAATATTGGTTTAAAAGACCAAATAAAGGCTTTGAAATGGGTCAAGAACAACATACAATACTTTGGAGGAAACCCCGATTCTATTACAATCTTTGGACTGTCTGCTGGTGGTGCTAGCGTACATTTTCACTATTTCACTCCTGAATCCAAAGGTAACTATAAAAATATTATTTTTATAAATCTGTGGAGCTAGTCTAGCTTTATTATTACTTGTGATGTCGGACTTAGCAATATGTTATATATTCATGAAGCCTTTTCTCATTTAAATGAAGATTTTTTTATTATAATAAAAGTATGGTCTATGGATATTTTTAAAAAACAATGTTCTCTTATTGTTTTAAGAGAAAACTATAAAAGATACTTTTGTATATAATAATAACATGGTTTAATATAAATTCATTGAAAAATAAGAAATAATTAGAGGCTTTTTTAAATAGTTTAACACAGTGGATAAAAAGGCGGACCGCCAGAATAGTATAAAAGGCGGACCGCTAATTCTAGCTAACAGTTAGTAAGTACAACTATTCAGTTAGTCACTCTTGCCCTGCAGTTTTACGATTGTAAGTTTTGAAAATATATTTTTATTAATAATTGTAATTAATAATACTAGACAATGGTTAAAACTAAATATTCTTGTGTAACCTTAGAGTAATAGCCGATTTAATCTACCATCGGTAACTTTTCTCTAAGTGCACTATTTTTGATTATTCATATCGGTTTAATATAGTGGTATTACATTACACTCCATTACAAACTAATGATATTTATTCATACTCCATGTTTACTTATTTTTCTGAAGCCATCACAACGTTTGACCTTGATTGTTTCACGAAATAGTACGATAAATATAAGTCCGTGTTATAAACATTTTGTGGAAACTGATCGGAACGTTTCCCGAAATGCAAAATTTCTATTTCGTTCCAAACCAAATCACAACATAAGAAAAGCATCGAGTTTACTTCCGAAAGTATTTCGAGGAATGCTCCGCGAAATGTTACGAAATATTTCCAGAAATATTTAATAAAACATTTCGGGGCTAGTGTAGAGAGTGTTATTCACTGTAAAGTGGATGAAGGTAAAGAAATCAAAACATGGTTTTCGCTGCCCTTATCAATGGTCTACAAAAAAGTGACAATCTATTAACAGCTTCAAAATATGTAAACACCTGCGTAGAAAATTCAGTTTATTTCATATCATTGCTATTACCATTGTTTTCATCGTTTATCAAAGCCCCAACATAAACAAAGCATTAGGCTTTCAACGTTAATATTTTCAAGGTATCTTTTTGACATATCTATTATGCTTTTTAATTCAACAATGTGCTCAATTCAATTTTTGTAAAATTTGTTCAGTTGAGTATTAAATTGAAAAGGACTGCTCATATGTTTTTGTATATATCTCTATCTTTTGTATATACATTGTTTTTAATTGTTTTTGTATTTTTTGTCATCCCAAATTGTATAATATAAAATATTGGCATTAGCATATTACTAAGATGTTTTTTTTTAATATACAAAGAAGTGATAGTCATGTGCAGCCATATTATGATAAACACAATATGTTTAAGGTCTTCCATCTTCCAGAATTTTAAAATAGACCAGAATTTTAAAATTTAACCAGACAATCGAATTTTATATATATGCAATTATTAACTGAAGGCCAATTGATTATACAGGGTGTCCCAGAAATAAATGCAAATATTTTAAGGGGTGGTAGATCTCGATAAAAGAAACATATTTTCTCTTTATCGTTTTTCAAATAAGTCCAAAATAACGGAGTTACTTTACTTTGAAAATTTCACACCTCTACTTTTCAACCAATAACATGCTTTAATGTTGACTAGTTACCATGGCAACTGAAAAAATTTCCGGAAATTTTTTCGAGGCGCCACGAAACTTTAGTGGAAATTTTTTGACAGTTGAAAAGGTAAACATAAGATCTACAATCATAATGTGAATGAACTACAATGTCTATATATTGAAATATTACCCATTTGAGTTTTAGCATTTGATGTAACTAATTAAAATATAATAATATTTGTTAATATTATTAACAAATTGAAATTATTTTAAAATGTCATGTTGGATTAATATTTTTTTTTCAAATTTAGGTGTGAAATTTTCTTACCGAATACCACGCAAGCTTAAATTATTCCTGGAAATTTTCTTTCGGGCACGAATATTTTAGGAAAATTATCCCTCGTCTTCGACTCGGGATAATTTTCAAAATATTCGTGCCCTCAAAAAAATTTCCGAAAATAATTTAAGCTCTTGTGATATTATAAGTGAAAATTTACAAAAAAAATATTTTTTGCTTAAATTTTGAGAACCACTGAATCTTTTCTGGATTTTCTTTCTTGTAAATTTAATCTACTACCTATGTTGCCATATTATCAAGAAATTATGTTTTTTAAATAAAAACTAAAAAATTTTCAAAATTTTTTTTCCAAAAATTCCGCATTTTCAATTTTTTCTTCGCGAAAAAAAACTCGTAGGCGTGTGTCTGGGGTTGAACTATACTACCAGTTAAAATATTTGCACTTATTACTGGAACACCCTGTATATCAAAAGTAGATTATTAAATCGTCAATTTTCAGTCATTTTTTGGTTATCGTCCTAAGCTAGGTTTTTATTTCGATGACGAAATAGCCAGCAGTCTTCCAATACAGATGTCACTCATATGCTAAAAATAAGCCATTTATAGTGATAAGATTTTCATAAGAATTTCGTCTTTGTAGGATTATTTAAAGCTGGCTTTTCGCAAAGCGGTTGCATGTTGAACTCGTGGGTCCTCGCAGAAAACTCCAAAGAAAAAACAGAAAAATTAGCAGCTCTTGTTGGTTGTCCCACCGATGACTCGAAAACCATATTGGACTGCCTTAAATCAAAACCTGCAAGACAAATTGTTCAAGCCGTAAAAGAGTATCAAGTACTTAAAAAGAAAATGTAAAAGTTCAAGATAACTCAGATCTATTTATTTTTAGCCGTTCCTTTACAATCCATTTTCACCGTTCGGTGCAGTGGTAGATGGGAAATGGTCTAAAAATCCAGTTCTTCTAGACCACCCTTATAAACTTCTTAAGCAAGGGAAAGTACAAGATTTACCATGGATTATTTCTTACACGTCTCACGAAGGCCTTTACCCAGCAGCTGGTATAAATTAAAATCGATGAAATATATCTATTCGAATGCAATAATATAAACCACAAATTTCTTTCAGATTTCTACGCAGATGACCAACATTTGATTGATATTGATACAAAGTGGAACGAAATTATGCCTTTTGTTTTACATTACAATGAAACTATAGATCAAAAGCTGAAAGACGAAGTATCCCAGACGATCAGAGATCATTACTTAGGAAACAATCCTGTCAACAAAGAAACCTACAACAGTTTGGTTCAAGTAAGTTTTCGGTAGTCGAAATTATTTCAACAATATATTTTTTTCAAAGCTGTTTTACGAAATACATAATATCGCATGATTTAGAACAAATAGTATGAATAAATATTATTAAGAAGGTCCTAAAATAACGTGTTTATTTCAACTTGTTCTAAGAAAACTGCTGTGAACTCTTGTTGTGATATTCTTTCAGTATATGAAAGACTAAATAATAAGAACAAATATCTCAACCTAGATGCTCCTAGTCTAACTACTAAACCTTCTTCTCCATGATTACATGCTTTACAGAATCAGCAAAAGATGTGTTTATCAGGCGGACAATGCTGCCTGAGAAAATTCGTATCATAAAATACCCCGGGTAATATGAGTTCCCATATATTATGAAAAAAATACGCCCCATCCATATGCTAATAGTTAAAAATCCATTAATAGATAAACTACAGGTCTTACTAGTCTTCTACTCTTAGTCGTAATAAAACTGAAAAATACAAATTGAAAATTGACAAAGTTTCCTAGGGGAGTTAATAATTGTTTATTTGGTCAGGTAAGGCTAAACAAAGTATAATGTTTTAGATTTATTATGTATTTAGTTAATTGCATTGTTGTAAATTTTAATAATATGCTCATGTCTCTGCAAGAGATATTGCGGATAATATGAAATACTACCACCTTCGTAATGAGTCGCAGTAAAATCTAAGTGAAGTGTATCATTTGTAAGGAATCGGCTTATGAAGCCTGCAGAAATGCCAAATTCGACATACTCGTGTGCGTTTTTTGTATGTAAGGCAGAGAATTGAAGTAAATTTTTTTACCGTTTATTTACCTCATTATTTAACTCATCCCATATTATTTTGCATACCTGTTCCATATAGTTTGAATCTCCCTATGCATTCCGTTTCCATCAACGTAAACATGGAAACGGTACAGAAACGGAAAACGGAACGGATAGTGGTCATTGTCCTATTCATTTACAATGATATAATATTTTAAGTAAACGAAAAGAAAACGGAAAGTAGCGGGTACGGAATGTTTAGTGAGAATCAACCTTTTAGTCTGGACCCCATTAGCAGCACGCCACGCCACTTTCAATTCTCTAAATATTTTATTAGAGTTAGAAAAGTTATCAGTATCGATACGATACAAGCAGTTCGTCTACCGACGACTTTTTGTTCAGTTAGATGACCCTCGCACGACAAAATATTTGCATCAGCTACAAAACTAGATAGCTTCGGGTCTAAAAAGGCAAGTGCGGAACAACACGCCGTAACACGCGTCGGCAAGATCTAAGCCTTACTAATCGCCCCATCACACGTTGATACCGTGGGATAGCGTGGCGTGGCCGTGGGCCTAGTGTGTATGCAACATCATCACCATCATCATCATTTAGCTTATTCCGTCCACTGCTGAACAAAAGCCTTCCTCAACTCTAGCCATTTCTGTCTATTTTGTGGCACTCTCTTAATAGCCACTCTGTTATCCTATCTGTCCATCGACTAGGGGGTCGTCCTGTGCTTCTATATGCCTCTTGTCTTGGTCTCCATTCCACAAGTCTCTTTGTCCACCGGCACCGTCCATCTGTTATCCTAGCCACATGTCCTGCCCAATTCCATATAAGATGTAAAACAGATATCACTGCATCTCTTACTACTGTTCGATCACATATGATTGGTATTTTATCTCTAAGTGTAGCTCCCAACATGGACCTTTCCATTTTCCGTTGCACGACCTGTATTCTATGTACATATGTTCTTTTTTTCTCAAAGTAAGTGTTTCAACTGCATACGCGAGGACAGGAAATACACACTGGTTAAAACCCTTCTTTTTAAACATATTGGAAGATCAGATCTCAGTATATGCTTTAGTTTACCGAAACACCAGTTTACCACGACAAACCTATTCTTCGTAGAATTTCGTGTGTCTAATTATCCCTTCTAATACCGATCTCATGTTTTTATTTATACATATACCTATATGCACTTGTTCCAAAAGTATGTTATTAATGTTTAAATTACCACTCAGTACTAGGTTTGTCATGTATTGTGGCTTTGATAAGTTGATTTTCAAACCGACTTTTTCTGCATCATTTAGCATATCCAGCATATTCTGTGCTTCCTGTATGTTGCCTATTATTAAGACAATATCATCTGCAAAATAGAGATGATTTATCAATTTGCCATCGATGTTAATTCCTGTTGAATCCCCAATTTATCATTTTTAACATACTTTCTAGCACAGCAACGAATAGTTTAGAGGAGAGTGTGTCACCTGGGTCTTACCCCTCGATCAATATTGAATTTGTCTGTGGACTGATTTTTCGATATTCTGACGTTTGCCGTTTTGGATGTATGCAACACATGTAATTAAATGGAAAAATATACGCACAAATCTTCGTGCCGTGCATGGCATAAATAACACCGTATGGTCGAAAAAAAACGGCGTCCTGTTGGCTGGGAAATTACGATCGATGACATTTCCCATATAAATTTACATATAAAATGACAGCAATCTTCATTTCATATCCATCGCTGACGCCGTTTTTTTTTTCGATCATACACGGTACTACCTTTGAATAAGAAGACTAAGGAAGGAGCATATCAAAAATCTTAGGTCCACCGCGATGGGACTCACATATGGCCGACTTAAATTCCGGTTTATCAGTGCCGTTCTAATTTTATTTAAAAAATGTAAAACTATGATGTAGGGTAGACGTGGGGTAGACTCAATAATTTTTTTATTTATTTTACGTTGTGAATAAATGTTGGTGGTTATTAAAATTGTTATAAAAACATATTAGCTTTTTCGTTTTCCTGTTATTACCGATTCTGAACCGTCCTAGAATTGTGATGCGTATACGCAGAAGGAAATATGAAGACATTATTTCATTTGCGCATGCGCTGCGGAGTTCTAGGACGATTCAGAATCGGTAATAACAGGAAAACGAAAAAACTATTATCACAAACATCCGATACGCTACTGAATTCTTTGACAAGTAGTAAATAAAAGCAAAAATGCAAGAAAAAATATATAATTAGTTAATTTAAGTGAATTTCATAAATGATCGGTTTACCACACGTATGTATATTATATAGTCACTTACTAGCGAAAAGTTGTTCCATTATTTCACTCGATTTTTGCCGAGATCTACCGCATGCTACACAGCCAACTATTTTAGAGTCTTTTTCGATAAATCGCGATAGTGTCACTCTTAATTTAAGTTCTGTCACAATTTCCATCTAGATTTACTACCTTAACTATCAGTAGTAGAATAAATAATAAATAACATAAAATAAGCTCCGTAAAGACTGACAAATACACAAAATTTCAAATCAAATTCAAATGTATCAAATGAATCGTCAAACAGAACTGTCAAGGATCCCCACCCTAAAGTCCTTTTTCCGCCCACCATGCATGAATACATGGATAGCATTATGCTCCTTCCTTAGTCTTCTGATTCAAAGGGTACTACTAACTATTTATTTCTAAAATTTGACATAAAATACAAGGTATTTATGAGTGAAAATAAAAACGGTATTCTATATTACCCGAAATTGCTCTATATTTATCTAAGAGAGTAAGGACAAATAAAATAATTTTGTCAACCAACAACAATAAAAGTAAAGTTGAAATGAATATGTCATTTTATGGCCTTTATAACCGACTACGTATACGTAAAGCGTAATTTTAAAAATCCTCAAAATTCAAAATTCCTACAAAATCTTGTGGCAACTAATTGGCTTTAATAACAGATAAGAAGGTATGTGATGCATGTATAAATTTGTAAAATTATATACCTGTGTACAGAAAAATCTAAATTAATTTTGTAGCTAATGGGAGATAGACTTTTTATAGCTGATATTGAGAAAGCTGCAAGACTGCATGCTTCTGTTATCAAATCGGATGTATACAGTTACCATTTCAACTACCGAGGTAGTTCGAGCTTTTCAGAACTAACATCAAAATCAAAAAATAACATTGGTAAAAATCAATTTCAAACATATTTATAGACGCTAAGAATAACTAAATAATTCACAGGTGTATGCCATGGAGATGACACAATATTACTACTAAAAGTAAAAGAAATATCAGATTCTTTACAAAACGATGATGATAAGAAAATGTCTGAATTTTTAATAAACATGTTTATGAGTGTAATGCAGAAAAGGTTGCGTCTATAAATCCTTATTTAAATATTTATATTTTCAATACATTTTTTCAGGAGCATTGACATTAAAGCTAAATGGGAGCCACTTTTGAAAAATGCACAAGATCCATACCAAATATTAAAAATTAACAAACATGATGACGCAATATTGCTTTCAAAGAAAAGTCTCGGGAACAGTGAATTCTGGAATAGGTTTCCTTTTCAAGAAAATGATAATATTTTAACACAAAAGGACGAATTATAAAAAAATATATATTTTACTATATCTAACCTATATATGAACGTACAAAATTAATTTAATTTAAAATTAGTGGGTTAATAGATTGATATTTTTAAGTAGAGTTTATAACATATGTTAAAATATTCTATATTTTTTATATTATATACTATGTTGTATGTAAGCAACATGTTTTTAAAAATAAATATTTTATATTGCCAACTCCATTCAATGAAATATGCGGTTTATACATAAACGAACTAATTCATCTAAAATATAAAAACCTTACTTTGTTAAAACGTACGATTTTTTTAGCTTATAGGAGACCGTCTTTTTGTGGCAGATATTGAAGCCTCAGCAAGATTACACTCAGCAGTTACTGAGTCTGAGGTTTATAATTATGTGTTCTCCTACAGAGGTGCAGTTAGCAAATCAAATGTCAGAACACAATCAAATGTCAATATAGGTAAGTTTTTCATAAGAATATTTTTTTTGTTATATTTTTCATTATCTATACGAAAAATAGTATTAAGAACTGGCAATTGATTTATGAGCATATGTTCCCTCTCAGTGTTCCCTGCAACGATACAGCTGTAGTAGACTTCAATCACAAATAGAGCAGTTGCCTGATAGTAGGTTAATCAAACAACGACAAAAAAAACAAATTATACAAACTGTACCGCATAAATAAAGGAAATAAATTTAGATTGGAATGCCCGTCAAAAATTTGGGTCGCGAAATTGTTTTGGGTCGCGACCGTTGTACGCGATCTGGCGCTGCTATAGCGGTTGTTAACAACCGCAAACAAAAACAGAAATAATTTTCTCTTGTCTATATTTCTTGTCAGTCAGAATTTTCAAAAATTATAAAATCTTTCAAAATATAAACTGCTCTCATTGAAAATATTCCAAAAAGTGTTTCAAAGTAATTATTGCTATCTTGTGAGTTTAATTTAAGTGTTGTTTACTCAAACCCGTAATAATAGTGAAAAAGTGGAATAAAAAACTTAAAAAGCTGTGCTGTGAACTGTGAACTGCAAAATCCATCGTGGATCGTGGCATAATGTCGGTTCCCAATGTTTCATAGGTATTTCATACATGTACTTATATAAAATAAAGTTTCTTGTATACAACACACTGTATTTCATTTATGAAATTAAAAGAAAATAATAATATATTTGAATAATTAATATTTGGCGATATAATTCCGGAAAAGGCCGAATCGTTCCGAAATTTTCAAAAGCTTTGGGTCGCGGCCGGCCGTTGCAAGATTAGCGCCAAATATGGTTTACATTGTCCTTATGGGCACTTTCCATTCTAAACTTGTTTCATTTATCTACATATACTGTACCGGTAAACGTGCCTAGTGTTAGGCATGTTCGGTCCTCTGGTTACTGGTATCGGGGACTTTTTTCACAAAACCGATATCGAAAGACCAATACAAAATGGTACACAAATAATTTCAAGCGGTACTGAAATACCTGTTCAAAGCTGTTCAAAGTGGTACAAAAGTCAAAAAACGATAATTTCAAATTGCTTCACAAACTTGCAGATTGCCTCTTTCAAGAGGACTGAATAACGTGGGGCCTTAACTGGCCGACGCCGGACTACCCTATCCGCAGTCTACGGCTCCACTTTTTTTTTATTTGCCCAGCTCTAAAATGAATATGTTGGCTCTGGACATTTTATAATTTCCATCGTAAACAGCCGCAACCGAAAGAACCTTTAATACTTATCGATTTGTTCATCGGCTAAGAAGAAACAGATTTGCCGTGGAAAGGGCCGAAAAACTTACTTATATTGCCCATAATTATAATTTACTAAATAGAGAAGAACATTCAAGAATGGTAGAAGCTGCTGAGAAAGAAATGGAAAAAGAAGAAGATATCGATTTCGAAGTATAATAGACTTGACTCAATTAACGAAAGAAGAATAAGATGACGAGTTTGAGGATGATTTACCATTATTCATTCATTACATACTATAATATACGCCACTCTGACTCAGTCAAGCTTAAGCGGCCTACTCACGTGGCAATTTGCAGGGTCCAATCTGCAGGGAACGATATCGGGTTTTGTCTACACATGTCCCAATTTATCAGTAGGTTTGGTATTTTCTGCGTGCGTGTTTTACACCATTATAACATTATGGCTCCCTCAAAGCGCCAAAAAATCGGTATAGCATTGTCACTAGTGGTTTTGGAGTCAGATAAAAAGAAAAAGAAAAGGAAGTTCTGGACAAAACCATGGTTACAAAAAAGAAATAAATTTTGTCATTCAATTTTATTGAAGGGATTGGAAGCAGAGGACTTCAATTTTTTTTACGGATGGATACTAACTGTTTTGATTCTACTTTTTCAACAAAAACAAATATCTAACCTAACTTCTTCCAATTAACAAATCGTTCAGACAACTGCACCACACACGCTCCGATTTGCAGGGTATTGGGGAGGGGAGCAGGGCGATTGGATCGATGGGACATCCAACTAGCCGATATCAGGAAGTTGTTCACGATTGCACTCCACACGGTACAATTACGCCTCAATCAGCAGGGTCTCTGCAGATTGGACCCTGCAAATTGCCACGTGAGTAGGCCGCTTTAAAAATACGTCCTTGTCTTCTTGTAATATTTTTACGAAATATTTGTGGAAATATTTCATGAAACATTTCGCAAAACATTTCTGGAAATAGTACGATAAATATAAGCCCGTGTTATAAAAATTAGTTCCCACGTTTCCTGAAATAAGATCGAGACGCGCCGTGATTGGTTTGTTTTTTATTGTTAATTAACCCAGATAACCCAAACCAAACCAAACCAATCACGACGCGTCTCGATCTATTTCAGGAAACGTGGGAACTAATTTTTATAACACTGGCTTATATATTTATCGTGCTATTCTGTGTAATAGCACGAGGCAATCAAGGTCAAACGTTGTTTTGGCTTCAGAAAAATAAGTAAACAGGGGCGGATACAGGAATTTATTTTAGGGGGGGGCCAAATAAAAAGTAATGAGGAATATGCCTTTTAGGGCACCATTTTTAACCCAAAAGGCTAATATTTAACCCAATTAACAGATTTTAGGGGGCACCGGGCCCCATGGCCCCCCCTCTGTATCCGCCACTGTAAGTAAACATGGAAAAACCTTGGAAAAACTGATATAAAAACAGTTACCAATAGTAAATTAAATTGGCTATTCCAAGGTTACACAAGAATATTTAGTTTTAATAATTGTCTAATATTATTAATTACAATATAGTAAAAATATATAACAGTGACTAACTAGCGATCTACCATTTATCGGCTTATAATCCACGGTATTATCCTCATGAACAAAATATACACAAAATTATTTAAAAAATCGTCCAATTATTTATTATTACTGGTAAAGTAACATTTATGCTGTAGTCTGTAGCAAAGTTTAGTTTACGAATTTGGTTTTGTTTTTCCAGTTTTAATTGTCTAAATACCTGCATAATAAATACTAGTTGAATGGATTTATATCAAACCATCCTGGGTGCTAATAAAAGTATCGCTTACAGATTTCTCTTAAGAACAATAAAAGAACATTGCTTTTAAATAATGTCCGTGAACCATACTTTTGTCGACATCGGGTAAATTAATAATTTTCCCAAGCGAATATATTGATAATGTTACCAGTATTTTAGAAACGTCTAGGTTTACTTATTTCACTGAGATTTATGAAAAAAATCCTTTGCCTTGGATACAGATACCGCCACGTTTTGGAAATAGAGTAGTTTTCAGGTGCCTTTAAGAATCGAAAGTAGGCCAAGGCAAACCAAAGTGGGTCAGGTCCAAGGACTGTTCGATAGCGTCAAATCGCCGCTATCGTAGTCACCGTGGATGCTTACGTCACGCAGGGACCAGCGCTCCACAGTGCGGCGGATGGTTATTCTAGCGGGACAAAATCTCAGGAGCAATATTATATGGTTGGTTGATAAAAATGTATCGAAATACAAAGGATATATACGATCAAAAAATAATTCCTGCATTTTTATATCAATTGGAATGTCTACTATTTATTCTTATCAGTACACATTTTTGGCTTATTTCTAACCAAACGGTTTTGTCCCGCTAGATTTATCTTCCGCCGCACTGTGCGCTCGTCCGTCAAAGGCAAAAATAACTGTCACTGTCTAAAATCTTTAGCCCGAACTTCAACTCGGTCCCTAGAAAACGTAAAAAAACTGACAGTACAGGAAGATAGGAATCGAACTATCCTTATCTCTATAGTATCCTTGGGTCAGGTCAAGACAACTGGAAATAAATCGAAATGCGTCAAAGTTGGGCGACGAAATGCGACCTTGACATTTTTCGAATTGTTTCTCGCATAGTATAGACGCGAAGTTTTTTAAAAAATAATATTATTTAAAAAACTGTTTTTTTTAAATTACCAATGTTACCGTAATATTACCGATTTATAAATTACCAGTAATTTTACATCACTAGTTATGGCGTTTTTCCTTAACAAGGCAATACAGAAATAACATCTGACTGCAGTATACATACGCCACCGCATGTCGAGATTACAAATGCAGTGAATGGAACGGACGGAAGAAAGAAATCATAAGGCAGTGCCGTAAGACCCTATAAGATGGATAATTTAATCTAACAAAAATATTATCTTTTTTCTCAAACAAATTTCTCAAACAAGCCGTTTAATTTTTTGCAAAAAAATCACAATTGATCGCAGGCAAACAAGGCGCGTTTAAAGTTTCCTGATAGCCTTGTTTTTAGCCTGTAAAGTCGACCAATGATATAACCAGAGTGGCACCTAACCTAACCTAACCTAGCCACTGATCTATATCAGCGCAAACTGATCGGGCTGTGTGAGCATCAATTTGCACTTATATTGCCACGTGTATTTATGGTTCATTTTATTGCATATTAGAATATTTGCTCCTCACTTAACTGTGTGGGACCCAATAGCGCGTATACGGGAGTGATAATGGAGATAACTACCCCTCCCAAGAAGAGATTTATAAATAAGATAATACCAATCAAAACAGAAAATCCAGACCACTCCAAGTTTATTTTTGCCACTTCACAATATATTTCAGTTCAAATTTAATTTAAATCTTATGTTACTTAAATATTGCCACTACCCAAGACTTAATCTAAGTTTAAGAACCTCTAACTTCTAGATGCGCCACTTCAGAACCTAACGCATCTTAGATAATATATTCTAAGGGCCCACTAGAACGTATAATTAAACATTTAGGTCTGTGAATTTTAAACTCAATTGCGTTTAAACCATTAACCTATTATATCATTTTTTCAGGTTCTTCTCATGGAGACGACACAATTTACACAATGAAAACACAGTTAGATACCCTATCAACTGAAGAAGACAAACATATGAGCAAAATACTGCTTGATTTGACAGTATCGTTTATGAACACTAGGTAATATCTTAAGTAGCAAATATTTTCTTCGAGATTATTAAAAATAGTGAATATTTGAGACAATAACCCTTAACGTGTTACCTAAAAATATCCGACCACTGAGAATTTTAGACGAAATTTAAAATACTCAATTTTATTTATGAAATAATATATTACAAAAATGGGAGATCTTATGAGAGAAAAAGGATCTTTATACCCAACTTTCTTATGTACCGTGCTTTCATTTTAATTTGTCCCGCTTTTAAAAGGCTGTAAAATATTTATTTTTTCAGTTAAAAGGTTGAGTAAAAAAAGAAATTGTAGTATTGTTAAGTTTTGCCGTTGAGTCAAAATTGTATAAACTGTCAAAATTATTGACATAACTTACTTTTTTTTAAATGGCACACCCTCTATATCATTAAATATCTAAAGAATTTTTTTCCTGATTACGAAAATGTGCCACACTTGCCCTTTATTTTCATTAGTTTAGCGCAAATTCATATAAATATGATTAAAATTATAATTTTTCAACATTAAGCAAAGATATTTAGATTTTAAATATCTTTGACATGAAGATACCCGCGTTTATTATTTTGTTTCCAAGAACTGTATAATTTTTACATTTTACATTTTAATCAAATTTATACAAATTTGGCTTAACTACTGAAAAGTAAAGGCAAGTGTGACATATTTTAGTAATCAGAAAAAAAATATTTTTAAATATTTTATGATATATAGGGTGTATCATGTAAAAAAAGGTAAGTTATGTCAATAATTTTGACATTTGACAGTTTAAACAATTTTTCACTCAACAGCATAAAATTTAACGAAAAACACTACAATTTCTTTTTTCATTCGACCACTTAACTCAAAAAATAAATATTTTACAGTCTTTTAAAAGTGGGACAAATTAAAATAAAAGCACGGTATATTGCACGGTCATTTATATTAAAAAAATATTACACAAATATACCTCATATTTTTACCGTGAGTGTAACCATTTTTTCATTCTGCAGAAAACCCAACATCACTTCATTGTGGGAGCCAGTGAAGAAATCACTTGAAGAGACCCTTCATCAAATGAAAATTGAAAGTCCTACAAAAATTTCAATGAACTATCCAAACGAGGTTGGGGAAAGAAGTTTTTGGCACTCGTTACCGTTAATAGAGAATCACTACTTAAACAGTATTATTAAAGATGAGTTGTAGGAAAATGTCTTATAGTATTATGAAAGCCAAAAAGAACATCTGTAAACATAACATTATTTTTTATTAAAAAATATCTTTCAAATATGAACAAATTAGACATATTAATCTGTTTTACCTTAACAAAAAACTAATAAATAAATACAAAATAAAGCTGTTTAATTCTTTGTTTCAACTTGTACATATTAAATTAATAACTAGTTTGAAGCTTAAAGTATTTTTACAGATATTATACAGATAGAACTCTTTTGTCTTGTGAAAATATATCACTATTTATAAGATTTTTTGTAAATGATATTAATAAAAAGTTATCACACTAAACTGTAACACCAACTTCACCCAAAATATCTGATAATCTCTCTAAATGAACAGTCACAGAACTAGAATCCCTATTTTTCTGACTCCTATTCAGTAACTGGAGTGCATTCATATATTCCAGCTCACTAAATTCTGGTCCTTTATCTACTATACCATTCAAAATTTCCTAAAAAATAAGTTAATACAGAAGATAATACACAGATGGAACTTAAATTAAAATTATAATATCCAACTTATAAATAAAACAGACATAATTGATATTTTTGTTAAGAGGTATATAATAAAATTATATGAGTTTCTTGCCTTGAAGTGCTAAATTTTTATGAAAAATAAATAATATTTAAAATAGACCAGCAATTTTTGATACCCCTGTATACATTAAACGAATCGATCAAGTTTTATTTCTTTGGATTAAAAGTCAGTACAAGAAATAATTCTGGAAAGCAATGTACAGGGTGTTGCCATTTGTTTTTATTATAGCATGCATTTTTAAATATCTTTAAATATCCCCCTAACCAAACCAAAGCTTGTAAATATATGTAACTCTTATAATAAATGCCTTATTTTGTGTGTCCAAATATGAAATAAAATACAGGGTGTCCCATAAGAACAAATATAACTTTGGTGTGGATCTAAGTTCTGACATACCCTGTACATTTCAAAATAATTTTAAATTATGCACATTGCCTTCCCACATATACCCATAAAATATTTTATTTCTACATCTTTCCGTTTTCGTATAATCAAGGGAGGCGCCACCCTGTATACAGGTTGAGCCTTAAATAAGTGCAAATACTTTCAGGGTCGGTAGATCTCGATAAAATAAACATATTTTGTCTTCGAGTCCAAAGTCCAAAATAACGAGATATATTACTATGAAAATTAAAAAAAATTGATTAAATCTTGAAACTGAAAAATATTGAAACTGGATCTTTCCTAGGTTTTCTTTCTTGTAAATTTAATCCACTTATTAAAAAATTATTAGCACAAAAATTTAATCCACAATTTAAAAAATCCAAAAAAATAAATAAAAAATTCCAAATTTTCCAAAAAAAATGTTCGCACAAAAACCTCATCCAGGGCCGGCGGAAGGACCGGGCGACGGGGCGCCGTATCGTGGAGCGCCACGACAGCATCTAAAATATTTAAAAAAATATTTGTTCGTGGTATTTTACTTATAACTCAAAAGATATCAACTTTTTGTAAATAACCCTTCTTTCTATAATTCTTGTTTTTACAAATTTTCTCATTAGAACAAGACAAAGGGATATGCATCTCAAATATTGGCTGATCCTCATTTTGAAGCCGACAAAACTGTATCTGATAATATACTGATTCTGCACGAAATAATTGATCAAAAGTGGCTCACCACTATAACTTGGTTATTTTTTCATATGAAAAAAACGAGATTTGGTATGTTAGTATACAACATAAATTAGGATTAATTGACGTATTCAATTGTTTTTGGTCACTTCCTGTTTTATCTGGATTTTACTACAACTTTTGATTTTTTAATGGCATCCTCGGTATATTTCTACTACGACAGAAAATAACACTCTGAATCTTTGAATAAGAAGACTAAGGAAGGAGCATATCAAATCTTAGGTACACCGCGATGGGCGCAAATATGGCCGACTTAAATTCCGGGATTTATCAAGTGTCATTCAAATTTTATTTAAAAAATGTAAAACTATGATGTAGAGGGTAGACATGGGGTAGACTCAATAATTTGTTGTTTTATTTTTACGTTGTGAATAAATGTTGAGTAGTTATTAAAATTGTTATAAAAATTATAATTCTAATAAAAATAGATAAGTTATAATAAGTATTTATTAACATAAACATCCGATACGCTACTGAAGCAAGTAAAGTGAAATTAACGTATCGATTCTTTGACATCTAATCTTTGACAAGTAATAAATAAAAGCTAAAATGCAAGAAAAATATATAATTTAGTTAATTTAAGTGAATTTCATAAATGATCGGTTTACTACACGTATGTATATATACATGTATATGTATACTACACGTATGTATGTATACGTATGTATATATACATATGTATATATATAGTCACTTACTAGCGAAAAGTTGTTCCATTATTTCACTCAATTTTTGCCGAGATCTACCGCACGCTACACAACCAACTATTTTAGAGTCTTTTTTCGATAATCGTCATGTCACTGTTAATTTAAGTTCTGCTACAATTTCCATCTAGATTTACCTTTATACAACTATCAGTAGTAGAATAAATAATAAATAACATAAAATAAACTCCGTAAAGACTGACAAATCCACAAAATTTCCAAATCAAATTCAAATGTGTCAAATGCATCGTCAAACAGAACTGTCAAGGATCCCCACCCTAGAGTGCTTTTATGGCGCTTTCCACTTCATACCTGAATACATGGATAGCATTATGCTCCTTCCTTAGTCTTCTTATTCAAAGCTCTGAATAGAATGACATATATGTCAACTTTTAACATTTTCGCATATTTTATTAAGGGTTTATTGGATATTATAACAACAATTTGACTCGAAATACCAAGTGTGTGGTACAGAATTATTCGTAAAAAATGTTTTTCTTTTCCAAATATGCTACTGAGCATATTTGAAAAAATTGGCGCCGGGAGGCACGTATAGCCGCCCATACTAAAATATGTTAATATCTCGAAAACTGCGACTTTGACTGATTTTGATGTTATTACAAATTTTGTTGCAAATATTATTCCTAATCTTAATCTGAAAACCGCGTTTCGCTAGCTACTGTAATTTTGGGTTGCCAATCCTAATAGCCTACCACTATGTGGTATGATCCGGCTAAAATGACATATGATTAAAAATACGATTTGGACGTATTAAATCGGTCAGGACAAGACACAGCGTAGACGATCAAATCTATTTTTCCAAGGCTCCTTGTTTAAAAATTAGTGGTTTTAACACAGCCATGGCACTCGAGATTGAAATTTAAAATACGATTTCAGCTATGATATGTCATTCTACTCAGAGTGTCATTTTCTATCGTAGTAGAAATATATCGAGGATGCCATTTAAAAATCAAAAGTTGTAGTAATTTCCGGTAAAACAGGAAGTGACCAAAAACAATTGAATACGTCAATCAATCCTAATTTGTGTCATATACTAACATACCGAATATTACTTTTATTATTACGTTTATACGAAAATGAAAAAACTTTTAGGGTTGAGTCGCTTTCGAGACGTACCCGGTATAGAAAAAAACAAAAAACAACAACCTTAGACTAAGAGTGAACGAAGAGAAGAATTTTGAAGGATCTTTAAGTGAAACTTTATTGTTAAAATAGCATAAATATGCTTTGGTGTAGCTAAAGTATAGTATTGAAGGAAAGAGAGAATTATAATAACTATTAAGGGGGGGGCGCCAGATAGTGTACTCGCCCGGTCTCAATATTTCCCTTCCGCCGGCCCTGACCTCATCCTCATAGACATATCTCTGGGGTCGAAAGATACTACCCCTAAAAATATTTGCACTTATTCAAGACTCATCCTGTATATATAAAATGGTTCAAATATTCATTCACATATTCACATATACCGGGTGTGTCTCAAAAGTGGCTCACCCCTATAACTTTTTTTATTTTTTCAGGTAAAGGAACGAAATTTGGTATGTCAGTATTTGACATAAATTACGATTATTTATTACAGTATTTGACATATTATTACGATTTTCTGATGCATTCAAATGTTTTTCGTGACTTCCTGTTTCACCAAAAATGACTACAACTTTTGATTTTTAAATAGCACCCTCGGAATTTTTTTAATTTATTCGATAAAAAATGTCACTCTGAATAAAATGGCAGATTTTATGTCAACTTTTTACATTTTCGCTTTAAAAAAAATAGTATTTTAAATTCCAATCAGAGTGCCATTGCTGGATTAAAACACTAATTTATTAATCAAGGAGCTTTGGAAAAACATATTTGATCGTCTAATGTTTTTCGTGCCTTATCCTGGCTGGTTAAAAGATGCCCAAATCGTATTTTTAATTAGTGGTGGGATAACTCGAGCGAAAATTCGCTCGAGTACTCGATTATTGAAATAACCTACATCGCTCGATTATGAACGAACGATGTAAGTGACGAGTTACGAGCGACGAACGCAAGCGATCCTAGAATAAAATAAATTGAAATCTGATTTTAATGTGACATACTCGATACAAAGCAGAGCGAATTTTCTACATACACTGAAATGGTAGCAAATTTATACGACGTTATCCGTTCCGTATCCGAATGACAAAATTTTTACGACCTACCTCGACAATGCTTTAAATTAAACTAAACCAAGCGAATTACTCGTCGCTCGTCGCTTGCCACTTGCCATTCATCACCGAAAGAATATGTGCTCTGCGCACGCAACTTACTGCTTGGCGTTACCAGTTGCGAGTATAACAAGCGACGGGCAAATAAACATATTTTTAAATAGGTGCGAAATTTCGCTCGAGCGATCGCCCGATTATTGAATTCGCTTGAAACTCGAGTACTCGATTATTGAAATTAATCGGTTTTTCCCATCACCATTTTTAATCATATCTCAATTTTTTCAAATGGAACAAGGGTGGCTCATTAGCATTTTTGGAAAAAGCATTTTTTACAAATTATTTGGTACCGCACACTTTCAACTAAACCATATAAGGAAATGTCAAAAGTTGACATATGATATGTCATTCTATTCAGAGTGTCATTTTCTCTCGAATTAAGTAAAAAAATACCGAGGGTGCCATTTAAAAATCAAAAGTTGTTGTCGTTTCCGGTGAAACAGGAAGTGACCAAAAACAATTGAATACGTCAATCAATCCTAATTAATGTTATATACTAACTCACCAAATCTCGTTTTTTTTTATCTGAAAAAATAAAAGTTATAGGGGTGAGTCACTTTTGAGACGCACCCGGTATATCTACAAAGAGATAATCAGAATTTAGCTTCATTGTTGAATTTAATAGAAATTGTGTATGTTTTAAACTGTAATTCATTTAAACTTTAATAAGTTGAATTAATTCTAAAACTTAAGAAGTAACTATAAAAATGTTGGATTTTAAAAGCAATAATTCTGATTTTTAGTATTTTTGGATAATAAATTTTACCTCTGGAGACAAGAAAAACAATTCAAAATAGTGTCTGGCATGATCAAGGGCAACTTCTCTAGTCATTGTAATATTAGTAAGTGTTTGCTGCAATGCAAAAATATTTCTGCACATTCTTTGAATTCCAGCATCATCAATAACTTTCATGTACTGTGCCGAACTGATAAGTATTTTGGCTATTAGATGCCCCAAGCCTTCAAAAATATACTAAAAAATAAACTTTAGTTCTACCGAGAATTACACATTGCAGATGTAATAAACAACCTTGCATTTTCTTGGATGTAAACTAGACGTCATTGCTTCATCTACATTGGCTAAAACACGACTCAGTTCAAGAACCTTTGGATCTGGCTCATGAGTTTCCTTATTATGATGGGTTTGGGCTAAAAGATAGTGGAAGCACTGTACTCTAACCTAGAAGGAAAGCAAGTTATATATAATTGTAAATGTTGGTGCATATACATAAAATCAAAACCACCCTAAATTCAAATTTAGAAAATACGAGTCTAATTGTTCAAACAATTCATATTTCTATAGTTCTTTTAAATCCTGCTAAAATGTATTTACTACAAAGTAATGTGATAGTATAAAAGTAATATAATCTGGTTGAAAACACATTAAATAATAAGATATTAATAGGTATTCTTAAAAATCAAAATATCCTTAATACAGGGTGGCGCCTCTCATGCGACGCGGAGGTTCCAAGGAAAACGACAGGAGAAGTCTATGACTAAAAGTAAGGTTTTTGACATAGGTATTTAACATTTTCTAAAAATGAAAACAATTTTTCAATTTCAATAAAAGCTACCTAAATTGGGATTTACCCGGTATAGCCTATTATGTAGTTAAAATAACTATTGTACCTACTTTAAATCAAATTAAAATTTGGCCCAAAAGGTTATACAGGGTGAGACAAAATTAATATTAAAGATTGAAATTTTTTGTCTGAGGGGTAGGCAATCTTAATAATATTATGAAGATATATGAATTTTCAAACAAGGGGGCTGTGACGAAGAAATAAAACGTAGACTTGCAATAGCTCGTAACTCAAAAATAAAACTGACACAAATATGTGCTATAATAAGCTATATCCCAGCGCAACAAATTAAAATGCTGGATTTAAATGCTGCTAATTACGACCCGAATTCTGAAAACAAATAGACAAAAAATAGATTTCTACAGAAGAATGCTGCGAATTTCATACACAGAACACAGAACCAACGTCTCAATTCTAAGGCAGTTGAAAGTTACCACAAGACTTTCAACCATAATAAACCAATCATACCTTAGGTACTTCGGACTGGAAAAAATCAAACCAATCATACCTTATGGACTGGAAAAAATCATAATCGAAGGGAAGATTAATGGCAAACGACCAAAAAGGAAGGTCTCCAACACGCTGGGTGGACCAAACCAAAAAAAATATTGGTCACGGTCTGCAAGAGCCTTAGCTTCTCTAGCCGCTCAAGATAAAGAGGAATGGATAACAACGATCCGCGCAAGAGACATGATGCCACCATAGTTTCATATATATATCTTATAAATTCATATCTTCTAGTTAACGAACTAGAGGATATGAATTTTCCATTGAACACCGGAATAATATACTGGGTATTCCATTTAAAATAAAGGAGTAACTTGCTTTTAAAAGTGACCAATGTTCAATATTAATTTTGTCTCACCCTGTATAAATTTTCGGGTCAAATTTTAATTTGATTTAACATACAATGGTTATTTTAACTAAGTATCAGGCTATACAGGGTAAATTAGAATTTAGGTAGTTGTTATTGAAATTTAAAATTTATTCTTCATTTTCACAAAATGTGGAATATGTCAACATCCTTACATTACAGACATGCTTCTTTAATAAAACTCACCTTTATTTTTATTTTTTTCCTAGAATCCGAAAATCAATTAACATATACATATATAGGGTGTTCCATTAGAAAAAAGCCAACTTTGATGCGTAACTTTTTTTGGGGACACCCTGTAGAACTAAAATCCCATATTTTCATTCCGATATAAACTACCGTTTCCTTGGAGCCTCCGCGTCGTATGAGAGGCGCCACCCTGTACACAAGTAAGGGATGGTTATGATGAACCTTTTTGAGACGTGGATCAAATTTCGCTGGTACTATTTTTTAGTACTAGTTCGTGGGTCATTAATGCCCATCTGCCCAGAAATTTCCCTGTTTTCATGATATTAGTAAAATTAGAATTTATTTTACCTCTAAGTGTAATAATAGAAGACAAGTATTTGCCAATTCATCATACTCCTGTGCAATACTAGTAAGATGATGAATTGTTCCACTTGAAACAGGTTGCATCAAATCAGAATGAGTATTATTGTCAGCTTTTGGTGGTGATAATCTGGATGGCTCCAGTCTAAACTCACTTGTATATTGAAACATACGTACTGAAAACCATTCCTAAAAATATATAATTTAATGCTTTCTCAACTAACAAATCAGCTGCTAGAATAGAGTTTAAATATGTGACAATTATTATTAACAAAACATAAGTAAATATATATTTAAGTGAAAACTTTTCTTTCTTTATTCATTCTGAAGTATACCTAGATGTTCCACATTAAGATACAATGTGATACTCTGGAGCTCAAAAAATACCATCAAAGATTTCTTTATGAATTCACATAATAAAAACGAATAAAGTTTTTTACTTCTTTGACTTTGTTGCATGATATTTTAGCTTGGACCCGAATTTGTAAAAAAATTTAAATACAAATATTTGTTGATAAAAAATTGTGAAGATAGTGTGTCTTTATTCCCTCATTAGAGGATATTCATCACATAATACAATTTACTAAACTCAATCTACCTTATCAACTGGACTGATTTTTTTTTAAAAACCTCAACATGTTCATTAAACATCGAATAAAAAGATTAAGAATAAAATATATCTACGAATTTAGTTAGAGGGCGATGGAAGATTAATTTGGCTGACTTAAATTATGGTTTATTAGTGTTGTTATAATTTTATTTAAAACGTTAAAAATATACTGTAGGGTAGACACAATAATTTATTGGTTTTGTTTGACGTTGCCAATAAGTAATATTAGTTATTAATATTGATAAAAATATATATAATTTGTAAAAAAAATAGGCAAGTTTCAATAATTATATTTATTAACAAAAATACCAAATACGCTACTGAAACACCTAAATAAAATTAATTTCTGTAACATTAAGAGTAAAGAATGTTTAGAAGTGCGCGCCACTGGGACATAAATCATACTTTAATAATCCACATGAGATGATAGAGTCACTTCTCAAGATTAATAGTAAAAATACATAAGACTAAAATGTTTATTTATGCATACCAACTTACCATACTTTCCTGTAGGGTAGCTAGATCTTTTAACAACGACATATCAGATAAAATTTCACCAGCTGATACACCTGAAAAATACTCGCATTATTAAATTCTAATTTGTTCCTCTCACACCTACCTCCTTCTCCTAAATTACTAGCCAATATCTCTGCCTCTTTCCTGTTTCTCATTCTAACATCTTCAGGGCTTTCTTCTTCAGAAGGTTGATCTCTCAATATTCTTCTACCTGTTAAAATATATACCTAGTGTAATCAATTGATTTTTAAAAAATAAAAATAAGCACCTCTCTCCGTTCTAGCATGGAACTCTTGTTGAGCTTTCAAATTTAACCAATTTGGAAGTGACCTGCAATGAAGAAGTACATCAGCACCAAATAATAAGTATAACATCACAAATATCTACTTTAAAAATCGATTTATATCTTCGTCTTTTAACCATGCAGCACTGCATATTCTCTTATCTTCAGAGTAAGGCTGCACTATACCCCTATAAGCTGCATAACATGTATCTTTGTACTCTCTAAGGGCTAGTACAGAATATTCAGCAATTTTTTCACTATAAAGTGGCAAAGATTGGAGTACCGCCTTCCACTCTCTAATACATCTCTCAACTGTTACTGTACTCTAAAAGATAACAGTGATCAAAGACGGATTTCTTAAAAAATAATATTTCAAAATACCACTAAAAGAGGTTTATAATCGGCTGTTAAATCCAGCAAAACGGTACTTTTCCAGGCATCTGTAGCCTTGAAAGCATTTTCTATTTGCTCAACAATCTCTTCAGACTTTCGTTTTAAATAAATATTGGATATATGTTGAGTTATGTACTTATATAGTGAACATGTTCCATGGGACATACCTGGAAATAAACAATGCAAAATTTTACTAACTTAAATTAGTTTCATAATTTGTAGTAGACAAAGTAGACATCGGATTATAATAAATATATTAAAAAATAATGCATATTATGTGCCATCAAAAGGCCAAAATATACATGAAAGTATGCACTAAACTACATGCACTAAATATGCAAAACCAAAATATTTTTTTATAATCCATAACAATACAATATTACTGATAATTGAAAAAAAAACTATACAGGGTTTCCCAATGGTGTCCCGTGGACATAGAACTAGTACGTATTTTTGGAATCAAAATAAGTTCATTGCACACCATTTACCTCTATACAAAAGTTCTTCGTTTGTCCGCTAGAGAGCATCAAACTTTAAAAAATAAACACATTTTTTCAGATATTTTAAGAGCCGTTATTCCTATTTGCATGAGATTTTGGGTGTCTATGTTTTGCTAAGTGCTCTAACATTTGACTTTCACAAAACTCGGGAAAAAGTACGGGAAGGGTGAAAACTACCTGCACCCTTACATAAATTTTACTATAAATATTTTGCAACTCCACCAACAGCCGATTTTCTTTTGGTAAAATGGTCCATCTAGTATTTATTATATTTTTTGTCCCTTGTAAAAAATCGCCACTGTTTTTTATCACATTAAGCTTGAAGGCACATAAAAGCTATTATGCTATAATAATCTAGTAGGCAAAAATATGAAATTTTATGTTAGTATCACAAATTATATTTGACGATAAGCTTCATAAAAAGCTTAAAAAATTAATAATTTTATAAATAATTAACATTCGGGTTTATCTTCGAATGATGTTCTCTAACGGACCAACGAAGCACTTTTGAATAAAGATAAATTATGTACAATTAACTTATTTTGATCTAAAAAATACGTAAGTAGTTGTTCTATGTCGACGAAATATTGGAACTTCCTGTATATTTTGTAGATCTGCTTTGGAAAAATAAATTCTTCAATTTTTTTTACAAAAACTATGCGATGTGGCGTTTTTTTACAAGAAACAAAAAATGTAGTAAATACTACCAGTAGAGAAACTATTTTACGAAAAGAAAAACTGTCGTCCATGGAGTTGGAAAATATTTATACTAAAATTTTTGTAGGGGTGGTGGTAGTTTTCACCCTTCCCGTATTTTTTCATGATTTTGGTGAACGCCAAATGTTAGTACGTATGCACTTCGCAACACATTTAATGTCCTCTAGCGGACATACGAAGCACTTTTGTATAGAGGTAAATTGTGTCCAATGAACTTATTTTGATTACAAAAATACGTAGTATAGTCTATAAAATGAATAACTTTGAATTTTGACCGTTATTTTTTACCAACATGACAAATATAAAATACCTCTGTCAATAAAGTTACTGATATTCGTTAAATTGAGTGACTGAACGAATCAGATAGGTAACTCTTTTTACTTTCGTGAAATAGAAAAGGAAAATTATAAAACAAGTCACAGTTCTGCCACTTCTTGCAAAAATCAACACGAAATGGCATAATTGTCAAAAGTCAAATGTCATCAGCTTTTGGCATTTCTAAATATCAGACCAATGCCGTCTCTAATAGTCACGCTAGTTAGATACTACGGATTAATAAATATGTTGTAGAATACATGGAAAACATAATTATTCCTCGTGTTTTTGGTTTGTATTTTAAAAATGATATAGTTTACATGAAATATACATAATATACAGTTAATAAATACAATATAGTATATACCTATTTATAGTAATAAATACTTTGGCAAATAAAACTATGAACCATACAAATGCAGCAAATGTTTTACAATATACAAATAATTAATAGGTACATAAGATAATGGGTAAAATGTAAAATATATTTTAAATTTTGGTTTGAAAATCGATTTAATTTAACAAAAGAAACATTCAATATCTACTAATAGTGATGTATTATTATTTGCATTCACAAAATTTATATGTATATTTTGCAAGTATCACTGTGAAAAATTATATTTGCAAATAATACAATATCATAGAAAAAAAGGCGTCAGAGATGGCTATGAAATAAAGATCGGTGTCATTTTATATGTAAAATTATTCTAAAATTTTTGATTTTCTTGGGATTTAGGTTTGGGAAAAACGCTGATTAAGTTTTCATTTGGTTTTTCATTATTTTTGTTGGTTTAAAATGAAAAAAAATCATATGACACAGCACTGATTAAGGCTATAATGTTAGCCTAAACGTCTTTTTTAAACCAAAAAAAAATAATGAAAAACCAAATAAAAACTTAATCAGCGTTTTTATTTATTAACTGTATATATATTTTTTTATATTAACTTATTTATATTAACTGTTTAAATTAACTGAATATTATGTATATTTCATGTAAACTATATCATTTTTAAAATACAAACCAAAAATACGAGGAATAATTATGTTTTCCATGTATTCTACAACATATTAATCTCTAGTATGTAACTAGCGTGACGTCATAAATCTCGTTCCGAGGCTGTTCTATTAGAGACGGCATGGCGTCAGCATGGCCGCAAGTTGCCAACCTAATAAAATTAACACTAGAAAAGCCCGCGGGAACTGTCAAATTCAAAGTTATTCGTTTCACAGACTATAGTTCTATGTCCCCGGAATATTGGGACACCCTGTATATGAGCAAAATATTTATATATTTTTACCACAATATTTTTTTAATGTTTTTTAGAAAAAATTGAAAAAAGAGATTTTAGTGTGTTAGTATACAGGGTGTTTCAAAAAACTAAAATTTGTTTAATAATTTTTAATTTTTAAAATATGTCGCATATATATACAGGGTGTTTCAAAACAAATGCGAAAAACTTTAGAGGGTGATTCCTTGTTCAAAATAAATGGTAGTTTGCTTTATAAATATATACAATATCTCCCTAATGGTTGACTTTTGACCCAATGTTTATAAAGAAAACTAGCCTTTATTTTGAACAAGGAATCAACCCCTGAAGTTTTTCGCATTTGTTTTGAAACACCCTGTATATAGTAACTTTTACCCTCAAAATTTCATTCGAAACGCTAAAAGTACTTGGAAGAAAATTATAACAAATCGAAAAAATATTAAAACTTTAACACCCTGCAGCTACAAAACAAAGCAGAATCGGACCTATGCTGATATGAAAAATAAATCGTATTTTTACGTGAGGAATCGCCTTATGAGAGATGGCACATGTTTTTTGAAACACCCTGTATAACATAAATCGGGATTGATTGATGTAGGTACTCAAATAGTTTCGGTATGGTTTAGGTTACTTCCTGTTTCGCCAGAATTTACTACAACTTTTGATTCTTAAACGGTACCCTCGGTATTTTTTACTTTATTTGATAGAAAATAAGATTCTAAATAGAATGACATATCATATGACAACTTTGGTAACAATGGAACCTTGGAAAGATACAGATTTAATTGTCTAATGCAGTCTAATGTTTTTTGTGACTTTTCCTGGCTGGTTAAAAGATGGCCAAATCGTATTTTTAAACACAATATATATTTTTTTAAATGGAACGAGAGTGGCTTATTAGCATTAGTTTGGAATAAGCATTATTTTATAAATATTTTAGTACACAAACTTTATAAAATTTATATTTCCATTTCTGATCATATTTTAAAACACTTACTTAAAGTCTGTTCAATATCTTCAATAAAACACATAAATGGTATAAATAAAACCAAAATATTATTAGGATGAGGTGAACAGATTAACACTTTGTCCTTTTTGGAAGATTTTAAGGCATTACTAAGGCTAAGGGCACTTGAAGAGCCTTCAAATTTAAAAAGAGTTTTCTTTTTACTAAAATAAAAAATTGTGTATACAAAAAGTTAAAATTTGTAATAACTTAAAAAATTACCTTTGCTGTTTTCTTCTTGAAAAATATGTTGATACATCACCAGGCTCTGCTACATTACTAATTTGGAGATCCGTAGACATGTTTTGCAAGTCCAAATAGTCATTTAAGAAAACTTGTAACTAATATAGTTAAAAAAATAACATTACCAATTATCCTAAACAAAATGGGTTAACAATTTTCATAACATATTGTAGAATTAGTGATAAATTAGGTTTTAAATAATTAAATAATTAATATTTATTACTTTTAATAAAATAATAGAACAATTCTGTAACAGGGTGGCGCACCTCATTCGCCTCGGTTGGTTATACGAAAACGGAAAGATGTAGAAACAAAATTTTTTATGGGTTTATGAGGGTTTATGTGAGGAGGCAATATGTACAATTTAAAATTATTTTGGAATATACAGGATGTTTCAGAACTAAGATCCATACCAAAGTTATATTTTTTCTTATTCACCACAGTATTTTGTTTCATTTTTGTATTCTTGAGCCCAAAAAAAGGCATTTATTATAAAAGTTAAATATGTTTAAAATTTTTATTTTTTTTAATTTTTGAGATATTTAAAGATATTTAAATACCACAGACAACCTAAACAGATGCGACAAACAATGCAAATGTGAAAATTACATTTTGACGAATGCGCCAGGCTAATTTTTCCGTTAGATTTATCATATAGGCGAATTTTACAGCGGACCAGCAAAGTAACCTCCATTCGTTTTCTAAAAAGACACGCCTCCTTTGTGAAGAAAATAGACAGGGAATTTTGTATTTCAAAATCAAATAGAGATTATTTTAATTTCATTAATTTTTTTTCAATGTTTGATACATTCACAATAATTAATAATAATAAAAAAATAAAAAATATTAGTACATTTTAAAAAAGGTTTTTTACTATTAGGTATTTTTATTTATTTCTTAATGAGAACCAAAAAAGCAGTTGTGGCTTCGTGACTAAGGCCATCGCTTCGTGAACGCGAGATCCGTGGTTCAAATCTCACGCCGAACCAGAACTTTTTTTTTCAGTTGTTTTTATTTTTAAAAAATGCTGTAAATATTTAATAGCAATCAAAATACGGATTGCGTTGGCTTCACTCTTTTTGGTGGGGTTAGATTGATTATTGTGGTAATTATTGGTGGGGTTGATTGCGTTGAATAGGTTAGCTATTTCACCAAACAGCTAACCTATTCAACCCCACCGGTTGGTTTGGTTTTTACTAATTTACATTTGTTTAGCGTTCGTTAATCTCTGGGGTAAGTTGGCATTTTTATTTTCCGGAGCCGGCATCCGTGCTCCCGAATTTTGGAAGCCTTCATCTCCTAAGCTTTCATCTCCTAAGAGGGAAAAAGTCGGTACAAATTATTCCTTAAAAATTTGTTCTGGAAGTTTGATATTTCGATGTACTTAAACAGCCGTTAAACGGTAGCCTACTAAAATTCCGTTAATAGATATTGTGACGTCGTTCATGTCGACGGAAAGTAATGCCTGGCTATAAGCATTTTGCAAGAGCACCTGTGGCTTCGTGGGTGAGGCTATCGCTTCGTGAGCGGGTGGTCCGTGGTTCAAATCTCACGCCAACCAAGACTTTTTTATATTTTTTTCGCTTATAGAGGGTTTAATTATTTGGCGGGTTGGTTAGCGTAGTTATTTGGAGGGTGTTAATTCATTGGTTAGTTGGTTATTTGGTGGGGTTGGTTGGTTTTTACTAATTTATATTTGTTTTTATATTTTTTTATCAGTGTCGAGGTTAATTGCGTTGGTTATTTGGTGGGGTGGATAGCGTTGGTTAGTCCTTATAAAATTCCTATATTTCATAAAGCCGTCAAGTGCCTCACATCAACGACGTCATACCTATTAACGGCATTTTAGTAAGCTACCGTTTAACGGCAGTTTAAGTACAGCCTTGATATTTTGCACAAATGTAAATTCATCCCCTAAAGAGGTGAAATTAGTGGTGGGTATAGCAAAAAAATTAAAAACCTGTTCATTCAAAACATTACACAGAGGTTCCTCTAGCGATTCAATAAAAAAAATTCATACCCTAAAATAAGGGAAAAAATGATTGCAAATGCAAATATTCGTTAATATTTGGTCTAGAAGTATGCGATATTTTAAATATTTCTGTGTGGCATACTTACGAAGCGTTTTCTCAAAACTCATTTCCTAAAGGGGTAAAATTAAAGGCAACATTTTATGAAAATTCGTTACTAGTCTAAACCACATAGTAGTGGTTTAGAAGTCCATAATATTTATGAATTAAAATTTGGCCAAATGTGCTTATAAGTATAATTGGGAAGTAATAGTAGAGTTGAAGAAACAATTTTTGAAAATTCCTCCTTAACTAAAACAATAATAAGAACACCGTGAACTAACTAAATGTAAACCAACAAAACCTAACAGAAAATTAAAATCGGAAACATCTAATAATAATGATGTATGTAAATCCACGTGAAACAGCCGAAGAAACTGACTTAAAAATCCTCTGAAACCCTTCAACTTCAATATTCCCATATTCTTTTTCTAGGACACTGTTGCCAATTCTAATTACCAATTTGTATAAACTATATGGGTATCACGGCACATGCAAACAATATGCCGTGTCTGTATCATAAAAGTACCTATTTGTTATATAAAAGGTCAGCTGCTAATATCAAATAAAATGATAGTAGTGCATAAAACTATTAACAAGCAGGTTATACAAATAATTAAAGATAATTTAAGCTGGCTAATAGTAGATATAACTTAGATTAATATTTGCAATTAACAGCTGGAAGTACAGCTAAGTACAAACGGCAAGCTGACAACAAAGCCTCAGATCCTATTCTTTAAGAATTTTACATTTCTGATATTTTATATAATTTTTAATTTTATAGAAATCGTCATTTTCTTTATACATACATACCTATGTATTGACCTTAACCCATTGTTAAAGTTTGTAAATTTCTCATATTTTACAAATAAATATTAGCCGATATTTCCTAACATCATATAATTGTAATTATTTATCATTATCCAGGAGAAAGCGCTAATACAAGTATAACATTTAATTCTCACATAAAAAAAGTTCAAGCTGGCAATCTCGCTTTGACTTTATAATCGTGCGACGGCTGCGACGGCCAGATGAGACGGCGCGGTGTATCAAAGGCAAGGTTAAAGGCGAGAAAGAACGAAAGAAATGAAAGCTTAGTGAAGGGAGGAGTGCGGGAACGATTTGAAATCACCACGACTGTTTGTTTGGTTGAATATTCCGCCTTCATCGACGGTATCGCCGCCCTGGCGTCGCACTTCCGAACATGGGTCTTTTTGAATACAAAATTTCCCATAAGGTGTCGCATCTGTTTAAGTTAGTTTGTGTAAATACGCATGCTACAATAGAATAGATTATCAACACCTGTACATTCTTTTTTAGAATTATTTCTTGTGCTGGGTTTAAAGGTAGAGAGATAAACTTCACTGAAACATTTTATTGCTTCATTAAATTTATACAGGAGTACCAAAAATTGCTGATCTATTTTAAATATTTATTTTACATAAGAACTTCGTTATTTCAAATGCAATACCCTGTATTTAAAAAAAATCGAAGCAGATTTAAATGCTCTTTCAAACTATATTAGGATTTCCTAGATCTATCTAGCTCAGATTTTGAATAAAAAACAATTTTTTAATAAAATTGCAATCAAGATGGCTGGTGTCGCCATAGCAATTTTCTAGTACTTACTTTTAATGTCTTATACTTACTTTTCAGCTTACTTAAATTTACCTACAATAGTTTAATAAGTAAGTATTTATTCTTTTATCAAGAACAATAAAGCAGTATCTGCTGGCGGAACGAATGGATACTAGTGATTTTATTTTGTGAGGAAAATTACTTCTTAGCCTCAAGGGCTTATGCTGAAAGATATCCAAATAGGAATCTTCCTGATAAGTGTACCTTTGAAAAACTATTTGTCCTATTTCACAAAGCTGGTAGTGTGGTTTATAAAAAAAACTCATCATAAATCAAAGAAATACTTCTTCGTTGACAGAATAATAAATACATACTTAATAAATATTATTTATTAAACTATAGTAGGTAAAGAATAAAAGCAAACTGGTATAAATTTAAATAAATATAGTCCATCAACTAATTTCGATTTTGAAAATAGCTACTGTCACTACTTCGCCCTTTGGGTTACCTTTTTATTGAAAAATTGCTCTTTATTCAAAATCTGAGCTAGATAGGTATAGGAAACCCTAATATAGTTTGAAAGAGCATTTCAATCTGCTTCGATTTATTTTAAAACATACAGGGTATTGTATTTGAAATAACGAAATTTTTATGTAAAATAAATATTTAAAATAGACCAGCAATTTTTTATACCCCTGTATACATTAAACGAAGAAATTTTTTCACTAACACTCTCTGGCTTAAAAGCACAAACAAGAATTAGTTCTGAAAAGCAATGTACAGGGTGAGTCAACGATAGAGTAAAGTCCATTATCTCATTTGTTTCGAGGTTTACAAAAAAGTTTTAAATACAAAAGTTATAGGGAAGGTTAAGATACACATTTTAAAGTTATTATAGAGTATACAGGGGTGCTTCAAAAAAGTGTGGCGAATATAACATATGTTTTTTTAAATGCAACACCCTACGTTATATTTTATTTTTAAATTCTGCGTAAAATTCCATAACTTTTTTATATATAATGTTATATACCTAATATTAATAGTTTTTGTAATATTAAAATTTGCTTAAACAAATGTTAGATCGCAGTGTGATAAAAAATTGTCAGTGATGCCGTTGTTTCTGAAGTTGGACAACTAAAATTTGGTAGGAGAATTCCATATAGATATAAAAAAAGACCTATGTAAAGATATTTTAGTTAGATGCTACAGGGTGTACAAAATATATTTATGAATTTCAACTACTTAAAATTAAAAAATCTCAATTTTTTTAAATGGGACACCCTATATATTATCATTTTTTCTGATAGATTTTACAAAACTCTTCAACTTTTATTAAGTATGTCATATACCTAGTTTTAATAGTTTGCGATTTATTCCAATTTTTTCTATTTTTGCCCATATTTTTAATACAATTACGCTATAAAATCATAGTTGCCATGACAAAACAAACTATTTATTACTTATCTTTAACAAGTAGCTTCATAATTAGTTACAATTGTTAGTATTAGTTAAAGTTAATTAACTTTACTCAAATAAAATAAAATCGCAGTCGTGAATTTCTTAGTGTATTTCTATATTATGAAAAATGACACTTGGGGGGGGATTTTCCGTCGGGGCGAATAGCGACAGATTAGGGTCATACTAAATTACTTAATTGTTGAAGACTATTGATATAGTGACTGACTATAATGTTTGACTGATTATAACTCATTTCGTAAAGCCCATATTACTACTGCCGCCAAACCATCCCATTACACACTGAAGATGTTTTCTAGATAATCTACATCTATTCTTATAGTACTTAGCAAAGCACTATATAATATATAGTACTGAACCAAAAAATATGGTTTTCTTGGCTTGTTCGTGTATATCAGTCACATTGACTAATTAATTTCAGGAAAATATGTAACAATTACCTCTACCATTACCACCATAAGACAAAAATCAAATTTTGTTCTTAACAGACATGAAATTTTAATAATTATTATTTTTTGTCCTTGCATATATTGTATAATGTTATAGCATGCATATATTGTATACATATTATATAATGTTATAGCGTAACTGTATTAAAAATATGGGTAAAAATAGAAAAAATTGGAATAAATCGCAAACTATTAAAAATAGGTATATGATATACTTAATAAAAGTTGAAGAGTTTTGTAAAACCTATCAGAAAAAATGATAATATATAGGGTGTACCATTTAAAATATTTGAAATTTCTTAATTGTAAGTAGTTGAAATTCATAAATATATTTTGAACACCCTGTAGCATCTAACTAAAATATCTTTTAACATAGATTTTTTTCTATATCTCTATAAAATTCTCCTACAAAATTTTAGTTGTCCAACTTCAGAAACAACGGTATCACTGACAATTTTTTATCACACTGCAATCTAACATTTGTTTAAACAAATTTAAATATTACAAAAACTATTCATTTTAGGTATATAACATTTTATATAAAAAACTTTGGTATGGATCTTAGTTCTGACATACCCTGTACATTTCAAAATAATTTTAAATTATGCACATTGTCTTCCCACATATACCCATAAAATATTTTATTTCTAAATCTTCTCGTTTTCGTATAATCAACCAATGTAAATGAGGTGCGCCACCCTGTATTTACCTTTTTTATTACTTTATACATATCTACCAAAAATAAAGATCAAATAATCACAATATATTAATATGACAATGTAATTACTCTATCTCTTTCACTAAAATAAATATTCCATATTATATACTTACAACTTCTTGCACTTGCGACCAATAGTACTGCATCCCATAGGGTTTCAATTCAATACCATGACACTTAATGCCTTTATCAACCCATTTCAAAAATATTTGATGAGAATCGGCTATTTCCTTAAATTGATCAAACAATATATTAACAAGCTCTTTTAAGGCCAACTTTGAATCAACATTTTCTGCATAGTCTATAACATGTTGTGTTGATTTCTGTATAATATATGACAACGATGCTTGCATTTCTCTAACTAATTCCTGCAACACAATTTTTTTTAACTTTTTATGCTTAATTTTATTAGTATTTATTAATACATACATCAGTTGCATAAGGCAGTTTTCCTAATAAACAAAGACTTTTTACAAGTATTGCAACATAATGTCTATGATTTTCTTCAATATTTATATTATCTAGATCCTCGTCGAGGTTAAAACTTTCATTAAATAAGTCTTTATTAGAAACTCTAAAAATTATAACTGCTTATAATACACAAACACTTTAATGTATTATAGCACATCTTACTTTGACATATCATCTAATATATTTCTAGAAACATTACTTCTATTTCTACCACTTAATCTCAATTTAGTACTTCTCTGAAGAGGAGAATGTATTAGAAAACCATCTCTACCAGAGCCTTGCCTTCTCAACGTTAAAATATGTTGAGATGGTTTTGTATACAATATATGCTTCAGTTCTAATACAATTTGTATATGGAGTTGCTACAAAATATAAATATATATTTTTTTAAATTTGTTATTCATATATAACTAACTTAAACACTTACCTCTTTCTTTTCTTCTAGTTCTTGACTTAATTCTTTTAGACTTTCAACACCTTCTAATGGATCTTTCCCTAATTTAACTGCTTCAACTAACAATTTTGTTGCATGTAAGTATTTCTTATGAGCCATATGACTGGCAAACTTTGTGGGTACTTCATTCATTTTTTCACTGCAAAATAGAAGTAAATATCTGGATTTATTTCAAAATTCAATGCTTACATCTCCTCCAGTAACTGTAACATGTGTTTGTACTCTAAGCCTTCTATCCATAAATTTTTCAATTCATCTCTTTTACATCTAAGTTTTCGCTTACAATCTTGCAGTGTCTCTTTTACTTGATGAATTTTATTACGGTTTTCAGTTACTGATTGAGAAATTGTACCAAACAAATGCATAACCTAAAGAAATGAAGAAAGAGATAAACATAATGTCATATACAAAAACTAAAACACAATTAAGTATACCTTTGTAAGATCACTTTCATGTTTAGAAACTAGTTCGTCTAGTTTTCGATCACATACTTTATAATCTGCCTCCAACTTTGCTTTTTCTCTATCTCTCTGTTCATTAGTTTCACTTGCAGATAAAGTTCTAATTACTGACATTAACAAGCCACTCTAAAATATGCATAATAAAGAAATACCATGTTTGTAAATTAACTCTGAAATCTATAATTATCATTCTAATTTCTAATTGACATTTACAAAGTGTTTAAATAAAACTAAGACTTAATATGAAACTATCCAGCTTTAAAATAGCACATACCTTGGCAGTATACAATAAACATTAAATTAAAATAGCATATACAATTCAAAACAATGCAGTGGAAAATGCTATTATTTATGTTTAAACAAATACATAAAGCTACTTACAGTTTCTTTAAGGGGTTTTACACCCCTTGGCGGTTTTATTGGCGGCGACTGATCCATTCCTTCTTGAAAAAACTAATAATATATTAACTAAAAATCAAAAACAACACCCACATTTCCGAGTTGTTTGGTCATTTGGACATTTGGACAAACGTCACAAATAAACATAACCTAACTAAATTTATTTCCCTGACATTTCAAATTTCAAAGGACCTTTAAATTTTAGCTTTGTTCCAATCTTTTAGTTTGTTCCAATGGTGGTTTGTTCAAGTCTTGTTTAAAATTAGGACAGACTTGTGTACAAATTGAGGGATAAATTTGAATGACACACTCTTGTCTGCGAATTAATTACATTTTAATAAAAACGTTAATTGTTGATTTAATATTTTACTAAAATGAATTTATAAAAATTTGCGAGGTATCTTTGTTCTCTAATAGATATATAATTTTACAAATATATCAATCTATTTATAATTAGGAATTAGCTTAAAATATTTCTTCCCTCCTTAAAAAATATTTAGATCTTTTTAAAAAGAAATCTTATTTTGCATATTTTCGATATCACAGAGATGTCTTTAACAATGTCCATTTCCGAGGAAACAAAAAATAAAATAAAAACAAAATTTTAAGATGTGACTTTTTGTCTTGTCATCAAAATTTTAAAGTTCTATTTTTGTGAAATTTTTGTCTCATAATCATTCAAATTTCAGTATCGGAATCATGGTGAGTAAATTTTTCTTTATGCGCAATAAATACCATTTTTGTGGCAGGGATTGAGACACCAAGATAAACTAATAAAATTATATTAGAGGGAATGCATATCAGTTCACATTGGGCAAGCCGGTGTTCAAATTGGAAATTCTACGTGGGAACTGTATTGTTTAGAGCACGGTATTCAACCAGATGGAACAATTTCTCCAGAAAAAGAAGTGGTGTCTGACAACTGCTATGGCACCTTCTTCTCAGAAGTCGAAAATGGTAAAATGGTACCTAGAGCCGTAATGGTAGATCTAGAACCTACTGTTGTAGGTATGTTTAAAATTAATTTATATATAGTTTGTCAAGTTTTGAATATGCGTTGAAAATTATAAAAATTGTGTTGTATTTCTCGTTAAATTGAATATATTTTTTTTAAGTCTTGCTTACAAATTTAATTTTTAGACGAAGTTAGAATGGGCTATTATAAAAAATTATACCACCCTGAGCAACTAATAACTGGTAAAGAAGATGCAGCTAATAATTATGCAAGAGGCCATTACAGCATAGGTAAAATTATAAATATAGTAAATTTCGCGGGAAATGACCAACAGTTTACTAAAAAATGAACGTATGACGATGACGGTGATAAATTTATTCAATAGTCCCCTCCCCCCCATTTTGACAAAGCACATGTCAATTGTCAATCTGTAAATAAAACACAACAAGAAAGATTTATCTGTCTTTATTTGTTCCTGTCGTTGAGCCATTTCTGGTCCTAAGAATACAATTAATTTAAAAGCTTTCCCACTCCAACACATTTACGTATTAATTAGATCAGGGGCGTGCGGTTTGTGTAAACAGGGGAAGCGGTCCTTCGCTGCGTTAAGACAAAAAGAAACCAAGTGTTTTAATTAATAATTCATAGCACAGTTAATATGAAGTTATGCAGTAGATTATATATAATCACAAAATGTTTGTCTCTCTTTAGTCCTTCACCCTACGTGAGAGTATGGTGACATCATGTATTGATTCCCCTCACTTCCTTGGACCAAGTTGTTCGACACTGCGCCATATGTGAGGCTTCAGGCAGGCTGTGGCCCACCAGGATCTTGACTTGGTCTAAGTAGAGGGAGATGGCCGATTCTACGCCAGCCGCTCGGAGGAGGAGGAGGAGGCGTTCGGCGTAAAAATCAGCTAAGAACATGTAAAATAAGCTAATAAACAAGAATAAACAGGTTTAAACAGAAAACAACCGCTTTTGAACAGAAATAAACGGGTTTGAACAAAAACTGAACAGGTCTGTTGTTTTAAGCCAAAAAGCGGTTCAAAGCAGTTCAAAAGCGGTTGTTTTCTGTTTAAACCTGTTTATCCTTATTTATTAGCCTATTTTACATGTTCCAGTACAGCCTCCTCCTCCGGGCGGCTGGCGTAGAATCGGCCAACTCCCTCTAGTGGTCTACCCACCTCTTAGGTGACCTTCCACCTGAGCGCCTCCCCTCTACCTTCCCCTCGAACATCAGTCTCTCCATTGAGATGCCACTTACCAATATGGCCAAAATATCGCAGGATTGACTGATTTAATTTTGTGACCAGACGTGTCTCAATTTTTAGATGTTCAATAATAGAAATGTTTGTTCGATGAGCCGTCCATGGTATTCGCAGCAGTCGTCAATACGTCCATATCTCCAAGGCGTTTATTCTTTGTTTATCACTTTCCTCCAGAGTCCAGGTTCCGGAGCCATATATAGCTATGGGGAAAATGAGGTAGTTCGCAATGCGGAGTTTAGTTTTTCGTGTGATTGCTGTAGCCTTCCATATCTTAGTCAGTTTTGTTGTTGCGTTCCTTGCTATTGCCGCTCTGTGCCTGATTTCAGCTTCGCATCGTCCAGAGTTTGCTATCATGGAACCTAAATAAATGAATTGGCTCACAACCTCGTATCCAGGAACGGTTCGGACACCAGACTGGTTGTTGCGGAGGCGGTTAACATATCGTCTTGATTTTTCGTTTATTTAGTTCCAAGCCATATTCTGCACTAATAGAGCACAGTACAGCCATGACTTCCTGCAACTCTTCTTTGCTGGCGGCTATAATAACGATATCATCTACGTATCTAAGATTATTTATCCTCCTGCGCCCCAAGGATATTCCACCGTTCCATTTTTCTATTACTCTACGCATGATATATTCAGTGTAGATTTTAAACAGGATTGGCGACTGTCTCACACCTGCTTTACTTTTGAAACTACTCAATAACGTGTTACTAACTCTGATTTTAGCATTGTTGTTCTTATAGAGCTGTTTGACCAAAAAATGAGGTGAGGTTGAGTGCCATTTCTAGTAAAATAGTCCAGAGTTTATTCCATTTTACCTTATCAAACGCCTTGGAGTAGTCCACGAAACACAGATATATCTCAATGTTATATTCTCTGGCTTTTTCTATGATCTGTCCAAGATTTAGGATCTACTTTTTCCGGGGATTAAAACTTGTTTGTTCATCTGATATCTGCTGGAGGAGAAAAGGTTTAAGACGCTCTTTGATGATGGTTAAGAGTATTTTACTGGCATGGAGAATCAGGGCAATTGTTATGTAATTATACTACAGTCTAGTGGTAATCCTTTCTTAAAGATAGGTACGAAGATGGAATTACACCACCCATCGGGCCATTTGCCGGTAGTGCCGGTAGTCTCGGCGCACTCAGTGATAAGGTGTGCTCTGGTGTTTCCCCATTTTTCCCACAGAATCTGCATTCGCCGTTGTTTCTCAGCTTTAATCTACTGAAATATACTGTGTTCCTTGAGGAGACAGTGTCCTGTTAGAAACCCTGAGAGTCCAGAGCATAGACTTAAAATAAAATATAGACTGAGCATCTTATTCATAAATAGCTGGTACATGCGGTCAGACAATGTCTTGTTATTGTTGTGTTATTGTTTTAGGTTATAACGAGTGCGACACGAGCGATAGATAGGTTGTCTCTGTCGTAACGGTCGTTCCCTGACGACTCTGCCGAGAAACACAACACTGTCTTTCGTTTCTCAAGTACACCTGAACTCTCCGTATCATAGCCGGGTAATTTTTTATTTACCCAATGAAGCTATAATTAAAAATTAAATATATCGTGAAACTTTTATATTTTATTAAGATTTAAGACAGGTTTTTTAAATAAAAGTTTAGAAAAAACGTCTTAGAGTCCAAAAAGGATAAAAATATTAAAATACACGTCATAGAAGAAATTTTATAATCGAAATTACGTAATTTTTGAAATTAATAATAAATTATTAATTTTAGTCAAACATTTACAACCCCTAATATTAATCAAAACAGGATCTATTCCACAGATATAATAGAATCGGCGACAGGGAGAAAAAAAAAATATGATTGTTGTAATTTTATTTCTGGTTAAGTGATGTCTTATTATGTAAATTAGAGAAAACATAAACCTGTTCCATTAAAGCAAGGAAGGTGATAGAAAGTGGATAAAATGAAAACTACATTTATTTAACTCGGTACTGTCTTCATTATACCGGGTGCGTCCCAAAAGTGGCTCATCCCCATAATTTTTTTATATTTTCAAATAAAAAAAACAAGATTTAGTATGTTAGTATATAACATAAATTAGGATTGATTGACGCATTTAATTGTATTTGGTGACTTCCTGTTTCACCGGAAATGACTATAACTTTTAATTTTTAAAGGGCACCCTTGGTATATTTCTACTTTATTCGATGGAAAATGACACTCTGAATAGAATGACATATATCATATGTCAACTTTTGACATTTTTGCATATGGTTTAATTGTAATTGTAACACGCGGTTCATAACGACAATTTGACTCGAAATACCAAGTGTGTGGTATCAATATATTCATAAAAAAATGCTTTTTCCAAATATGCTAATGAGTCACCCTTGTTCCATTTGAAAAAATTGACACATGTATGATTAAAAATACGATTTGTACAACTTTTAACCGGCCTAAACAAGACACGAAACCCATTAGACGATCAAAACTATTTTTCCAAGGTTAAAACTTAGTGTTTTTAACAACACCATGACACCCTGGATTGAAATTTAAAATACGATTTGTTTTTAAGCGACAATGTTAAAAGTTGACATATAATATGTCATTCTATTCAGAGTGTCATTTTTTATCGAATAAAGTAGCAATATACCGAGGGTGCCTTTAAAAATCAAAAGATGTAATCATTTCGGTGAAACAGGTAGAGACCAAGAACAATTGAATACATCAATAAATCCTAATTTATGTCATATACCTACTAACATACAAATCTGTTTTTTTTTATCTGAAAAAATAAAAAAGTTATAGGGGTGAGCCACTTTTGAGACGACCCGGTATATTAAAAAATATTGTTTCATAATGTAATATCATTTTAAAATTCTTGTATGTTATTTTAGATTCTCAAGATAATTTTAGAATAAACCGGAATATATTTTTAATAAAAACATTATTAAGTATTAACAGGGTTATAATTATGATTTTGTTACAATGTAAGTAAGTAAATAATGTAATGTAAGAGAAAAAATTCAGATTTTACATTTTACTAAAATATTATCTAAATAAGCGCCTTTCTACAACAACGCCACTGACTCCTAATGGGTAAATTCAGAGTTGCCTACCGGTCGAAAGTCGTTCAAGACTTAAATGGATTATTTAAGTCAAATTTCTTGTAAATTTGGCACTGGCGAACCATATTTTATAGTTCTTGAACAGAAAAAGTCAATAAAATAAACACTTTAGGACTACAAGCTAAGAAAATGCGTTAATACAGCCGGGGACGTAGCGGCAACAAAGCTTTACCGCACACGTGCGACGCGTACTAGAAGGTAATAAATGAATGAATAGGCTCCCTCGCCTCTAATCGGTGTTGTCATATTGTAAAGAACTTATCCTTTTTAAACAGTATCCGACTTATAATTTAGTAGTATAAGGACTATTTAATACATCTCTGGAATATTATAACCTACTTTATTAAACTGTAGTATTAATATCTCAATATATGTGTATAACAAGAAAAAAAATATTGATAATATTAAAGACGTGACAACATAGGCTGGATGAGGAAGGCTCGGTCGACTGTACCCAGAAGTAAACATGTGTACAAAAGATTGTTTGACCGCGTTGAGATATAAGCCAGGTAGCGATATATTTTAAGTCTATGGTCCGATTATTCTTACTTAAAAAGCAGGAAAATCTTTGATTTTTCGATTAAGTTCTGAGGAACTTTTTCGAGGTGTCTTAAGCTTGATTTTCATGCATCCGTTGTCCGACGATACGTTGATGCGATATTAATTTTATTGGTTGAATTTAAAACCGATTGGTTAACCGTTACTAACCAGCCAGAAGTCTTTAAATTCAACCAATAAAATATATCTATCATCATATCGTCGGATAACGAACTGCATAATCAACTTTAACTTTCGATGGGGACCCATTCCAGGTTACGGATGGAGTCCTCCAGGTTCTTCAGTTCCGCTTTAAAATGGTTTCCGCTTGGAAAGCAGAACGGTTCTGGTCCAGTTATAGTGGAGTGTCGCTCCTTTTCTAGCTAGATCGTTTGCTTTGTCTATCCCTTGGTAAGCGGGCACCCAGGAGTACTTTATTTTCTTTGCCTAATTTGTTCAGCTTCTCTAGGCATTCTTTGACCAACTTCTAATTGACGGTTACTGTTACTGAGCTGATCGCTTTTTAGAGCTGCTTCGTGCGAGTAGTGAGATGGTGGTGAGAGCTTCTCCGTTTAAAACTATTTGTAGCGACTACAAAGTTATTGCGGTAACCTCACCGTCGATTATTATTGGTGTGATAGCCGCCTTAGCGTAGCCTGCGTAGCTAGCTTCGCAGACGACACCTGTCTCTACTCCACTGCCTCGAGCAATGGAATTATGAGCAGGCTCCAACCCCACATCGCCCAGCTGCTTGATTGGTTTTCCCATTGGAAAATCAAAATCAATGCAGCAAAAACCCAAACCTTGTTCGTCTCCGGACGAATGAGGCTCCCACTACCTCCTCCGCTAGTCATAGATGACGAAGAGATCCCTTGGGGGGAAACCGCCAAGTATCTTGGAGTCACACTAGACCGACGGCTATCCTGGATCCCTCATATCGACAAGAAAATATCTGGTGCCCGTGCCACTTATGCTAGCCTTCATGGCCTCCTCAGCAAAAAGAGCACCCTCTCCCTCTCAAATAAAGTCCTACTGTTCAGAACAGTCATTCGCCCCCAGCTCCTCTATGCAGCCCCAGTATGGTGTAGAGCTTCCGACAGCCAAATCCACAGACTCCAAGTCTGTGAGAACAAAATCCTCCGCTATATCACCAGAGCTCCCTGGTATATACGAAACTCCGACATACGTACTGACCTACGCATCGACCCCATCCCCAAATACCTTCGGGATCGTGCCTTGAAGTTCTACGAGAAAATCGGTACTATCCCCAATAGTACCCTAAAAATCTTTGATTACAATCCCGAGGACTATAGAAACTTCAAATACTCCCATCTTAAAACCATTGTTCTAGACAATTAATTTTGTCCCCCCCCTTCTCATAATATAGTCCCATTACTCCACCCCCACTGTTCCCCACATGTGCTTAGGAATAATAGCTGACGGCTTTGATTCCTTGGAGGTGGACTTTTTTAGTGGGCCTCACAGGTCCCACACTGTCTAGGGGTTATTCCTATGGCCATCTCTCGAGATGGTCATGGAAGCAATCACTATTCGTCTATAAGATTTTTAAACTACCCCTCACCAAAAAAAAAAAAAAAAAAAAAAATGGCGTAGCTTACAACTTAGTAACAATTGGATAGCTCTTTTCAATATTAGAGTTCCCTATTACTATTTGAGACATTTATTTGAAGTAAAAAAGACACTTAATTATAAACGAGCAGACATACACTTAGCTACGTACCACTGGTTTCTTTGGCTCTAAATCAATGAAATAGTTCTACTGTCGAATTCTACATCATACTTACATTTAATAACGCACAGAATACCCCTGCTGTAATAATGTTTAAAGTTATAACAACTGTATAACTCTAGGTAGGTACTAAAAACACCATATTATTTTCTAGGAAAGGAAATGCTCAACATTGTAATGGAGCGTCTTTACAAGCTTGCTGAAAACTGTTCAGGTCTTCAAGGGTTCTTTGTATTCCATTCCTTTGGAGGCGGTACTGGTTCGGGCTTTACATCGCTCCTGATGGAAAAGTTGAGCCAAGATTTTGGGAAGAAGAGCAAATTGGAATTTGTAGTTTATCCTGCACCACAAGTATCGTAAAATCGATTTATATAGGGTGTAGAAATTTCAAACTAAAGTTTGGGTAGTGATTTTTTGGAAGTACCCTTTATATAGAGTACCTATAAAATATTATTAATAAATTCGCCATATGTATATTATAGGAAGTAAATTTTAAAAAATTGTATAGAGTAATAGAGTTACCAGGTAATTTAGCATATTTATACTCGATGGGTCTCAAAAGTGGCTCACCCCTATAACTTTTTTATTTTTTCAGATAAAAAATGAGATTTGTTACAATGTTAGTATATGACTTAAGTTTTCGGTAACTTCCTAATTCACCGGAAATAACTACAACTTTTGAGCTTTGAATGACACCCTCGGTATTTGTTTACTTTATTTGATAGAAAATGATACTCTGAATAGAATGACATATCATATGTGTGACATTCACATATGATTTATTTGAAATTGTAACATGCGGCTCATAAAGACAATTTGACTCGAAATACCAAGTGTCTAGTACCAAATTATTCGTAAAAAAATGCTTTTTCCAAATGCCACCCTTGCTACTATTGTTCTATTTGCCACCCTTGCTCTATTTGAAGAAATTTAGATAGGATTAAAAATACGATTTGGGCATCTTTTAACCGGCCAGGACAAGACACGAAAGACATTAGATCATCAAATGTATTTTCCAAGGCTCCTTGATTCACAATTAGTGTTTTTAACACAGCCATGGTACTCTAGATTGAAATTTAAAATGCATTTTTTTAAATGAAAATGTCAAAAGTTGACATATGATAAGTCATTTTATTCAGAAAAAAATACAGAGGGTGCCATTTAAAACTCAAAAGTTGTAGTCATTTCATTTTTTTGAAGTGACCAAAAACAATTGAATACGTTAATCAATCCTATTTTATGTCATATACTAGCATACCAAATCTCGTTTTTTTTTATCTGGAAAAATAAAAAAGTTATAGGGGTTAGCCACTTTTGAGACGCACCCGGTATAGTCAAAAAGTTTAAAAAATTAATCACTAAAAATTATTACCCAATCACATGTAACACCCTGTATTGTTTTTCATTATCATCTACTTAATACTAATACTAGGTATGTACCGCTGTGGTAGAACCATACAATTCCATCTTGACTACACACAGCACTTTAAGCCACTCTGATTGCGCCTTTATGGTAGATAATGAGGCCATTTACGATATATGTAGGAGAAAATTGGGAATTGAAAGACCTGATTACATTAATTTAAACAGGTACTTAACAAATTTAAACATTTATGTGACAGTAATTTAATATTATTTTTTAGATTGATAAGCCAAGTGGTCTCTTCAATTACCGCAAGTCTAAGGTTTGACGGTGCTCTTAATGTTGATTTGACCGAGTTCCAAACAAATTTGGTAAATGTTTTCCGCATTTACTACACATTTTCACCCTTACAATCTTATGCACGATAAGAAATGTTGTTTTGTTGGCTAGCTTTTATATATCAGTCTGTGGTTACAGTTGAGGGTTGGGACCTTTGGTGTTACACAGCAAAATAAAAACACTAAATCACCACAATACACCAAAAAACTTTTACTTTTACACTGGACGCGCGTTTCGCTAACCATGTTAGCATCATCAACAGATGATTATAAACACTGAGTTTATAATCTGTTTATTATGGAGATAACCCGAAACACTGAGTTTATAATCATCTGCTGATGATGCTAACATGGTTAGCGAAACGCGCGTCCAGTGTAAAAGTAAAATTGTTTTGGTGTATTGTGGTGATTTAGTAAGTTATTATGTGGTGTTTATGCCTTAATCTAAAAAAATCAGGAACCAGTAAAAACCAGCTAACAAAATGTTCAAAAATTCGGAAATCGTAGATATTTTTACTGTAAATAGGTACTATCTTTTATACACTAATTTTTATAGTGCTCGATTGTAAAAATTATGGGTCATAATTTTTTCATAATACATCTGTATCTGATTCACCTTTTATATATTAATCTTTATAGTGCTATTCATAGCGAGCACAGTTCTGAATCAATAAGATCACATTTTCACAATACAAAATAGACTAGTTCAAAAAATATTACACTAAGATAAACTGTTTTTCTATATCTTGTCTGATTTTATAAAAATATCTGTTTGGTTTTATATAACACATTTTATTTAATAGAAATTAATATGTTACAATTCTTTACCATAACATCGAATTGTTAATATTTTCAAGTTATATGTTTCTTGCGCCTTAAATTCAATTTTAATACGTTCTTGCCCATATAGTGTGTCCGGTTAGTAAATATATATGATTTCAACGGACGAACCACTGTCATATACACTAATTGGATGCTATTTGGACTATATTTAATTCCCCTTGGACAATTTGAATTCATAACATATTTGTATATGAGTCGCCTTTCATACCTAAAGGTAGATTCATATACACGCGAATTGTGAAATGCGAATTGCGAATTAGGATATTTTTGTTTTTAAACACATGCATGAAAATTTCACTGAAATAAAGAATTTTATTTTCGTCTCCATCCAGTTGTCATTTTAGCATAATATATTATACATAAGTTTATTTTTATCTCGATTTTTATTTAGCTATATTTTTGTGTAATGTAATTTTTTGTGTAATGGATGAAACCACTTATTTTTGGCGTAGGAGACGATATTTTGTTGTATATTTATTAATAAAAAACAACAAAAATAAAATACATAGGAGCATATCACAATTTTCACTAAATTGTGATGTTATTATTATAAGAAATTAGTATTACATTATTATTATAAAAAAATTAGAAACTACCACAGAATGTCTATAAAGGATTTCGATTCTCAATGGTTTTGAAAATTTTCCATCAACATTATTAGTTTGCAGTCAACACATTGAACTTCGTACGGCAAATTAAAAAGAAAGAAATTGCTAGATTGTAAAATAATACCTAATAATGTACCTAATAATAATTATGCACAATTTTTTCATACATTTTCAGTTTCTTTCATCTGAACCAATCTTTATAATATTATTATAACCGTAACAAGAAATAAATGGCAAGATATGACATATTATAACGTAATAACTCAAAATTTGCAGCGAATATTTACAATTAAAATTAATTCAATATTCTCGCCCCCAGATTTTAAACTGTGCGAATTCTGAAAATATTAAAACAACTTTCTGTCAATTTTACCGCCTCCGTATTTTTTTGAAATCGATATCTAAAGTTTTTCTTTTAAAAGTTAAATGACTTTAATAAACCGTCTAAAAAATGGAAAATAAGATCGAGTTAGAACTAGTGATGGGATAACTCGAGCGAAAATTCATGGACGGGTTACAAGCGACGAACACAAGTGATCCTAGAATGAAATAAATTGAAATCGGATTTTAATGTAACATACTTGATACAAAGCCGAGCGAATTTTCTACATACATTGTAGGTAGCAAATTTATACGACGTTATCCGTTGTGTACCTGAGTGACAACATTTTACAACCTAAATCAACAATGCTTTAAACCAAATTAAATCAATCGAATTACTCGTCGCTCGTCGCTTGCTACTTGCCATTCATCACCGAAAGAATATGTGCCCTGCGCACGCAACTTCTCAGTACAACAAGCGACAAGTGATCGGCAAAAAACCGTATTAATACGAGCGAAATTTCGCTCGAGCGATCGCTCGATTATTGAAATCGCTTGAAACTCGAGTACTCGATTATTTAAATTAATCGGTTTTTCTCATCACTAGTTAGAACATAACAACATATTTAAAAAACGTTAAATAAAGAAATACAATTATTAACAAGGCATATACTCTCATTGAACAAGTCATATACTCCATTCGGACTATATTTAATACTCACCTTGAACAACTTCTTAATTCATAACATATTTGTATGTGAGTCACGTTTTATTCCTTAATCGTAATATCCTATTTTTATATGCTGCTAACATAGTGATAGTTCTAACATAGTGCTAACATAGTAATAGTAATAGCTGCTAACATAGTAATCACTTTCTAGTTTTTCAAACAGTTTTTCTTTTTAAATTAAACGATTTTAATACACCATCTAAAAAAGTCTAAGGGTGCGATTCTAAATAAGACAATAACAACATATATTTAAAAAATAAATAAATATAATAATTGTCAAATGACTAATAATTTATGATAAATTTCTTTACCAAACAACCTATGAAACATTGCTAAATAAAAAGGGCATATTTTCGGTGTTAATAGATATTCCATTCTTTTATAAAATACTTAAATTCTCTACTTTAAAAGGTTCCTTATCCAAGAATCCACTTCCCGCTTGCATCCTATGCCCCCGTAGTATCATCGGAGAAGGCCTACCACGAAGGAATGTCTGTAGCAGAAATAACAGCTGAATTATTCGAACCAACTAATCAAGTAATTTGTATAAAAAACTAATTCGTTATAGTTAATAATTAATATTCTATATTACATCTTTTTTTCAAAAACAAAATACTCGAATGTTAAAATATTTTAGATGGTCAAATGCGATCCACGTGAAGGAAAATATATGGCTTGCTGTCTGTTGTACAGAGGCGATGTCGTACCAAAAGATGTTAACGCCTCCATTGCTTTAATGAAAGCAAAAAGCAATGTTAGGTTTGTCGACTGGTGTCCTACAGGTAAGCATCCTCACTATGTATAGTACCTACATACCGGGTGTTGCATCGTCGGACGGGACATAGGAAATCCCATGTAAATTTTAATGGGGTCAATTATTGACTTCCCTAATTATTTTAGAGAATAATTCTATTTAGGTTTATTGAAGAGCACTAAAACCCACATTCAAAAGAATAACTTTAGATATATTTGATTGGCTCGTTTACGAGTTATCGCCGATTTCTTTTTAAATATTTCTCCTTTCTTATGGCCCTGTATTTACTTATGAGCACCAGTCAAGGTAAAAAATAACTGTCAAATGAAGTTGTCATTTCAGAAATTTACCTATTTAGTACTTTATTATTATTGACTACTCATTCCTACATCGGAAATCTTAAAGATATGTATTTATAAATACAAATTAATATGAATTAAAGTAAAATAAAGTAATCAATTACAAGGTTAATTATAGTATTATTTCAATATTCAATAACTTATTAATTTAGGTACTATTAAATTGTTAGAACTTTAGGATTTAAGATGTTCAAATATTCCTCCATCGACTGCTAGATAATAACCCAGGCGATCATAAAATTCTCTTCTTACATTCGCTAGTTGGTAAACTGAAATTCTATTGCATTCGGCAGAAATAGCATTTTTTAACTCGTCTAGATTTGAGTATTTTTTATCCTTGTATATCCTGTTTTTTAAATGTCCCCAATTTACTATATGATTTAAGCTAATAACGTTTCCGTTAAAACTATTGTCTAAATATTCCCGAACAGCCAGGGTACTATGTGCCGGGCATCAGCCATCCATTTGGTACCAAACTTCCTGATTTTCCCTAGCGGCATCATGTAAAGCAGGTAAAATATGATTTTCTAGTAGTTCTAAATAATATTCTGTATTTAAATTTCCTGTATTTCCTGCCCAAACATTTACTTTCTGTGGATATTGCGTCCTCGTTTCGACAAACCTGTGTTGGTTTTCTTTGTTCCAATATCGATAATTTTAAACATTGGCTTCATTATTTAAGGTAAACGTGCATTCGTCAGTGAAACATATGTTTTTTAAAAATTCCCTATCCGTGTTTGCTCTTTCCATCATATCAAAACAAAACGCCTGCCGCCGTATTTCGTCCCCATCTCGTAGCTCTTGGTGCTTTTCATATTTGAAGGAATAGTATTTATGTCGTTTCGTTTCGAAACGCTGTAGTATTCCTATTTCATCCTCAAGTTCCTTGTGCTGATCTTTCCATCGTTCTCTTCCACGCACAATAAAACTTCCAAGTCAGTATCATTTCTTGCATCTTCTCTTTGTTCCTGCCTTACTTCACATCTGCAGTTATTTATTAGGGTACCTTTGGTCTCAAATCTCTGGATATTCCTTGCGATTGTAGATTTCCAGGTATCGGTCTATTATAGATACAGATCAGCAAACATGTCCGACACCTTTTGATAACTATTTCCTTGATAATACCATTTAATCATCAATACATTTTCTTCGGTAGTGTAATTCATTTTTACCATTTAATATTTTCGATGTAGGTATGAGTTTTTAATAATAATAAGAAAGCACTAAATAGATAAATTTCTGAAATGACAACTTCATTTGACAGTTATCTTTTACCTTGCCTAGTGCTCATAAGTAAATACAGGGCCATAAGTAAGGAGAAATATTTAAAAAGAAATCTGCGATAACTCGTAAACGGGCTAATCAAAAATATCTAAAGTTATTCTTTTGAATGTTGGTTTTAGTGCTCTTCAATAAACCTAAATAGAATTATTCTCTAAAATAATTAGGGAAGCCAATAATTGACCCCATTAAAATTTACATGGGATTTCATATGTCTCGCTCGACGATGCAACACCCGGTATACATCATACCAAATAAACCTTTAATCAAGTGATTAAGCTTTAGCGTTGCCCACTTTCCCATATTTTCTATATTTTCTTTTAATCAAAATATTTTAGGAAACTAAACGTTTGCTTCAAAAGTGACAGAGATCGTACTTGAACTTAATTGTAGTGACCGAACGACAGACAATGTAGGACAGCTGTATATAAAATAATTAAATTAACTGTAAAAAACTGTTTAAATCTGTCCAACGAGTCAGGGAAGAATTCTACAGACGACATCCAAAAAATTACAGAAAATACATTTTACCTGTGAATTAAAAACGCACTGACAGGCACAACTGTCACTGTTATGGATCTTCTCGTTGGACAGACTACATCAAGTTTGATCTTAATGTAGTGGCACCATTTCCTTGTTTTGAAATAATTCCTAGTTAGTGCATGAGTTTACACTGTTGAAGCGTAATGTTAATGAATTGTTGAATCAAAACTTGATGAAAAAAATTATACAGGGCCGCTGTTATGCATGGAAACGGTCGATTATTAGGTAAAATATACAAGGTACCACAAAAAGTTAAATACAAAAATTATAGGGTTTTTAAATGTCTATTAACGAGTAAAATCTAAATTTATGGACATAGGATCGGTCGTAAAGTTGTGGCACATCAAAATTTATTTTTTATTAAATAGAACCTGTAAAATTAAAAATATTAAAAACCTGTATATTATTGCATATTTCAATTCTTCCTTCAATTCTAAATTAAAATCGAAATACACACAATGTACCTCAAACCAACCGTTTCCGAGTTCTTGACTTTTGAACATATCCCTTAAACAATTTGATTTCCCAAGCAACACAGATAGTTCCAAATCCCTTCGGTTTAAGACTGGCTACCAAAACATAGTTCCTGGGTACACCCTGTTACCTAATTTGTCACTATATCCGGTAATACCACTGCAAAGTATTTTTGGATAGTATCTGTTACCACCCTGTTACTAGTCATTTGGAATTTAAACACCCAAAATTAAGGTAGCAAATGGGTAGTTGCGTCTAGTAACTGGGACTACTCAAATCCTTTCATTATTACCACTAAGTGGCAAAATCTACATAGTGACAATAAATACGGAACGGCTACCAGTCTGTGCTACTAAAATGGGTATATGAAGTACTTGTTACTATATAGTTCCATGCTTAGTCCCAGAATAGTCGCAGTACCCTATATTTTGGGTCTTAAAGTTACGAGGCATTTGGGTACTAATTGTTGGTCCCAAAATAGTAGCTGCGACTATGGTTTGTTACTATACAGTAACGGGGACTATACTCCTATTGACGTGTTGCTACTATAAAGTTATAGAAACTAAAAAATATTTCTTTATAGTAGCAGATCGCGTATTTACCCATCCTGTCCGTTACCACAAGAATAAAGATCAATAAAATTGTTTGTTCAGTGCGCTGCTAGTGGAATTTCCTAGACAAGTTCACCAGGATAAAGGGTTTATTGGATTAAATTTAGAGAAGTATGACTGGGCTTTGATATGACAATAAATTATTTTAAATTTATTTTTGAAAATCCATATACATATTATTTTGTATAATTGTCGTATTTTCTATATATTTGTAAAGTTCTTAATAGCTGCATGTTTCTAGTAATGTCGAGTTGGGGACTACTGATAAAACAGAGATCAGAGAAGAAAGTAACATAAGTTAGGAACTAAGGCATTGGGCATTAAAACACCAAATTAGCCACATTGCTCTAACAGATTTACTTGGTATACTAAAAAATGAAGGCTTAACATCATTGCCAGGAAACAGCAGGACTTTATTGAGTACAGCAGGACTTTATTGGGTACACCGAGATACTGTGCCATTTTCCAATGGGAAATGGAAAATTTTGGTACAATGGAATAAGGAAGATTTAAGTTGTTTTTAAATTGGAAGATTTTAGTAGCACGTTTATCCGAAGAGACCAACCTAGAATCGGTGTCTCTAATTTTTAATGTTGACGGCTTGCCTCCATTTAAGAGTTCTCTATTAGAATTTTGGCCGATACTCCTAAAAATGCATGAATATCCTTGCGATCAACCCATGGTGGCAGCTATTTATATTTGGCGAGGCAAAACCTCCATTACAAGAATTTTTACATGATTTTATAACAGAATTAAATGAGATTTTGGAGACCGGAATTGAAGTAAATCAGATTAGGGTGAAAGTAAAAATTCGATTTTCTCATTCATCATTTTTTTTATTCAATTGTTATTGGTCACTTCATGTTTCACCGGGAAAGACAACTTTTGATTTTTAAATGGCACCCAATGGTACCCTCAATATTTTTTGCTTAATTCAATAGAAAATGACACTGAATAGAATGACATATCATAATATGACATTTTCTCATATGGTTTATTTGAAATTGTAACATCGGTTCATAAAGGCATTTTGACTCGAAATACCAAGTCTGTAGTACCAAATTATTCGTAAAATGCTTTTTTCAAATATGCTAATAAGTCATCCTCGTTCCATATGAAAAAATTGAGATATGATTAAAAATACAATTTAGGCATCTTTTAACCAGTCAGGACAAGACACGAAAAAAATTAAATGATCAAATATATTTTTCCAAGGCTCCTAGATAAAAAATTAGTGTTCTTAAATTGTTTTGAAATGAGAGGTAGGCGGAACTTTATAGAAACATATGGAACTATATTGTCACAAAATGCCTGATTGTTCGACTTTTTGGGTGTTCAAAGTAACTTTCTAGTTCCATATCTATAAAATTGAATTAATTCGAAGGCGCGTTAAAATATTTCCATCTAACTCGGTAATATTTGTCAGTAAAGTGACGTGCGTTATTATATTAGTCCTGGAAGTGTCCGAAATACGCGATTAAAAACCATCATTTTCCTCATAAACATAACATGCCATTATTAACTTGACTTTAACATGGCCATGCACTGCGGCTGTCATATCATATTATTATTTTATTTCAAAACGTTTTTTAAAAGTAGAGGTCGCTAGAAGAATGTTTTGCTACTATATTGTTACGTTTTTCGTCGGTTCCGTGTGGATAGAAAGTCACAATTTATTTAAACACTATTTATTTAACATTAATTAACAAAAACAATAACGATAAAAGACTTATAGAACTATTTACAAACGATTTATAACTAAGAATTTATTTTGAATTTTAGCGCGTCAACTGCACTGGTATATTTATAACTGCCCTCTCTAGGCCACTGCCGCCGGCTTTTATACCGACAGGTAAAAGAAATCTAGAATAGTCCAAAGATCGTTAGGCGCATAGAGAAGGTTTCGAATGTTCTCGTATGTACTAGTCCATTCTAGTGGGACTCGATTCTTCTCGAACGAATGAATCATTGCGGTGTCTATGCGATGTTAAGGTCATCCGAGGGCGGGCCATATTGTGAGGTTAGGTCGAGTCCACACCGGCTCGCAACAATATAGTAGCAGTTACCAGGCGGCTACGTGGCGGCAATGTAGCCGTCGATAGTGGCAGTCTCCTTGATGATTGCTTTTGTAGTCCCAGGAACGTACCTGCTACTATCTGTGTTGCTTGGGTTAATTAATTTCGATATGTTCAGTTTCATTTAATGATGCCATTCGTGAACATGCCGAAACTGGAATACTGTTGTAATCAGATTTTAAATGCCTATTAGCTACTAGTAAATCTAAGTATACAGGGTCGGTCATAAGTTGTGGCACATCAAACTTAATTTTTTTTTAAATTGAACCCTCTGTATGTTATTGCATATTTCAATTCTTCCTTCAATTTTAAGCAATTACTGTAATCGTAATACACAATGATCATAAATTGAAGAATTGAAATGCTAAAAGAAATTTTTGTAATTTCCAGACTTGATATAATCTCATTTTATACATCTATAAATGCTTAATAACTTGATAACTAATGTCAAATATTATTAAGTATCACATTTTTGTCAGAATAGCATCGTTAAATGAAGCTGAACATATCGAAATTAATTAAATCAAATCGTTTAAGTGATATTATCAAAAGTCAATAACTCGGACACGGTTGCTTTGAGGTACATTGTATGTATTTCGATTTTTGCTTAGAATTGAAGAAAGAATTGAAATATGCAGTAATATACAGGGGGTTCTATTTAAAGAAATGAAACTTTTATGTGCCACGACTTATGACTGACACTGTACACTTAAATTTATTACTCGCTAATAGATATTTAAAAATCGCCGTATTTAACTTTTTGCGGTACCTCCTACATTTTACCTAATAATCAACCGTTTCCATACATAAAAGCGACCTGTATGATGGATATTACAAAATTGGATTGGAAAGTTTAGTTGGGACAATATGATAAATTTATATTTGAAACCTTTTTAAACTTAAGTGAAGTGTTTTTTTACATTTTATTCCTTTCTTTTAGGTTTTAAAGTTGGCATTAACTACCAACCACCAACTGTAGTGGCAGGCGGTGATCTAGCCAGTGTACAAAGGGCAGTATGTATGCTATCTAACACTACAGCTATAGAGTCTGCATGGAAGAAGTTAAACAAGAAATTCGACTTGATGTTTGCCAAAAGAGCATTCGTCCATTGGTAATTTTATTTTAAGAGTACACACAGTTCTACTAGTAGAATAATGTATTTTATTAGCAAATAGTATTTTCCTATACGATAAAATAAAATAAAATTATATTTAAGTACGCCACTTTTGAGACGCACCCGGTATACAGGATGATCCGAATTGTATTCGAGAATCTTCGACAGCATATTCTGCAGATAAAATTATTAAAAAAGATGTATAAATGTATGTACTAAAATGCTTTGTTTCGGAGACACAATATTGTCTGCTGGATGTTACGTAATGAACAATCCAGTTGTCTTATAAAGTTCATGTCTTCATGTTTTCATATCAACGTTACAGAAATGTCTCCTTCAAAATTTAAGCAGCCAACTTTAAAAGTAAATTTACATTTTTTTACTTCACGGTAGGTATGTTGGCGAAGGTATGGAAGAAGGCGAATTCACAGAAGCCAGAGAAAACTTAGCAACGTTGGAACGCGATTACGAAGAAGTGGCATCTGAAACAACCGATATTATCGAAGAGACTATCTAAATCATCCACATATATCGCATCCTCTGTCATTTGATATCCGTCAATCAATAAAACATCTTCACTTTTCATTTATATATTGCATATTTTATTTATATTTATAATTTATACGGAATACAATAACACTTAATTTAAAACATTACTTAAGAGGAATGACTTTTAACGTGATTGAGAATACTGGAGTTATTTTACCGACATTACTTCTGACTTTGAAATAACTTTTTATATTAACTAATTGGAAATAATATCAAATGGTAAGCAAGAATTAATATTTGACAAGACAATTAATTGTTTTGAAATAGTTTTTAACTGTAATTAATATTATTTAATATTCTTGAAATAACTGAAAAATAAGATATGACATGATACAACTCCAAACATATTTGAATTCCATTGAATTTCATCTCCACATTTGAGATCATACAGCATCTTAATATAATACTTAGTCAATTAATTATTTATAAATTTCTTATTTTAAAATTAGATTGTTCGCGAATTAACTCAGAAATCAGTCACTGATAATCAGATGTCACAAAGTATAAATATTTCAAAGTCACAAGCCACTTAAAGCTAGTTTTCTTCTTTAAAATAATATAGAGTTTTTCACGCAACTGATTCATTAAAAGTATTTCTTAGGATATAATTTAAATACAAATTTTAGGGTGTATTCCTTTGCTTACCTTGGTTATGGTTTTATGTTCCGATTCTATCGGTTTCCTGAAAGTTTTCTTATTACGGAACACGGCTCCTGAAAATTCGGTTATAACTGTCACCAAACTAACCAGCGCGAGAAGGCTGGTTTTTCTGGTTTTGTTTGTCAATCAATGTCATTTATGTGACAGAAATCAAGCAAATATTGGGAGATCGAGTGAAATTCTCATTTAATTTCTAAAATTTGTAATAATATTTTGTATTTACATCCAAAAGCAATGGAGGTAGGCAGTAAAGATAAATAAATTTCATTAACTAAATAGAGTGACTTTTTAGGACCATTTAAACTTATCATGCAGGCATTGTTTCGTAAAGTCAGGAACATTTAAAGAAAACATGAAAAACAAGACAACAAGTAATCGTGAATGTTTTGTAAGCTATAAAAATATAAATATTGTTTAGATTTGTTTATTTATTATTGATCTGTTTTAATATTGGACCTGCAAATCTTCACTTCAGCTGTCTAACGAGTTTAACAGTTTATTAACAAAGTACTTTTCAATATTAAACTCCATTGAAAAGAAAAAGTAAACGTAAAAGCAGAGAATAGGTACATTATTAAAATTATTAAATGCATAAAAGATAAATTTTATAATAGAGGTATTGAAATTTAGAAAACATCAACATTTGACGTTTCCAGTATTTTACCAAACCGTTCCGTATCAAACCGATGTTTTTACAGGTCTGGTTCGCCTGGTTTTGCAACGGAATACAGCCCATGCCCTAGACACTCAATGGTAATTTTATAGAACCACAAATTTAGTTTCTTCCGCATCGCCAGACGGCGCAAAAGACATTAAAGTACAGGTTTCTAATTTATATTATGAAGATGACATGACAGTCTCTATGTTAACTACTGTCTATGGTCTAGTTTTTGTCTAGTTGACAACATGTTGGTGATCCGTCAAGTTATTTTTAAATCATTATTTAAATAATTATTAATTCAGATATTCCCAGATATTCCTGATTTGTCGGAAAGTTCAGTGATTTGTGTTTATAGTTTGTGTTTTTATTAGTTTGTGCATTCTGATACTTACAGTCGATCATCCTTTTCGTGTTAGATACTAAACTTTTTTATTAAAGTCATTTTGACATTTTAGAAATAATAATTTATAAACCAAATAAAAAAATAGTTTAATCATAAATAAGTAAGTACATAGTTGGTAATATATAGTATTTTTAGTAACAGTTAATTAGTAGTCTATAATATTTTTACTATATTATAATTTAGTTGTTAAATCAAAAAAATAGGCGCTATGTGATCTATTGTTGGTGTTTAAAATGTATGTATTTATAATTTTAATTTTGTTGTAATTATGTTACACTTCTAATGATCTAATAAAACATAAAATGGCAGTAAAAAGTCTATATTTATTATTTTATATTTTACAAGGAATAATTTTGCGCTTGAATAACGTTACCGTTTTAATTAGCGTTAATAAGTAACAGAACGCTAAAATTATGTTATGCCAAAACTCTCCATTAGTTTCTTCCGGATCACCAGGTGGCTCTAAATGACGGACCCATTTGTTTTATATCAGTGTCCAATCTATCTCTAGTACGTGACATTAGTCTATGATACAGCCTTAATGTTTCAAAACTAACTGTCACAGTGACACGTGCCGATCCAGTTGGTCTTGGTCCAATCTATCGACATACCAAATTTAATTTAAATCGGACGATTTTTTGATATGATTCATTGATGATGGGGTTTCGTAGTGCACGAAACGTTGTCAAAATATCATGCAAAAAATCCGAGTTTCAGCCCCCTAGCGCATAGGACGCTACAAGATCGTAACCGCTTTTTCTCTCGCGAGCTCTTGTGTCACGGCAATTTTTACTTCCATCGCGCGTAAAGAAGTTTCACTTCAAAAAGATCAGCCCAAAATAAAATGTCAATTTGCAAATATTTTTCTTCGTTCGGAACCTCGCAATTAGTGGAATAAATTAGTGGCTTCAATTAGTGTAGAAGTTTATTCCTTTAATTTCAATGTAAGCACTCAGAACGTCAAAATTAGTGGTAGACATTTTCAATTAGTAGAAAAAGTTATCAAACTTTTAATTTGCGAGAAATGTCATTTTGGCCTTTGATTATCTTTCGTAAAGAGAAATTGTGGTTGTAAATCAAAAAAAATTATAAGATTAATAAATCAAATGATTGTTCTATAAGCTAAATATTAGACTTTCTCTATGGATACAACAGACTAACTCAAGCTGTTGTTAGGATATTCTATTGATTTTAATTGCGTTTTATTGTGAATAATCGTAAACTAAAAAGTATAAAGTGTAATTGAAACAACTAATTCATTCCACTAATTGCGAAGTTCTGAATGAAGCTTGGATAAAGAAAGCATTTAGAAAAAATTGGCTTCTGAAAATATTTGCACTTATTTAAGACTCACCCTGTATAGTTTAAGTACCATGCCGAAAACAAAAAAGAAATGTTTAAATGAATTTATGCTTATGTCTTCTTTTTAGGATATTTAAATAAAATCTGTCAGACAAACAGCACCAACTAACTGAATGTGTAAATGAAAATTTGGCGCCGGGAGGCACGTATAGCCGATCATACTAAAATATATTAATAAAAAGTTGGTAGGCAGTTCTTTCAGTTTCAAAGTAAAGGAATTTTTCCAATTTTTTTTATCTCAAAAACTGCGACTTTGATTTTGATGTTATTACAAATTTTGTTGAAAATACTATTCCTAATCTTAAATCGAAAACCGCGTTTCGCTAGCTAATGTAATTTCGGAGTTATGATTTTTTTAAATTTTTAACCCCCTCCCATACATACCAACCCCCCACCCCCACCAAAAACTAATGGCCAGAATCTCGGGTGCCACAGTATTTTTGTGCCAAATTTGGTTAAAATCGGTTTAGCGGTTTTTAGCAGACAGACAGACAGACAGACACCATGAAAATATTTTCTATTCAGGTCATTTATGACCCAAATAACTCATTTTGAGTGAAATTAAAAAAAACTTTTTTTTGTCGATCTTAATAGTCTACCATACCTATGGTATGGTCGGCTAAAAAATAGGTTACGCAAATTATCTGATGGTCTAAATCACCTTTTAGACTAAAAGTGCCAGAAAGTAGAAATTATCTTGAAAAAGAAAAAAAAAAAAAGAAAGTACAATATTGGAAATAAAAAATGAAGATAATAAAATAAAAAAAGTACATCTTAACTTGAAACCGAGGTTGAAACATTCAAATTTTTTGTGGCTAAATTATATCCTATAAAATTTTAATGAACCAGTTGAGTGAAAAATCCTGTATAATAATTTACAAATCAAAACATTTAATTAAGTACAAAATATGACTTCATCCTTTAATATTTTTCTATTATATTAATAACATAAAGTATATATTATCTGGAATTATATAATACAATAATTTTATTTCCTATATTTAGTTGGGACAATACTGATAAATTTAAATCTATTTCGATATGAAATATTTTAATAATAAGTACACAATAATAATTTACAGCAATAACCCTTAATAAAGAGGTTAAATATAAAGGGTTAAAATAAATTTAAAGCCAGATTTCAGTGTAACGTGATCGTGCAACTATTTTTAAGCAAGATTCTTATTTGTTAGTTTATTTTAGACCCAATTATTTATATACTTTTGACAAGTTAATAAGCTTCTGGAAATATGTGTGGGTTTACATGCATCCGTCATGCGTCATCCGTCATTGATTTTATAAAATTTGATTGGTTTATTTCTATAATGACAGCTCATACTTAAATATGATTGGAGTAACGGAACGACGGACGTCGCTTGACGGATACATATAAACTCACCTTAACGCTGCTATAACTAAAACAAAATCAAATGTCATTAATCATTATCAAGTATGATTAATCATGTCCCATTATTCCCAGAAGATTGGAATAATAAATAACAATGAAAAATTGAGATGAGATTGTCACTAAAATATAAACACGTCCACACGTCAAACCCCAAACCTGATTAATTCAATTAATCAAATAGTTTATGTTTAAGTAAATAGAATCTAATTATACAATACACGAGATCACAATAAATTATTTAATAAAGAGAGAAATATTTTACAAAAAGTCATGAATTTTTCCGGAGATTATTTAGTCTATCAATTTCACTGCCTAATGTCTCTACATTTTCCTAAAATAAGAATTTTGCTTTAATTTCTGTATAAAAATTCAACAACAAATGCTAAATAGTTACCTTCAGTGTCATGTTTTTAAGCAGGGCATCTTCTAGTACAGCTTGTAATTTTCGGTTAATATCTAGAGATAATTCAAGTGTCAGAGTCTCATCGCAGATCTTATTGCTGTACATAGATGCCATCACACCATTTAATTTGGCTAACTTCGCCTATAAAAATATATACTGCTTGTAATAATTGAGGGGTTCAGAAGTAAACTCATGTACAAAGAAAACAAGGTATCATCGATAGCGGCTCCAATTTCACTCAGTTTGCGCATATCACCTGTGATGTCGCTACGCCATATAAAAAATTCAAATTCCACTAATAAAAAAAGACCTAAAATAGCTTTGAATAAGAAGACCAAGGAAGGAGCATAATGCTATCCATGTATTCATGCATGGTGGGCGGAAAAAGGACTCTAGGGTGGGGGTCATTGACAGTACTGTTTGACGATTCATTTGACGCATTTGAATTTGATTTGAAATTTTGTGGATTTGTCAGTCTTTACGGAACTTATTTTATGTTATTTATTATTTATTCTACTACTGATAGTTGTATAAAGGTAGTAAATCTAGATGGAAAATGTGGCAGAACTTAAATTAACAGTGACACTATCGCGATTTATCGAAAAGGACTCTAAAATAGGTTACACTACCCTGACACTACCCCCGAGCCAGTGATGATGTTCGTCCATAAATATAATATGTAAGTACACATTTAGTTTTATAATTATTTTATTATTCGTAGATTAATTAAATGGATTATTAAGTTAAATTGAAGTATTTATTATTTGCTATGCCCCTAGTCATAACCCACAAAATGGGGTGTGACAATATACATACATGTAGTAAACCGATCATGTATGAAATTCACTTAAATTAACTAATTATATATTTTTTTTTGCATTTTTGCTTTTATTTACTACTTGTCAAAGATTAGATGTCAAAGAATTTATATACGTCAATTTGACTGATCTGCTTCAGTAGCGTATCGGATGTTTGTGTTAATAAATAATTATTAAAACTTATCTATTTTTATTATAATAATATGTTTTTATAACAATTTTAATAACTACCAACATTTATACATAACGTAAAATAAAAAAAAATATTGAGTCTTGAAAAATATTGAGTCTGACGTTTATCCTACATCATAGTTTTACATTTTTTAAATAAAATTAGAATGGCACTGATAAACCGGAATTTAAGTCGGCCATATTTGAGTCCCATCGCGGTGGACCTAAGATTTTTGATATGCTCCTTCCTTAGTCTTCTTATTCAAAGTAAAATAGGAAAGAATTAGGACATAACATTTGAAAAGTCATGTTCACATTTCATGTGTCATCAGGTTGATTTGAAAATGGCGCGCGGAACGTGCCGACCAATGGTGTCGATATCACCTGTGGCATAGTGACCAACCTACGCAATATCATACTTTGTTTTCTTTTTATCATAAAGTGAACTGAATCAAGTCCTAAAAAACCTAACCTAACACACATAACAATAAAAATAGATAAAAAATGTCTATACCCATGTGGCGGATTCATCTCTCCAAAAAATCTTATATGGATATTTCACCACTGCAAGAAAATCTACAAAATAAAATAGTTATTTTTTGTAAACACTTCTGCGTTAATCCAAACGAAAACTACTTGTCAGGAAACAACTTTTATCAGCGGTTTTTGTAGACGTATCTGTTTTAAATAACTAAAGACTAAAGTGTTCTCGAATAGTTGAATTTAAATATTTTAAATAATTTTTTTCTTTATTCTTTGCATTTAATTTTGCTTCCGACGACGGAAAGATATAACTTTTCGAAACGTTAAGCATTTTTTTTGTTCGTTAGGCAAATTTGTATATCTGTAAACCTAACTTCTGACAAGTAGTTTCCGTTTGGATTAACGCAAAAGTGTTTACAAAAAAATAACTATTTTATTCTGTAGATTTTCTTGCAGTTGCGAAATACCCATATAGGATTTTTTGGAGAAATAAAAACAGATATTTGGTTATTTAACTGAGAAACATTATGATAGACAAAATGGGCGAAAAAAAATTGAAAGTTGAAATTGCCAATCGATGACATTCGCCATATAATTTTGTTTATAAAATGAGACTACAATATATACCATATTGCATGTAAAGTTGATCTAATTAGGCCACCAGCAAATTACCAGTATACAGGGTGACGCTTCTGTATTTTTTCTATTTATTACTGTACATTATAAAGTACTGTCTATTGTTTTAAGAAGAAACAGATTATGTTTGTGTTTTTAATGATCACTGCTTTTTGAACAAGTGTGTGAATATGTGCTTTTAAATTTATACTATCGAGTTTTTTGGCTGGCACAAATGTAAGAACTTGACAACGCTGCTTCCGATACGCTTCAGTCCGTCCGCCAAAAAAATGTATGGAAGGAAAGAATATGGAACAGAAGGGAAATGGAACGGATAGTGTGCATTGTCCTATTTATTTACATTATATAATATTTTATGTAAACGGAAGGGAGCTGATACAGAATGTATAGTGAGGATCAACCTTTATTAATAATATTCTTAGAAACATATACTTCCAATAACACTAAACATATAGTTTATTACTTACCAAAGTTTTTTCTGTTCCAATAAAGTAAGCATAAACAAATGTGTTTTAGAAAAAGGTACTCTATAAAATCTGTCCAACAAGTCAAGGAAGATTTCGACAGATGACATCCAAAAAATAATATAAAACAATTTACCTGTGAATTAAAATAACAGACAACTGTCACTGTCAGGTATCTTCTCTTTGGACAGACTTTACTTATGTAATATGTACCTGTTAATATCCTTATATGGTTTTATAAGTACTATTAGTCACAAGAAGCGCTTACCTTATTATTGTCCATTGCATTTGATGTCAAAGTTCCACTTTGTTCCCTTAATACATAACCCTGTAACAACTTGGTCTTCTTTTGTACCTCTGAAACTAAAGTATTGATATGCTCCTCAAGAAAATCAATTTTTTCAGATTTCTTTGCACTAATTCTTTGTAACTTTACTATATGCTCAATAAGTGTTTGCTTATCTATTGTAGGCTCAGGCTGAATTACCTATAAAAATATTCTTGTTATATTTACTGGTATTTTTCCCTAAATCAACTTACCTTCACTTGTTCAATATCAGCAGAATTTTGAGAATGCCCATTGACATTCAATGTTGAACTTGAACTACTAGTATTTGAAGACGAATCATTACTCTCATATTGTTCTAGTTTTTTCCTACAGTGATGTAACTCTTTGTTTACTTCCTTAAATAAGAATTTAATTGATTCTCACTTATATTCACACATATCGTAATATTTCTATTTACCCTTAAATTTAAATCAAACTTTCTCTTCAATACTAAATTTTCTCCTTTCTGATCTCCGATCTCCTGAATCGCTGCTTCTATTTTTTTCTGCGTTTCCTCTAAATTTCTTTTAAGGCATTCATTTTCCGAAGTGAGTTTGGTCCTTTCTTCAGCTAATGTAGCCGATAACATGGATATTTTTGTTTCTTGTTCCTTTATTTGTCTTTTAAGAATACCTTGTTCGCACGTTAATTGTTGAACCTATGTAAAAGCTTAAATTACCCCTACTTTTACACTCTAATATATGTGTTAATGTGCAGGATGTAAACCAATACCTAAACGCAAAAATCAGTCGACTACTTTTGAAAAAATAAGGATTCTACTTAAGTATACCGTGCGATCGAATAAAAACGATGTCAGCGATGGCTATGAAATGAAGATTGCTGTTAAACCAACAAGCTAAGCGAACTGGACGCCGTTTTTTTCTCAAACATACGGTACTATTTTGATTAGTGATATCCAAACGCTAAATGTCAGTTTTTGATGTATGTTTTAGAATAAGTGGATAATACTTCGATTTTAGTTTGATTTTTCAAGCATGTTTAAGGTAAAAAGTTCCTATAAACGTGTTAAAAAATGGGTCGTTTTTAGGGTTCCGTACCCAAAGGGTAAAAACGGGAACCCTATTACTAAGACTTCGCTGTCCGTCCGTCCGTCCGTCTGTCACAAAGGTCTATCTTATGAACCGTTATAGCTAGACAGTTAAAATTTTTACAGATAATGTATCTATGTTGCCGCTATAAGAAGAAACACTAAAAACAGAATTAAATAAATGTTTATCAATAAAAAAGTACTTTCACTAAACATTATCTTTTAAGTAAGAATTTTACATAGAATCTTTCAAGTCCTCGGTGGCCGCGTGGTTAAAGCGTTAGGACTTTACGCTGCTATGACGTTGGAGCCGTAGTAAGGCAGGTTCGAATCCTAGTCAAGGCGACTTTTTTTTAATTGTTTTTTTTTAATTTTTACATATTTTTACATAATTATTTTTACTTTTTACATATTTATTATTGATTAATACAATTTTTAGTAATGTGTTTCTTCATTTTTTTTAAATTACTTATAGAAAAAAAGTTTATAATAATATAGGGTGTAATGTTGTATAAATAATGAATGGTACGGAACCCTTCGTACGCGAGTCCGACTCGCACTTGACCAATTTTTTAGGTACAGGGTGACAAAGTTTTAAGAAAAGAATCGTTTTTTCTTAAACGGCCACTCCAGATATTTTTATGAAATTTAGCAAATCTATTTTTCATCGAAAAACATATTTTCTAAATGTTTTACCAGTGGCGAAATGGTACCTTACGGCTTAATTCGTCGACCGAGACTTTTCAGGCGGATTGTATACCTTTTAGGGAGTAGTTTTAAGGAGAAAAACACCGTGCTCGGCCAGCTTTGGCCGAAAAAATGGCCCCAAAGGACCGAAAAATCAATTTTTGGCAAATATCTGCCAAAACATGCAATTTACAAAATTTTTCTTGAAATAAAAAATGAAGCTTGGGTAATTACTTACATAAATGGTCCTTATCATTTTTTACGTAGAATTAGTAGTTTCCGAGGTATTACGCCTCGAAGATCCCTGAATTTTCACAAGTATTAACGCTCCGGAGATAGATTGCATAAACCTATCATTGATTAATAGGACAAATTGTTTAATAACTCGGCTAAAATTTAATATTTTTTTATGATTTAAAGTTCATTTAAAAGGTTGAATCAACAGCCAGCACATTTTGGAACTTGTTTGAATTTTGTCATATTTTATGATAATAAAAAACCGGGCAAACGCATAAACATTTTCAGATTTTTACAAACTTATTCATATTTTCACTAATAACAGCTTATTTGTCGAGATTTTTTTGTGCGGGTGCCAGATATCAGAAGCATTGCCATACACAATTTTATAGTCCATTATATCCGAAAAAAAGGACAAGAATAATATATACTGAAAGAGTTTGAGGATATTGCAGGTAATTTTGAACTTGATCATTGATTTCCAACTCCTCATTCATGTTTGTTAGGGCACAAACATAGTGAGGCATCTCGATGCGATGCTCGCCAAGATGCTGGCCGCGCTGCTCGCCAGGATGGTAGCCGCGATGCATCCTACGCGCACTGTTTTAAAACGGCGAATAAATGCGCGTAGGCATACTGAAGCATTTACCATTGCCGTTTTATTAAACACCAGTTTATACAAAGTAGTTATTAATTAATTAATTAGGATAGGCCCTTGTTGCATTTCAGTTGATTTCAACAAATTCCGATCGCAGCGCTACAACGGCAAAAATCAGATATTATCCCTACCTATTTCACGTCGCCGTCATGTTGATCGCATAGAATAATATTAAAATCGTGGTTTGGTTATAATATTTAAGTATTTTAGTTTTTTGCTAGTGCAGTTATTGAAACGAAAAAGAGATAAAACACTCAGGTACGAGGTTTGTGTGATGTAACGCTGTTTCGGGTAATAAAAAATAAATGAAAAAGAATTCGAACTAGGCGTCGTGCTGTATTGTGACAATTTCAAATGTTAATAAAATTGCCGAAAAAATGTTAACGCGTAAAGGAGAGCGGATTTAGGGCGTTGTTGGGTGCAATTACATAAATTCAATAACTCAACTTTCCCGGATATTCAACTCTCCCGAAACAAAATTTTATAGCTTCATAGTTTCTCACACCGAAAAGCAAAAATGGTTTCAAGCAGTTCGACGAAACAAGTGAATAAACAAAGTGCTCGATACATAATCAAAAAATTAAAAAGACACTATGAGAGGGTAAAATATAATTTGCAATATTAATGGTATACTTTTTTGACTTTTTTAACTAGTGATTAAACTTTTTCTTTTAACTAGTGATTAAAGTACTTGCTATAAATAAATAAAGTCTATAAACTAATTTCGATTTTGAAAATAGCTACTGTCACTAGAAACTTGCCATGACATCAGCCCTCTTTGTTGTCATTTTATTGAAAAATTGCTCTTTATTCAAAAGTTGAGCTAGATAGGTATAGGACACCCTAATATATGTAATTTGAAAGAGCATTTGAATCTGTTTCGATTTATTTAAAAAAATAGGTTGTCGTATTTGAAATAACAGTTTTTATGTAAAATAAATATTTAAAATAAATTATCAATTTTTGGTACCCCTGTATAAATTTAAGGCAGCAATACAAGTTTATTTCTCTATCTTTAAACTCAGCACAAGAATTAATTCTAAAAAGTAATGTTCATAATCTATTCCATTGTAGCATGCATATTTAAATATCTTTAAATATCTCAAAAACCAAAGCTTGTAAACATATTAATATATAATAACCCTTATAATAGATGCCTTATTTTGTGTCCAAGGATCCAAATATGAAATAAAATACGGATGTTCCATAAGAAAAAATATAATTTTGGTGTAAATCTTAGTTCTGACATACCCTGTACATTTCAAAATAATTTTAAATTATGCACATGGTCTTCCCACATATGCCCATAAAATATTTTGTTTCTACATATTTCCGTTATCGTATAATCAACCGAGGCGAATGAGTTGCGCCACACCGTATATAGGTGTTCCATTTAAAAAAATATTCGCGATCCACTCACACTTTTTTGAGCCACCCTTTAGAAGTTCAAATATTTTCCTCAAATACATACTAATACATACTTTATGTCTGGACTACAAAATTCATAAGTTTTTTATTATTAGAACTGTGGATGCCCGACGCACTATTGCCGGACCCTGTAGAATCAACGTTATTACATTGTTGGTGATAAATTAAATATTAGTATTGTGAACATTTTATTCCACCCGACTCTAGTTCGACATATGCTCAACGAATTGTGATCCTAAACCGACCAATCAAATGTAAAGTTTCAGGCATCCGCGTCCGCTTCTCGCAAAAAACAAAAATTTTGTTTCCTAGGAAGCATCGCGCTGAACATCTAGATGCGTGGCGACGTGCGAGGCTCCAGTATGTTTTGACGCATAAATTTGTACATGTTTGATTCAGCATCGCCGGATGGCGAGGTGAATGGCGCGCATCGCATCGAGATTAAATGCCCCGCACTATGTTTGTACGATAGTCACGATGCATCCTACGCCCACTTACTCGCCGTTTTAAAACAGTGCGCGTAGGATGCATCGCGGCTACCAACCTGGCGAGCAGCGCGGCCAGCATCTTGGCGAGCATCGCATCGAGATGCCTCACTATGTTTGTGCCCTTACTTATAAAGTTATTATGCAATTTTCTTTTGTTTACGACACTTTCCGGAAATTCAAAAAAAAACACTCACAAATAGTTATTTTTATTAAAATCTGCTTAAACAAATATATCAAACTTTCTGAATTGCTTAAAGAGACTCTAAGAACAACTGTTAAAAAATAAATAAAATCTTGACAAATAAGCTATTATTAGTGAAAATATAAATAAGTTTGTAAAAATCTGAAAATTTTTGGGCTAAGGAATGTTTGCCCGGTTTTTTTATTGTCATAAGATATGACAAAATTAAAAAAAATCCAAAATGTGATAGCTGTTGATTCTACCTTTTAAATGAACTTTGAGTCAAAAAATATTAAATTTAAGCCGAGTTATCAAACAATTTGTCCTCAATCAATGATAGGCTTTTGAAATCTATCTACGGAGCGTTAAAGACTTGGAGAGAAAATTCAGTGATTTTCGAGGGAGGCGGAATATCTCGAAAACTACTAATTCTAAGTAATAATAAGAACCATTTTTATAGATAATTACCTAAGTTTCAGTTTTTATTTAAAGAAAAAATTTGGAAATTGCATATTTTGGCAGATATTTGCAAAAAACTGATTTTTCGGCCATTTGGGGCCATTTTTTTCGGCCGAACACGGTGTTCCAGTTTAAGCTTGATTTTCATGCATCCGTTATACGTTGATACGTTGGTCCGATGGTGCACTGATTGGTCATAGCATTTTCGCGCCACTTTTCATCCGTAAATATTTTACTTCAGCCCGTCAACGGACCCGTTCATACGATAACGGACGTTTTGACACTTTTTTGACAAATTTAATCTAACCTAAATAAAAATATAAGTAAAATAGCAAAAACGTTATGGAAACGAAAATATAAAATGACACCAACGTATATCCGATAAACGGAGGCATGAAAATGCAATAAATTTAAAAACTGCGTTATTTTCTAACCAATCAAAGTCTTTAAATTCTACCAATAAAATTAATATCGTATCAGCGTATCGCCGGACAACGGATGCATGAAAATCAAGCTTTAAGCTTGATTTTCATGCGTCACGATACGATGATACGATATTAATTTTATTGGTTGAATTGAAAGGATTCGATTGGTTAACCGTTTCTAACCAATCGAAGTGTTTAAATTCAACCAATAAAATTAATATCGTATCAACGTGTCGTCGGATAACGGATGCATGAAAATTAAGCTTTATTCCCCTAAAACTACTCCACAAAAGGTACACAATTCGCCTGAAAAGTCCCGGTCGACCAATTCAGCCGAGACTTGGGTCTTTTCGTGTCCTTATTTACTGGACTATATGAAAAAATTATTTTTTTTCTCATAACTTTGACATCAGGTAACTAGAAAACGGAGTATTTTAGAACACATTTTTATATTAAGATTTTACCTTAAGAATTCTTCCAATTCACCCAAATTGAAATATCGGACATTTATTCAAAAACAACCCGCATAATAAAAAACTGGATAAGGAAACGTCAAATAGAAAAATGTTATAAGAAAACGCCTTCTATTTATAAAAATGTATATCAATTCTTGATTGATTGTATTTATTAACCTGCATATTGCATAAAACATACCTTTGTCTCAACTGTAGTGAACTCCGATTGCAAACGAACATTTTTGTCAGTCAATTGTTGTGTAAAAAGCAGTAATTCTGCTTCTCTAATTCTACAAGATTCCATATCAGATTCTAATTCTTGATTTCTTTGTTTTAACAAACTCATTTGTTCATTTGACACTTCTAGTTGTTCTTGTTCACTAAAAGAATTAAATATTGAACCAAAATAACATAAAATAATTTATACTGTACAGAGTGTTTCAAAAAAATGTACAATCTCTCTTGGGGAGATTCCTCACGTAAAAATAATTAATTGATTTTTTGTGTTAATTAATAATAATTGTTCTAAATAATAAACAGGATTGCATGTGTATTGGACAAAATGGTAAAAAGTTCGGTAAAAAACAAGCAATTTTTTTTATGTGTATTGACGAATTCTTTGGGAAACCTCTTTAGTACCTAAAACCTGTTTTCACAGGGGAAAAAAAGCTTTTTCAGGTGAGGACTATTCCTATTAATTGTGAAAAAAATGTCCACAGACAGAAAAATAATTCGGTTTTGTCTTACAATACAATAGACTAGGAGGTAGGAGGTCTTTATCTAAATAGACTATAAATATAACTTTTGCCAAAAATTGGACTTACGATGTTTTGAAAGTCAGGTATCGTTATAAAAGGTTCAATTTACTCAGTTTGCTGAATAAAATGCGTAGACGATAACTATTTTTTACAAATAATACATGAAATTTAGAATTTCCCACGTATATGGTGTTTTGGCTTAAAATTTCCCTTTTCCCTTTGTATCTCGAAATTTCCCAGGAATCGAGAAATTTCCCACGATTTGGCATCACTGTTAGGAGCCATGCGGGTTAATTCGACACCCTCGAAATAATTATTTTTAAATATCGAATCGTTATTTCCAAGGTGCCGTATTTGGTAAATTAATCTAAATTATCAAAATAAGCATTTTCTACAAAAACATGAAGATATATCTAAAATAAGATGTAATACAATTTCATAAATAAATAAATTTTGAATAGGATGCTAGAAAAATATAATGTTCTAATTAATTTAAACGTTATTTTCATCTAAAGCTACACTCAGATGCAAAAAAAACGCAACGGAGAAATTATTGGTCAAATTTAAAGTGTTATATTTTTGTTATTTTTAGCACCATTTTCATGATTTTTTTAGAAAGCTGTATATAATTATATTAACTTTAAATTGTAAACTCAGTTTTCTATAAACTTTAGTATTTGGCATATTATACAGGGTTAAACGAGGGATTGTTTTTTACCTTAACTTTAAAACACCAACCCAGGCGAATGAGGTGCGCCACCCTGTATATAAGCCACAAACTGGTAATATTGGAATAGAAAATAAACTGGTAATACTGGTAATAATAGAACGGCAATATTTTTAATCTGAACAGAAAAGAATACATGAATGTCACTAAACTGTTTCATTTGCATACATGGTATAGGATATCTATAAAAATATTTCATTTTAATTTAATATTATTGAAAATAATTACTTAGTACATGGTATGTAGGTTATTAAGAAGGTATATTTACAGTATAAGTATTTAAAAATCAGATATATAACTTACTGTTTAAGTTGTAATTTGAGTTGTTCAAACTGCACCGTTTTAGTTTGTAAATTTGCAGCATCTTGACGCTGTTGATCTTGGTAGCCTCGAAGTTCACTTAGTTTTTGTTCATTCTCCAGTCTGAAAATACATTTTAAGTAACCAATATTTGTTTATTTCTAAAACTTACCTTTCTCTCTCCAAATGTTGTACTTTGAGACTTAAATTATTATTTTCTTCAATTGTATCTTTCTGTTTACTGTGTAATCTCTCCAACTCGCTTTGAAAAGTTTTAATTTGCTGGTCCCTATCACTTTTTTCATGCCTTAATAAAATCAATAAGGCCTGTTGCTCCTTAACTTGCTGGTCTAGAAAATACATGTTTTGTATTGATATTATTTAATGCTTTAGTATTACCTAAAACATATGCTTTATTCTCTTGTGATGTCATAAAGTTTTTAATAGTTTCTTCTGCGTTTTTCTTAGCTTGTTCTATTTCATTTACTGAATCCTGAATTTTAGTACTAAGAGCTTCAACCTAGAATATAATTTGCAAATTGAAATAAATGAATATCAATAAATAATCACCAAATTCCAAGATAACCCTACCTTAATTTGACATTCTTTATGTGCCTCCATTTCTGTTTTTAAACTATTTTGATTCCATTTCAGTTTTGTTTCCAAATTATTTAAATCTTGTTTAGCTTTATCTAATTCTTGTTGAACATTCTTATGTTCATAACATTTATTATCAAGCATTTGTCCAATTCTGGCCTTTTCAGATATCATTGTTTGTAACTTATGTTGTAAAAATTCAATTTCTTTCTGAAATTCCTTGCATTTTTTCTCAGCTTGTTCTTTCATCTGACGTTCTTTTAATATATTCTTTTCTCCTACTGCATATCTAAAAATTTTAAAATATGTAAATATTATAGGTAATTACTGGCATATATTAAATATAAAAGCATCTCTTAAACAAATTCACCAATTCACCTAATAACCATATTTTCTTTCTCTTTAATGGCAAGTTCTTTTTGTTTATTGGCATTTTCAAGCTTGAATTCAAGATCTTTTTTTAAACCTTCTAATGTTTTATTTTTCTCCTCTAAAACTTTTAAACCTTCAGTATTTTGTTCAATAACGTTTTCCTGGTACAGTATTTTTTCTAGTATTTCATTTACATCTATATTTGGTTGAAAATCTTTTTGATTAGAAACATTAGTAGACTCTGTATTTTCTGTTTTCTCCATAATGCTACTATCAGTTTTATCTAAACAATAATTTTAAAAATAAGTTTACATCTCAAGTTTAGCATTAAATTAGTTTTACCATTATTCAGTTCCACTGTACTAGATTCAGTTCCTGATTTTGGAAGAATCTGTATTTGCTCAGCACTATCAGAATATTTAACAATCACTACATTTTCAGTGGGAAGAGCCTTATCAATTCCATGACTATTTTCGTTAACATCCTTTACAAGACCTAAATTTTGTGATAATACACTTTGATGATCCAACATATGTGAACAATTTTCAACGACTGATAAGGTATTATCCTCCATCTTTATAATTTTTTAAAGATATTTTTTTCTTAAATATAACATATCGCCATAATACTACAAAAATTTTGTCGATACACTTATGAAGAAGAACATAAACATAGTTTTAAATATTTTAAATGTTTACCAATGTTTACTTGTCAAAATAATAAATAATAATCAAATATTTTATTGGCTAAGGCAATAAACTTCTTCTTTTTTTATATATTATCTACTCATAGATATGGAGGTTCTACTGCTATTCTGTATATGATTAATATGTTTTTTTGTCTGAATGTATACCATCATATAAATAATATCTTATGTCTTTCCCTTCTTCTCTATACCTATGTCTAACTTCATACTTATGACTCACCTGTCACTTTGACTTTGACATTCAGATGTCATCCAATTAGTTACCTGTCAAAAATATTAGTAACCGTAGTTTAGGAAAAGAGGTGTGTTATTAGAAAATAAAACTATTTTTGTACGAAATGGAAGCTTATGATGTAATTGTAAACCAACCGGTAGTTATAGATAATGTAAGTTACTTATATACGTTATAGTCCAAACTTTTGGCAGAACTTTATATGTTTTTTTTGCTTTAGGGTACGGGGGTTATCAAAGCAGGTTTCGCTGGCGACCAGATACCCAAATGTAGATTTCCGAATTAGTAAGTAATTTTACTTCAAATTAATAATATTTTTACTACAGCATTTGACAAGATAACGTTTGCTTGTAGTGTCGGTAGACCCAAACATGTTAGAGTTATGGCAGGCGCTCTTGAAGGGGATTTGTTTATTGGTCCCAAAGCAGAGGAACATAGAGGTTTATTGTCTATTAAATATCCTATGGAACATGGTATCGTTACAGACTGGAATGATATGGAAAAGATTTGGAGTTACATTTTTAGGTATTTTCTAAAAAAAATTATTTTATGTGATAATGTTTTGTTGTATTTTTTCAGCAAAGATCAATTAAATACCTTTTCAGAAGAACATCCGGTTCTACTTACGGAAGCACCTTTAAATCCAAGAACAAACAGAGAAAAAGCTGCAGAAATCATGTTTGAATCGTTTAATGTTCCTGCATTATTTATATCTATGCAAGCTGTACTTAGTTTGTAGGAATTCAAGAAATATTTTACTTTTATTTTAAATGATGCAATATGTTTTCCAGATATTCCACTGGTCGAACTACTGGAGTAGTGTTAGACGCAGGTGATGGAGTTACACATTCAGTGCCTATTTACGAAGGATTTGCTTTACCCCATAGTATTTTGAGATCAGATATTGCAGGTCGTGATGTTTCCCGTTATTTAAGGTAAATATTAGATAAATATATATTTTATTTAACATATAAAATAATAATTTTAAAGGTTACTTCTCCGGAAAGAAGGAACTATCTTTCGAACAACAGCAGAATTTGAATCAGTGAGAACCTTAAAGGAGAAAGCATGTTACTTGGCAAATAACCCGGTTAAAGAAGAATCTGTAGAAACAGAATCTATTAACTATACTTTACCAGATGGAAGTGTGATCAAAGTTGGACCTGCAAGGTTTAGAGCTCCAGAAATCTTATTTAAACCAGATTTAATAGGTGATAAATTAATTATAACATTTAGAGGTATAATGTATAATATCTTATAAATATTTTATTAGGTGAAGAATGTGAGGGTCTTCACGAAGTTCTTCTCTATTCTATACGAAAATCTGATTTGGATCTTAGGAAAGTACTTTTCAAAAATATAGTTCTATCTGGAGGATCCACTTTGTTTAAAGGTTTTGGAGACAGGCTATTGTCAGAAATTGCAAAAATGTCACCCAAGGAAACTCAAATTAAGGTTTTACATCTGTTATTTTGTTAATGATTTATTTTGTCACTATATAACTTTTTACTAGATATCTGCACCACAAGAAAGGTTGTATTCAACATGGATTGGCGGTTCTATTTTAGCATCATTAGATACATTTAAGAAAATGTGGGTCTCTAAAAGGGAATACGATGAAGAAGGTCAGCGTGCAATACATAGGAAAACATTTTAGTTATATTTTATATAAGTTTATTAATTTATTTTACTTAAATTCATTAATTTTACGTACTAAAATCTCTTAAAATGTGATCAAGAACATTTACAAACCATTTTTTAAAGTGATATTAATGAACCATATTAACATTATTTACATAGCTGTCTTAAACAGGATTTTTTTTTACTTGGATTTAGAAAGTGATTTTTTTATTAATTAAATTTTTAAAAAGCAATGAGACCTTAATTTTAGATAATAAATATCTACGAGCATACTATTTTTGTGTCTAAATGAACATACAAATTTAAATATACATATAGAGCTAATTGTAATTATATTGGCCTGAATAATTGTTCTACTTCATTGTATGTCGCTTTTTATTGTTAAGAAAAAAAAATAGAATTTATTACTTATTTGAATTTAACATTATATTTATGTTTTTCTATGATACATTTATATAAAAGATCTTTTTTTCATCTGCACAATAACAAATAAATAACTAGCAGCTTTAGTATAAAATATGTGAATTTTATAGTTTTTTTTAAATAAATTATATTGTTTAAGATATTTGTTTTTTAATAGAACCCTTGTAAACAAGGATATAATACAATTATTGTTATATTAAGAATTGGAATATTTCAAAGTGATAACTTTATTTCTTAAAAAATTTATTTTGCTTGATTTGTTATAAAATGAAATATATGTTTATTGTTTATTATCTTGTATTTATTTAGTTTTCTCAGTTTCTTATGTATCTATAAATATTGTTTCAAATAGTTATGAAAATTTCAAAGGTTTAAATTAATTACCTATAGGTGTTTTAATTTTTTTAAGAATAAAATTTTAATATAAATATAAAAAAATGGTGGTTTCAGGGTAGTTCTGTTGATCCTATAAAATAGTTCTTTTGACTGCTTTGGCTTATCCCATCCTTCGTTTATATCAATGAGGTTATATACAGGGAGACGCTATGAGCATTTAAAGTGCTTGCGAAAAATGGTAACACTAGGCGTGGCTTAAGCCAGCACCAATATGGCGGCATTAGCAGGGCCGGATTACAGAAACTTCAATGAAAAATTTTATTTTATACAATATAACGACCTCAACTTTTTTAAATAAAAAATTAATTAATCAAAATAACTACAAAACCTACAATTTTTTCAAAAATATAAATTACGAGGTTAATTTTAATGACTATGTACTATGTATATTTAAGGAGGAAACACAAAAAAATAATACACATTAAATAAATTAAATTTTATTGCTCACTAAATAACACTGTTTTATTGCTAGTATGTCTTAAACTAATTGCCTTGTTTTTATTGATGTATCTAACAATAATAACCTTAACATTTAAAAAAAAAAATTAGAAAAAAAGCGGAAAATAATTAAACATGATTACTGATTTACAATAATTAACATTTTGATAATCATTAAAATTTAGAAATCTTAGGAACTGATTATTTATTTGAGATATTTTATTGAGATGTTCTGTCAAAACTAAAAGAAAAGCTATCAGAAAAATGTTTCGAGCATAGAACACTACCTGATGTAGCTTGCCAGTTTCTCCTGTTCACAAACTTCACCCAAGCTTCTCGACGGACGGGATTTTTGAAACCTAAAAATCAGGTTTAATATAATATTTATTTGATAAAAATTTTCTAAAGAGAGCAAAATTTATATACTACGTAGTAAATTTAAAAGGTTCTGATATAAAATTTTATTAAAATAATAAATGTTTATCAATAAATATAAGTCGTTAAGACTTTATCTGCAATAAATAAATTTACTTTGTTGATTTTATAATATTTATCTAAAAATTAAAGCTATACTATATAAAGTTTGTACATAGTATATGCTAGCAGATGCTAAAAAGGAATGTAAATAAATGTTTAAGTACAAAATCTTAGTGTAAAAATAGAAAAATAAACCGTAGTTAAAACAAAACTTTTAAATTTGGCCTAGCAAAATACTCTTTCCTGTCAAAAAAAGTATATGTAGTAAAAATAACAGATATTGTTAAGAATTTTTTTACAAGAATAGAAGTCGAGGCATGTTTTAATTACTTAATTGCCTCTAACAAAGTATTAAATAACTAAACACTTTGTCAATATAGAAACACTTAATATTTAATTAATAAACGCATAACTAGTTAAATGGAAAATACGAAAATAATTTAATCAGGTCCTGTATTATGTTTACACTTACTTGTGAAATGCAATTTCAGTGGATTTCTTCCTCTCTACACGTTGTCGACTGCAACAACTACTTACAGCACACGAAGGCATGTTCGGAAAGTCCAAATATTCAAATAAAAACACAAAAATAGTCCTGGAAAATTAAAAAAACACTGGCAGCAACGCACTTAACCTCAAAAACTGAACTGTCAGAATTGCAAGTACCAATATGGCGTAACTGGGAACTGGGTACATTCAGTGCCTTCTATTAAAAGATCAGCCTACGGGCGGACTTTTGTTTACTTCATCAGCTGTACATACTTAGATATTGGGTTAGATTCCGTTTCATATTTTGTCGGTTGATTTTTGGTTTTAACTCTTTGATTTTTGGTATTATTTATTATTGTAGTGCAAAAAACTAATTATTTTGGTGTTGAAGTGACATAAACTACTACCAGATATATGGTCACTCTCGGTTTCGCATAAAAAAAAGAAATTTTAAAATTACACGTTGTGTAAGTGATTTAACCTAAAAGTGCCAATACATTTTTTACTTATCGTGATTTTTTGTGTGTGTTTTTAAGACTCTAACAATTCATCAATAAAGCTTAAGTGGAGTGTGTTTTTGGTGCTATGCCTCATCTTTGTTGTGTTCCTGGTGGAAAGGATAGTTACTAAGGATAGTTATTATACGAGGCAGCCTAAAGTGTCCGGAAGAGCAAGAAAAGTGGGTACGAGTTATAAATCAAGAGAATTTTATTGAAAATATCTTTAATAAATTTAAAAATAATATTCTCCCATGATGGTATTAATGAAAACTGGACAATTATGTTTATTTTATTCATATTGTGGAATCTCCACTCCAAGTGTTGCTGGTTCAGCTTCGATAGATTCAAACACGTAAGTAGGTATTATGATCTAGGGAAAAAATAAAGAATATGTGTATTAGAGATCATGAAAAGATTATTATTTTGAGTTCAAATTTTAAAAAAGATTTTTGTAAAGACAAGACTGATACAGTTTAAAAAGAAGAATGTGTTTTTGTTTGATAATATATAATGTATGTTAAGCATAACATATATTTGTTCAGTAATTTTTAATGAATAGTATTGATTATTTATAATACCAAATTAATATTAAATATTTAAGTGATGGCTGAATACAATATGAATAAAATAACAATAAAATTGGTATATTTGCATAATACAAAATTAAGTTTTAAGAATAAAGGTGTTACTAAAAATACTAAGTAACTCATATTTCTTTGTTTTAATTGGTCTAATGTTATTTACATTTTACGTAAGAATTATACCGTATCATCGAAAAAAATCGGCGTCTAGTTGGCTTGGAAATGAACATCGATGACATTCCCTAAATAACTGTACACATAAAATAATTAACTAGAATTTTACAATCTTGGAAAATTTGATATTCTTGAACCTTGATTCTAAATATTCTAAATTTTTTGATTTTCTTGGAATTTAGGTTCGGGAAAAACGCTGATTGATTTTTCATTTGGTTTTTCATTATTTTTATTTGGTTTAAAAAAAAAAGGTTTGGCTAACATTATAGCCTCCATCAGTGTTGTGTCATATGAAAAAAATAGTGTCGAATATAATCCAAAAAATTGCATATAAAATATTCACACCACGCACATAATGTTTACTGCGTACTCCATAGTCAATGTAGATAATTTTAGTGTTAAGAATAATAATTTTAAAAAATATGTGGTCATCTTTTGATAAGTTTATATTAGTTTATTAATTGCAGTAAACATTATGAGGTGTGAATTATATTGTATATGTAATTTTTGATTATATTCGACACTATTTTTCTCATATGACACAACACTGTGAAGGCTATAGTTAGCCGAAACGTTTTTTTAAAACCAAATAAAAATAATGAAAACCCAAATGAAAACTTAATCAGCGTTTTTCCCGAACCTAAAAATCCCAAGAAAATCAAAAATTTTAGAATAATTTAACATATAAAATGCCAGCGATCTTCATTTCATAGCCATCGCTGACGCCTTTTTTTTAGATAATATTGTATTATTTGTAAATATAATTTTTCGAACATTGATACTTGCAAAATATACATATAAATTTTGTGAATGCAAATAATAATACATCACTATTAGTAGATATTAAATGTTTTTGTTAAATTAGATCGATTTTCAAACCCCAAAATTTAAAATATATTTACATTTTACCCATTATCTTATGTACCTATACATTATTTTTACATTGTAAAACATTTGCTGCATTTGTATGGTTCATAGTTTATTTGCCAAAGTATTTATTACTATAAATAGGTATATATGTTGTAGTTATTAACTGTATATTATGTATATTTCATTTAAACTATATCATTTTTAAAATACAAACCAAAAATCTGAGGAATAATTATGTTTTCCATGTATTCTACAACATATTTATTAATCCGTTATATCTAACTAGCGTGACGTCATAAATCTCGCCCCAAGGCTGATCTTTTAATAGAAGGCACTGGTACATTTCTCGATAGCTTATGACGCCTCCCCCCCTTATAACCTCATTGGTTTATATCTGGTTTATATCATGGTTTATTTAAATCTTCGATCTGTGGGTTTTTATTTTACACTAAAATTTCCATAGATCATTGGATAACTACCATAGAACATTTTAAATTTTAAGATTGAGATTGAGACCCTGATTGAGACCTCTGATTGAGACCTTGAGAAGAAGTGAGGTTATTTTTTATATTTGTTTGGATTTTTCTTGGAGACTTTTTCTTAAGAAAGAAATAAATTGTGTTCTGTATTTAGACTTTGCTGTGTTTTTAAAAAGTTGAATTTATGACCTCTTGAATATCTGTACATACACACTATTCATGATGAAGTCTCAAGCAGAATATAAACTGAAATCACCACCGGACGATGCCATTTCTAGCGTTAAGTTTGGCCCTAATACAAACCAATTTTTACTAGTATCTTCCTGGGACGGCTACGTACGATTATATGATGTTACAGCCAATAACTTAAGACATAAGTATGCACACGACAATGCTGTTTTAGACTGTTCCTTTACAGTAGGTGACAATTTTTTTAAAATTTGCTTAAACGTTTTGAACTGAAATGTTATGATTTGTTTGCTGTGTAGGATGCAGTCCATGCATATTCAGGCGGACTAGATAATACACTGAAGTCATTTGATTTCAACACGACCACTGAAAATATTGTTGGAAGCCACAACAACCCAATAAAATGTGTAGAGTATTGTAGTGAATTAAACTGCATTTTAACAGGTAAAATACTGAAAGAAACTTTGCTTATATAAACTGCATTTAATGTTTTTAGGTGGATGGGATCACCATGTAAAATTGTGGGATCCTAGGTCTTCTGGAGCCCGAGGTAGTTATAATCAAAGTGATAAGGTTTATTCAATGAGCATATGCGGTGATAAATTACTAGTAGCCACTGCAGGAAGAAAAGTAAGAGTTTGAACATGACTTATTTCATTCTATAGCTCATTTTTGTATAGGTTTTAGTATGGGACATTAGAAATATGGCATATGCCCTACAAAAAAGAGAAACTAGTCTTAAATATCAAACCAGAGCTATAAGAGCTTTTCCTAACCGTCAAGGATTTGTATTAAGCAGTATAGAAGGTAGTTGTGGAATATATTTGTAAAATGTATTTGTTTTAATTGATTATTTTAGGAAGAGTGGCTGTTGAATATTTAGACACAAATCCCGAAGTTCAGAAAAAGAAATATGCTTTTAAATGTCACAGAATTAAAGAAGATGGCATGGAAAAAATATTCCCTGTTAATGCTATTAGGTAAATGAACACGATTTTTGTATCACAAAATGGTAAATATTTAATATTTATTTCTGTTGTAGTTTTCATCCAATTCATAACACATTTGCTACAGGGGGTTCAGATGGGTATGTTAATATATGGGATGGATTTAATAAAAAACGTTTATGCCAGTTTCACCAGTATCATACATCTGTCACTTCCCTCAGTTTTAGTCATAATGGTAAATATACAATTCTTAAACTTTTTTTCAAATAAATAAATACCTGCTTCATATTGTTTAGGCTCAGTTTTGGCTATAAGTTGTTCATACTTTTTGGAAGAAGATAATCCACCTAATCCTTTACCAGAAGATGTTATTTATATTAGATCAGTTACTGATCAAGAAACCAAACCTAAATATAGTTCAAACTAAGTAAACATTTTACACTAATATTAGTTTTTTAAGTTTTATTTCATATTCTGAAAATTTCTGTTTAATAATTTTACTTGTATTTTAATGTTTATGTCAAGTCAGCAAGTAAAATACCATTAGTATTTTTAAACTTTTATTTTTTTTAATCACCAACAGTATTTAACTTAACAAATATATTTACAATAAAAACACACATTCTGTTTAGTAATAAAACTAGACTGATTATTTTATTGCCAACCAAGTGCAGATGGAAGATGGAGGATATTTTTGAGAGATAATCAGTAGTTTTTAGAAAATAAAGTTGTTTAATAAATTAATTATTGTTGATATACAAAATATATAAAAATTAACTTACAAACAGGAAAATAGTAAAATTAAATTAAGAATAATCAGATAATTTTAAAAATAAATTACTAATTAACTCTCTTCAGTATTTGGTAGACATAGGTAACTATTGGTTTGATTTACATATAGATATATTTTAGCTGGTAATTATAGTGTCTTCTAGCATGTGACTTTGGATTAGGAGCAAAAACTCCAAGAGAACACATTAAAACATACATTTTTAAGTACTGTTGTCACAACAAATAATTAACATACTTTTACCAAACTACCCACTATTAATATTAATAGTATGATATAGTAAACGCCACGAATGTTTGGGAGTGATTCATCGGTCGCTACCATGTAAACTAATCTGTTCAAGGTCACATAAAACTTAATTCCAGTGCCGTGGTGTTTCAAATCATATGATAATCAATATATAATCTGTTGTAATTTGTTGTTTTAACTGTCAAAGTCTTGCCAAAACATATATTTGGTTATAAATATAAAATGGAATGCCCCAGTGGTCGCATTGCAAGCACACCAATGGACTGACGCACGAAAACGAATCAATCAAAGAAACGCGATATAGTATCGTCTTTGTCAGTCACGCTAACATTTTAGAATAAGTAGGAGGAGCGCAGGCAGATGATTAGACCGGGCCTTAAAAACCTACGTCTGCGATAAAAATTTACGTTTTTAATGTAAAAATGATAGCGCGCGTGTCGATTCTAACTTCGTCAAGCGATAAATCACTCCCAAACATTCGTGGCGTTTACTATACTATATATGCATCTTTTTTTAACATTATATACAGGGTGTCCCAGTATTCCGTGGACATCGAATTACTACGTATTTATGGAATCAAAATAGTCCATTGAACACAATTTACTTCTATACAAAAGTGCTTCGTTTGTCCGCTAGAGGGCATCAAACTTTTAAAAAATAAACACATTTTTTCAGATATTTAAAAACCGTTATTTGAATGAGATTTTGGGTGTCTATGGTTTGCTAAGTGCTCTAATATTTGACTTTCACAAAAATCAAGAAAAGGTAAGTGAAGAGTGAAAACTACCACCACTCCTACATAAATTTTAATATAAATATTTTTCAACTCCACCGACAGAAGCAAGAATTTATGAAAGCCAAATATTAGAGCACTTAGCAAAACATCTCATTCAAATCGGAATAACGGTTTTTAAAATATCTGAAAAAAAATGTGTTTATTTTTTTAAAGTTTGATGCCCTATAGCGGACAAACTACGCACATTTGTATAGAGATAAATTGTGTTCAATGAACTTTTAGGAATATAATTCAATTTAGAATAATTATTAAGTTATTACAGTCAGGGGTTGGAACCTTTGGTGTTACAACAGCAAAATAAAACACTAATTCATCAAAATACGCCTAAACACTATTTTATACACTGGACGCGCGTTACGCTAACCATGTTAGTTACTGTTAACAGTTTTAATCAGCTGATGATAATTCTAACATGGTTAGCGAAACGCGCATCATTGGATGTCTATGTTTTTAAACATTCGTTTAAAACAGTGTTTTGGTGTATTGTGGTGAATTTTGATATATTTTTAGTCAATAACAGGGGCGCCGGGTAGCAAAATTTCCAGATTGTTGTATTTATTACATTTTATACGTGTGTAACATACCTACACTTCTATTAATTTGAGTTATGCAGTAATAAAAGTTTTTAATACAGATACCAATTTGTGAAAATATTAATTATGCCCATTACAATCGTGTAAGGGTAGTAAAACAGACACACACAGTTACTGTATTTTATATAGATACAAAAGGAACCAAGCTAAAAACTCGGGGCAGTTTAGGGTCCCGATCAACAAGTTTATTTTTTTTAGTTAAAACTAAAAATTCCCGAAAATAAATATAAACAACGAGCTTTCAAATCACATAGCACATTTCATATACTTAGCCAGCTAAATTGATTGACCATAAGCCAACGTGGATATGAATACAGTATTGTTAGATATGAGCATAGCCGTGGATGGTTTAAAATTTGAAAAGCAGAATTGGTTAACTATCTAAGAATGGACGAGGAAACTTACTTAGAACTCTTGAAATTGATTTCTTCGAAAAACTACCAAAGTATAATGCGAATCATGCATGTACCAAAGAACTTTCTACAGTTTTTGGGCGACCTCTTGCCTTGTGGTGGATAAGATAAGTGTCGCTTAAAGTTGCCAAACTGATTGGTTTGGATGCTTATGCTCGTGGGTGCTCCGTATCCACTGTTTTTCTCTCGTGGGTGCTGGAGCACTCGAGCACCTACGCAGTCAATAACATTAAAAACATCTACGTCACATGCTAGTAACTCTAATCAAACCATATGCTTTCGTTCTAAATAAATAAATATAGAAAATGAAACATTGTGATGATTTGTTTAAAATGCATATTATCACATTGAGGCGTTAGACTTTTTTCAAATCGTTCCAAAACAGGTTGTAAGGTATTTGGTGTACTTTATACAATTGAGAATGTTGCTATAATTTTAAATCTCATGTAAAAATTATATTTAAAATAATATAAGGAATCACTACTGAAAATCCTGAATAATGTGCATAAGGATTTTTATTTGCTGAGTTACAACCGTCAGCATCATTGCAGCTTTGAACACATCCTTTGACATACCTAAAATAGATACATAGATTACATGTTTTTATAGACATAAATTTAAGTATTAACATAGTAAAAGGGCGATCCAAAAAACTATAGCGGTTTTCCTATATTTTTTACACGACAGGCGGGCAATAGAATACGGCCCTTTTATGGGTTAAATTTTCTGCACATCTAATCGCGCGCGCTGACAAAATTTTTAGTCTGCAAACTTTTTAGCTGCAAAAGTTAAACGAATACATTTTTATGGAGCGGATGGACCGACTATTTAATTGCACGTGTGCGCCATCCATAGTAATATCCTTGTTTATAAGAGTAATATATTGGTGACAAATCTGCAATTAAATAATCGGGCGACTATACAGGTCATTGCGCGCTAAAGGTCTCTGAAAGTATTATAAAATAGTATTTTTATCATTAAATTGTTACATATTTTATGATTGAGTCTTTTTCATTACGAATTATACATATTTATCAATCACAGATAACATATACTATATTATTTCGTCGTCAATATTACGATGTAACTCATTTTTTTTTATATTTTTCGGAAGAGCGATTTACAGCGCTTTCAGATGGAGCGGACCGTTCGCGACTTCGAGCAAGTACCATGAGTTTATATGAATAATTTCACATGGATCGCGTATGCTCCGTCCGGATGACGACTATCTTCAAAAAAACACGCGGACGAACAGCGCAGACGCTCCGCTCCATCTGAAAGCGCTGTTAAAGCTTCTTACTACTTTTATCTCAATACCAACCAAAAGTGTTTCTTTAATAAAAAAGAAACACAGTGGCTTCAATATATTTTGATCAGTGTTGAAACAAAAGTCGTAAAAAACTTTAAACCGCTCTCCTCAAAAATATCAAAAAATGTGTTACGCCACTTCGTGATATTGACAACGATTTGTGTTATTATACACTATAGGGTGTCCGTTATTTACAAAGTTGATCATTTCTCTTATGACGCTCTCTAAATTTTTTGTTTATATTGTCTAAAAAAAAATAACAGACCATTGTAAACCCTTAATATTCACAATAAACCTTGCCCCATAAGACGATTCATTTCCCATATAAATTACATGGGAATTTGCCACTTTTTGCAAATATTTTTTTCTCGATCTTGTTCTCTCGCAGCCATGACAATCATTGTACAGAAATTTTTCGATAAAGCTACTCCTTCAAAATTTATTCACGGTTAAAGTTAACGACTCAGTAGGTAAATACCGAGGTAAATTCCAAAATTTTTCAACTTTTTTGACAAAATTATAATTATTTTTGAATAATAACAACTACAAGATCGCCATAGCGATGAACTCCTAGATATATTACATATTTTATGTTGATGATGACATAATATGATTTGATATGTATACAATATTACAGTTGGGGGTTGGAACCTTTGGTGTTACACAGCAAAATAAAACACTAAATCACCACAATACACCAAAACACATTTTACTTTTACACTGGACGCGCGTTTCGCTAACCATGCATCATCAGCAGATGATTAAAACTGGTTTTAAAAGTTTTTAATTAATGATTAAACAAAACTACTGATGATGCTAACATGGTTAGCGAAACGCGCGTCTAGTGTAAAAGTAAAACTGTTTTGGTGTATTGTGGTGATTTAGTGTTTTATTTTGATATATACAATATACAAGGTGAGTTAAAACTAATTGTAGATATTTTACTACACGATATTTCAACTAGAAAATCCTGTATATAAGTACATGACCGTAAATTTTATCTAATTTTTTGTTTACCGATAATTTGTACATCAAAAATATATGTTTTATCATCACAATATGGTTTATATTAATTCTAGATTTACTATATAGAGTTCTAGATGTGCATAAGAATTAATCTAAAAAGGTCGTATATGTTTTTTGAATGTAAATTAAAACTATATTAGGTATTTACTTTGAATGGTCTGTACTTAATTTGCTATAAATATGGTAATCGTAACAGGAATGTTCAAAATTCTATGCCAAACTTTCTAAAATATAAAATAATTTTCTTCGTTTTTTTTTAAATGAAACACCTTATAATATTTTTTCAATATATGGAGAAATAAAAATGAATATTTTTGTACATATTTAGAGTATTTCAACATTTTTAAGGGTTTCGCAGATATTCGCGGTTTTATATTTCATATGGCATTTTCCGCAGTAAATTTTTATCAAAACCACCCAATAATTTTTCTCTCATATTTTACCGTTTTGTCCGTTAGGCAAATTTCTTTATTAGTAAATCACTGGTGTTTGCAAAAAATAACTATCTTATTTTGTAGATTTTCTTACAGTGGAAGTGGCAATAAAATACCCATAGGAATTTTTTTGAAGAGATGAATCCGCCACAGAGGTATAGACATTTTTTTAATATTAAGTACTGTAATCACTAGTTAATGTTTCCAGAATGCTATGAGTTATTTGTATGGTTAGATTTTTCTCTATATATCTATACTCGTTTATGGATTTTTCATACCTATTCGAATAGTAAAAGCTCCCACAATGCGACATGCGGACAATTTCAGTGTCAGTTGTTAATGTACCACTATCTAAAGCACACCCTCTTATGGTAATTGATGTTTGGTTATCATCTAAAATCAGTATATTTTCTAACTAAACTACTTATATGGCCCCCTATCTCACGTACTGGCGTAACTATATTTTAGTAAATTTATCAGGAGAGAACAAAATAAAAAATTACTTATATTAAAATTTTATTTTTTGCAAGATACATCGAATCTAAATATGATCGAAAAAAACTGGCGTCAGGATGTCTATGAAGTGAAGATCGCTGTCATTTTATAGGTAAAAATTATATGGGAAATATCATCGATCGTCATTTCATTCAGCAGTCGCTGACGCCGGTTTTTTTCGATCATATTATAACTATCTTGACACCGTGATAGATACAAATAAAGTACTTCTTGACATAAAAGTTGTGCCGTGTAGGGAAGTCTGAAGTGGCGTAATATCTTATTACGTGAGATAGGAAACGATATGTTTTCAAAATTTTCTTACCAAATACGCCAGTTATTTTCACACAAGAAGTGGCGGGAAAAAAGCCTTCCCTTCCTTTTCTTCCACCCATACATGGAGATTCATAAATATCACTAGTAAAATTATTGTGAAATGGATCCTCGCACGCAAGAAAATCTCTATTTACCGATATACATTTGAAGCAATCTATTGACATTGCTAAAAATTACAGTATTTTTTAATTAATATTATACATTCAGATGCAAAAAAAAACGAAACGGAAAATGTTTTCGTCAAGTTTTTAAAGTGTTATTTTTCTTATTTTTAGCCCTATTTTCATGAAGTTTTTAACATCTATATTAATATATAAAATCCTTAGTGACTGACATACTGATTAATCACGATCCTGCTCAAACCACTCAACGTAAGAAGCTCAGTCTTGGCATACAGGTTGATTCTAGGGTGTAGAGGTTCGATAAGAAGGGATTTTTCGAAATTCCAGTTCCAAGAGGGTGAAACCACCCCTCAAATATTACAATATTTTTTATTTAAAAAACGGCCAAGTTTCCGAAAAAACGCTTAAACACGTGTATTTTATTTTGTTTTTTTACATATTTTAAGATTTTTTTAAAAACGTATACAGGGTGTTTCAAAAATCCGGTCATTGATTAATCACGATCCTGCTTAAAACGCTTGACGTAAAAAGCTGATTTCTGGAAAACAGATTGACTTTAGGGTGTAGAAGTTCGATAAGAAGGGATTTTTCGAAACTCGAATTCTAAGGGGGTGAAACGATCTCTCAAATATTAAAATATTTTTTATTTAAAAACCGGTGAGTTTTTCGGGAAAATTCTTAAATACGTATGTTTTATTTTGTTGTTTTACATATTTTAAGATTTTTTATAAATTTATACAGGGTGTGTCATAAAATATGACCATTGAGTAATCACGATACTGCTTAAACTGCTTGACATTTAAAGCTGATTTTTGGCAAACGGATTGACTGTGAGGTGTAGAGGTTCGATAAGGAGGGGTTTCTCGAATCTCAAATTCCAAGAGGGTGAAAACGCCCCTCAAATATTACAATATTTGTTATTTAAAAAACGGTTAGTGTTTCGGGAAAACGCTTGGACAAGCATAATTTATTTGGTTTTTATACATATTTTGAAATTTTTTAAAAAATCATACAGGGTGTTCCAAAAAGTTGGGTAATTTCTTAACCATGATTCTGCTTAAACTGCTTGACGTAAAAAGCTTATTTTTAGCAAACGGATTTTTCGAAAGTCAAATTCCAAAGAGATAAAACTACCCATCAAATATTACCAAGTTATATAATAATATTGCCATATTATTTTTTTCTCATGCTGACATAAATGTGAGAAAATATTATCCAGTTTGTATGTTAATGGAAATTCTTGCTTTGCTTTATCATCACCATTACAAATGATTAATTCGACTCGAACGAAGTCGCTGGTACACGCTAGTACTGTATATAAATCTATCAACTTTAATTCATACTCAGTTTTTTATAAACTTTAGTATTTGGCTTATTGTTAATTGAAGGGTTGTTTTAACTTTACTACCTCCCTACTACTCTGTGCAGTAATTTCGTGAGTAACTTTTTCTAAAAGATTACTTTTCGATCAGAACCATGTCTCTTGAGCATTTTATTATACCATATTCTCCTAGAGGCTTATTGGTTTTAATAAATACTAGTAACACTAACAGAACTTAAGTAATAAGAATATTTAAAAAAATGTAACAACAATGTACAAACAAACAAAAAACTTGTAAGAAACACTTTAATATTTTGTATTGCCTTCCCCCTGCTGCTATAAACTGTCTGTAGACGTCGGTTGATAATGTTAATGAGGCTGCAAATATATATTTTGTTATGTTTTAGCATCATTCTTCTTCTTCTTTATTAACCCTCTGTATATAATAAGTCAAATACTAAAGTTTATGATAAACTGCAGAGTTCTCGAATTAAAGTTGATATATTTATATACAGTTTGTTAAATAAATCAAGGAAATAGAACTAAAAATAAAAATATTTAACATTTTAAACATGACGAAAAATTTTTCCGTCTTTTTTGCATCTGGGTGTATATGAATTTATAAAATATTAGTATCTAAGTTAATTTCAGTAAACTACGTATAGATTTTGATTTTGGAAAATGGGTATTGACTAAATTTAATACAGTATTTTTTACTTGAAAACAGATTGTTTGATTATGGTGGTGTTATTCTCAAAACAGTAATCTTTGTATATTATTAGAACAAAATACCACAATTTTATAAAACTGAAAAAAGATTATTCACTCTTGGTAATTTCATTTTATACTTACCACTTGTAAATATATTAAACAATACTAAAATTACACTATAATAATTGCATATATTCATTCTAGAAAGCGTATACTTAGAATGAAAACTGGCCTAGAAAGAAATATCGATTTCTAAAAATAATCGATGTGGACGTTATATATACTGGGCTTTTTGTTTATACGCTTCGTACAGCAGTGTATATAGTTATTTATGTTCAATTTAATGATGTATAAAACTTTTTGAGGAACATTTTAAATATAAAGACGGTCAATACCAGAACTGTATAGTCACTGGTAAATTATCTGTTAACTCTTCATGTATAATATACTTAATTATTATACTCTAAAAAGATGAGTTTAAATATATCCAAAAATAAGTCAAATAATATAGAAAAAACAAATACAGCAGACGAGTTAAATATACAGAAGTTATATTTAATTTAATGATGTATAAAAGTTTTTGAGGAACACTTTAAATATATAAAAACGGTCGATAGTGGATATAATCATTGTAAATTATTCTATAATATATATAATATGCATAAAATATATATTATACTTAATTATTATACTCAAAAATGATAAGTTTACACATCATTTAGCAAACGAGTTAAATACATGCTTTATTTTTGTACCTTCTAACAAAATTAAGGTTCTAAAAATATTTTTTAATTTGTCTATGTACAATATTTAAAAGCGAGAATATTTTTAGATGTGTAATTTTGTTTAAAAATCAATTTAAGTTAAATATATTTTATCTCCAGTAAAAGGCGCGAAACATAAATACTCTCATATGCAACCAGATATACATCGACAAATCTTGAAAATTCTAATATTGGGGGATAAGCGATTTAAGTTTATTATTTTTTAAGTAAAACAAAAATACTTATGTATTGACTCTTAATAAACTGTTGAACGAACAGGTGAATAAAATTAGCTATAATATGAAACTGAAAATTTCTTTTTGGGACATCTTTTTTACAATTGAAATTGAAAAACAGATATCCCAAAAAAGTGAGGGGATCAAAGTGATTTTTTTTTAAATGGAATACTAATTTGTTGTAGTTTATTGTACATAAGTATATAATTAAATTTGTGTTTTGATTCCAGAGATATAAATCTATTTCATAAAAAAATATACCTACTTATTATATTTTGCAGCCTATTCAAAAAGCTGAGCCTTTAAAAATGTTGCCAAATATTACGAAAACCAAACTATACTACATGTTAACTATAGTTGCGTGGGGGATCTGCGCTTACTTTATTAAAATTATTGTAATTGTAAATTGGTACAGGGTATTCAAAATATGATTTCAAAATTGTTAAAATTGTAATATTATTAAATTTATTAATTTATTATTGTGTATGTAAAATTTTTAAAAGCGGAAATATTTTGAGAAGCATTTTGAGAACAACCTGTATGTTACTTTTATTCGAAGTGTAGATTTAAAAATTGTATATTTTTTGGATGTAAACTGTTTTGAAATTTTTACCGGTTTTGCAGATATTCGGTGTATTCTATTCTACATGGCTCTTTCCTCTTTCAAACAGTGGGTAAAGTAGACGAAAAAATATTAGGTGGCGCCGGCGTTCATAAACATTTAAGTTCTACATATTTTAGAGCTAAGCCCACGGCTACACAGAAAGCGTTTGTAGCGGTTTGCGTTTTTTGCGTCTCAAGCGCTTTTTGCGATTTTACCGTTTTAAGTGCTTTTTTCGATTTGTGTCCATTAAAAACACGCAAAAGACGCGGCAGGTCTGCAGTTTCTATCAAGATGTCAATTAGTAACGTCGCAAGCTCGTGTATTCCCGGCCCGTCCAACAATCAATCCTGTGAGAAAGAGATAGGCGAGATCGGCGTCGTTGAAGCGTTGAAGAGACGAAGATAAAAGTTGCTGGGATTGAATTGTGGACGGGCCGGGGCATATATTCGGAGACAAACACAATCTACTGCTAGTGCCAGGGGTGTGTGTAAAAATAATAATTATTTTTTGCCATTTATTTTACGAATTTTAGTTTATATTATGTGTATAGTTTTTTTATGTTGCAGTGTTTAGTACTTGTTATAATTATAATATAATGTAATAAATAATTATAATTATATAATAGAATAGTAAATATTTCTAGTTGCTAATGCAATTTTAGGACATGATTTATGAAACACTTTGGAGTGAAACTTCTTTACGCGCGCTACGAGTAAAAATTCAAGGCCGTGACATACGAGCTAGTGAGACGGCCCTGACACATGAGCTCGTTGTAACGAAACGTGTTAACGCCTTAGAAATACGCAGTGACGCGACGTGTAGGTATTTGTGGAGCAGTCCACGTGTTTATCAAAAATATTGATATTTTAATACAAATTTTGTAAAAGTGAATCAAATTACTACGTGTAAAAAAAAACATTTGTTATACGTAAAAAACTATTTTTAATATTTTACGCCAATAAAACTGTTACACGTAAAAAACTATTTTTTACGCGTATAAAACAATTTGTTACTGGTTGAAAACTATTTTTTACGCGTATAAAACTATTTGTTACGTGTAAAAATATATTTGTTACGTGTAAAAATATATTTGTTACAGGTAAAAACTCTTTTTTTACGCGCCAAAAATTTATTGTTTCTGGTAGAAAACCTTTCTTACGCAAAAAAAATTACGTGTAAAAAAATATTTTTTACACGTAATAAGCTAATTTTTACGCTTCAAAAACTTATTCTTTCTGGTAAAAAAACTTTTTTACCCAAAAAAATAAATATTTTTTGCGTGTAAGAAACTATTTGTTACACGTAAAAAACTCATTTTTACGCGTCAAAAACTTATTGTTTCTGGTAAAAAAACTTTTTTACACCAAAAAAAATATTTCTTACGTGTAAAAAACTATTTGTTACGTGTAAAAATCTATTTGTAACACGTAAAAAAATAATGTTTACGCGTCAAAAACTTTCAAGTTCTTTCTATATTTTTATAAAAAAAACTTTTTTACAGAAAAAAAATATTTTTTACGTTTAAAAAACTATTTGTTACGCGTAACAAATAGTTTTTTACGCGTCAAAAGCTATTTGTTTCTGTTAAAAAAAACTTTTTTACGCAGAAAAAAAAACACTTTTTACGCATAAAAACTATTTTTTACACGTAAAATATTCCTTTAATTTATTACTGTTTCAACATTTCGAACTACATTATTTTTTCAAACATTTCCTTCAAATTTTTGAATTTAATAGAATCTTCCTAAACAGTAGATGTTCTCTATAATAATATTTTTACATAATATCCTAAAATGAAAAAAAAATGCATACTATTTAATTTGTTTTTATTGTATTATTAAATATGACGTCCACCTATGACGGGGTCTCATAGAAAACGCTAAAGACGCTACAGAAAACAAATCGATTTGTTTTCATTTGCGTTTTTTGCGAGACACGCCGAACGCTAGACGCTTTTGGTGGGGCCACTCCTATACATATAATCCTGTTATTTTGTTAAGACGCTTCACGCTAAAAACGCAAAAAACGCTTTCTGTGTGGCTGTGCACTAGGAGTGTGGAGCGTGTGGAGACTGTGGACAGATTCACCAGGGACGTGCACATGGGTTATCACTGGAATATTTTTCTAGAAGAAACATGTGCGCCACTGACTTTTTTCTTTTGTTAGCAAAATTGTGTAGGCCGTTTAATGGCGATTAAAAGTTGCATCTTGATATTTTGTCGATTTTGATCTCCTTGATGAGATAAACGCAATTTTATTAACTACAATTAACCGAATTATAATTAATTAATAAATTATTTTTTGCATCTAATTTATTATTATATTTTATTAAAATTTATAACACTGATATTCAGTGCTACTACCTCCAGCAAATTTTAATAAAATAATGGTATTTAAGGTAATTACAAAATACTTTCTTATATTTTTTAAATTTAACATCCTGTAACTTAAAAATCCCATATTTAATAGGAACTTTTTATCATATTTTTTGATGAGAGGACTCATTTAAGACTTTGAACAGAGGTATACAGGGTTCGGCAATAGTGCGTCGGGCATTTGTACCTCCTAAAATAAAAAAAACTTGGGAATTTTGTTTAAGTGCAAACCTAAAGCAAAGATTAAGGCTGATTCATGGTACACCGTGACGGGCCGGGGCCGTGCGACGGTGAAGGCACGGCCAAACATTGTCAAATGGTATTTATACCTATGCATTCATGTTAAGCCGAGCACGGGCCGAGCTTCTACTACCGTGTCTACTTTACGGAACGTGCCTGGCTCGGGTACGGCCCGGTGTACCATGAATCAGCCTTTACAGTTGCCTAAAGTATGTACTAGGATGTATTTCAGGAAAATGTTTTAACTTCTATAGGGCGGCTCTCAAAAAAGCGTGAGTGGATCGGGATGATTTTTTTTGGAACAGCCTGTATATTATTACATTTTCGGCTTCCTTAAATATAAAAAAAAGTAAATATATTTCGATAATTTCAGAGATATTAATAAATAAATAAAAATTATATATTTTTCAACCTTTCTTAAAAAAATTATTAATAATACATGAACTGTCCTGAAATCAAAACTATATTAGATATTTACTTTAGATGGTCTGTACTTACTTTTCTATAAATATGGAAATCGTAAATCATACAGGATGTTCAAAATTCTACGCCAAACTTTCTAAAATATAAAATAATTTTTCTTTGTTTTTTTTTAAATCGAACACCCTGTATATTATTTTTTCATTAGATGGAGAATTAAAAAATGAACATTTTTTGCATTTAGAGTATTTCAAAATTTTTAACGGTTTCGCAGATATTCCCGGTTTTGTATTTCATATGGCATTTTCCACAGTAAATTTTTATCAAAGCCACCCAATGATTTTTCTCTCAAAATCCAGTCCATTGAAAGCGCCATATGAAATAATACTGCGTATATCCGGAAAACTATTAAAAATTTTGAAATACTTTAAATACAAAAAATGTTAATTTTTTAATTCTCCATCAATTAAAAAAATAATACACAGTGTGTTCCATTTAAAATAACGAAGAAAAATGATTTTATATTTTTGAAAGTTTGGCCTAAAATATTGAACATCCTGTATGATTTACGATTACCATATTTATAGCAAAGTAAGAACAGACCCTCTAAAGTAAATATCTAATATAGTTTTGATTTCAGAACAGTTCTTGTATTTTTAATATTTCTTTTAAGAAGGGTTGAAAAATATATACTTTTGATTTATTTTTTAATATCTCTGAAACTATCGAAATAGATTTACTCATATCTTAGGATTATGTAAAGTGATCTGAAAGGAAGACAAAAATGCAATAATATACAGGGTGTTTCATTTAAAAAAAATCATCCCGATCCACTCACACTTTTTTGAGCCACTCTATAGAAGTTAAAATATTTTCCTGAAATACATCCTAGTACATATTTTAGGTTTGCACTTAAACAAAATTCCCAAGTTTTTTTATTTTAGGAGCTACAGATGCCCGACGCACTATTGCCGGACCCTGTATAACTGTTCAAAGTCTTAAATGAGTCCTCTCATCAATCAGTGATCTGAAAGGAAGACAAAAATGAAATAATATACAGGGTGTTCTATTTTAAAAAAAAATATCCAGATTCACTCATACTTTTTTGAGCCACCCTATAGAAGTTAAAATATTTTCCGGAAATACATCCTCGTACATACTTTAGGTTTGAAGCCCGACGCACTATTGCCGGACCCTGTATATTAACATTATTTTTTTTTAATGGTTGTCATTAGGATTTGGATTAAGGCAAATTAATAAAAATGCGTTTATTAATTCAAGGATACCGAAACCGACAAAATATCAAGATATAATAGATCGGCATTAAAATTAAACGACCTGGACAACTGTTCTAACAAAAGAAAAAAAGGCGCATAGTTTTTATAGAAAAATATTTCGTGAAAAATCGTATGCACGTCCCATTAAAATATATCGCTCTTCAGAGCTGTAAGCTCACGGAAAACTTAAGTCTTTTTTTGACTTAAATCATTTTAATTTATTTATTTATTTACTCGTGTCCAACTCAGTATATATAAAAACAATAAAAAACACAAAAATATATATAAAATATACAAAAGGGCTAAATTAATAAAAAAGGCACATCATACATTTAAAAAAAACGTAGTCAAACAATCAACATAAATAGGAACAATACTTGTACAGAATTAGACAAACTAAAAAAAAATATATATGCATACAGCAGTTATATACAGGATATCCAGTACTTGGTACACTCCAGAGCGTTGGTATTTCTCTCCGCGAGATCACTCTGATTGCATATGTTTGGGAGATTTGGGCATACGAGAAGATGTCTCATATTTTGTTCCTCTCCGCATTCACAGGGTACAGATCCGTCAAGGTAGCCCCACTGGTTCATGTTTGTCTTGCATCTGCCAACCTGAGTACGCAAACGGTTCAGACTTCTCCACACCGGCCATGCCTGTTCCGCACCAGGTGGTAGGCTCTCTTTTGGCCTTAGCGCAAATTCATTTGGTGTTGTTGAAGTTGCTGACCACAACTCCAGTCTCTTTGCGGATGTCGTGCTGCTATCAAGTGGCTGGACGGCAGAAAGAAAGCTTTTTCGGGATTTCAACCTGGGCCCAGCGGCGTGTTGTCCGAAGAGCGGGTGCCGGGTATCGGAAAGGGCTTGCTGTTTCTCTTTCATGCTGGAAAATTGTCTCCTTGTGTGGGGTGGAGCTATCCCGCTGAGGAGGTGTAGCTGTTGGGTCGATGTGGGTTTTAGGCATCCGGTGATTAGACGGCACGATTGGTTCAGCATCGGGTCTATCTTTTTGGCATGGCAGGAGCGTTCCCAAACTGGTGCGGCATATTCGGCAACATAATAGCAAAGTGCAAGAGCAGTAGTTCTTAGTGTGTGTGGATTAGCACCCCAGGTGGAGCTTGCCAGCTTTCCCAACAGGTTGTTCCTTATAGATATCTTGGCCCTAGTCTGCTCGACATGATGTTTAAATGACAGGGTCCGGTCTAATGTGACAACCTAAATAAGTTGGCCGTGGGCAAAATCTGAGTTGCTGGTCGTTCCAATTGACATTTATAGCTCTGTTAGATTCCCTGTTATTTAGATGGAACAAGCTAGTGACAGTCTTCGAGGCGTTTGGTTTAAGGCTATTATCTCTGTAATATTGGGTTAGCGCGGTCAGGTGTAATGTTAAATTATCTTCAACTTTACAGAAATCCTTATTTTGGCTAACTATTGCTAAATCATCTGCGTAAATGAAGCTTCTGATGTGTTGACTCAGCGGCTGGTCATTTGTATAGATATTGAAAAGAGTTGGAGCCAAAACACTCCCCTGTGGTAAGCCAATCTTTTGAATCCTCCAGCGGCTTCGATCACCACCCAATTCGACAAAAAAACGTCTGCTAGAAAGCAGGGTGCGGATGACTTGTACAAGTTGGTAGTCCTTCGTCATTTGACAAATCTTATACATCAGACGGTTGTGATTTACTGTGTCATATGCTGACGACAGGTCAACAAAGACAGCTCCGGAAGCCATTTTTGTTTGAAAGCCATTCTCAATGTGTTGTGTGAGGTTCAGAACTTGAGCAGTGCAGGTCTTTCCCGGTTTGAATCCCGCTTGCTCCGGTATTAGCTGATCGTCGATGTTAGGGCTGATACGATTTAATAACATTCTCTCAAACAGTTTATAGAGGCCTAAAATTTTTGAGGTCGTCTGGGGTCGTCCAAACTCTTTCCAGGTTTGGGGATAGCGATGACTTTGCTCTTCCTCCAGACTTTGGGGATCCTATTAATCACTTTAATCACTTAAATCATTTGATTTTCAGTCATATTTCGAAAACTGACTTAAGACTTAAAATTTAAGTTGTTTTCAAAATGACTTGTGATTGAACTCTTTATTCCAAAATAAAAAAAAGATTTAAGTCATTAAAAAAGATTTAAGTCTTTTTAGAAAATATTTAAGTCATTCAAAAAAATTAAATCTTTTTTTAATGACTTATTAAGTCATCTTATAAAAGACATAAAATTTTTAAAAGATTTAAGTCTTTTATAAAATTAACAAGGAAATATTTATTACGTGACGAGTTTAAAATTTATCAGTTGCACCTTATTTAAAAAAGCAAATAAACTAACACCTACACTGATGAATAAAATTAATAACAATAAGTAGTAATAAACTGTAAAAGTTCTAAGAAGCTTCTTTGACAAAAAGATGAATATTTTTTCTTCACGAATGGTTATCAAAAATATATTTGGTGTATGGTGTACAAATTAACAATTTTTTTTTACATTGTAATATAAATTTTTCCTCTCTTAAAATAATAGTAGAAAATTGGTTCAGAACTAACTGGCTTAAGTTCCATAAACATTACATTTTCTTACTTTTAAAGCACAAAAACCTGTATTAATTTAAAATTACTTTAAAACAAATAATAGAAAATGCACGGAAAAATAATTTCAGTGCCATAACGAATGATTATTAAATACAAAAATCAAAATCATTAAATTTACGATTTCTTGTCCGACCATGGCAACGTCGCACTTTCAAATCAGAAACGCGGGTCCTCAAACGCGCGCTTCTTCGCCGGCCGTCATTCGTTTGCCGGTTCGCGTGCGTTGAATAACTACGTCACTTTTTATCCACATCACGTACTTCTACGCGTTTCGTACACGCAAAAACTTTTTTTAAAAATGCATTACAATAAACCTGACGCAATCTATTAAGTAACGATGCTAGTGTCGCACATCGATTTAATTAACCAAGTGAAACTCGTTAAAAAGTAGAAATTCGGTGATAATCAACAGGTTGCTATCGTATTTTGTTTTGAAGTGAAACTGAAGTGCTATGAGTGTTTTCGGTTTCGGAAATGAAGTGAATTACACCTCCTCAATGTTTCTTCCATCCTTGTGACCGTCCCTTGTGATGTCTTTGGTTGATTCAGTCTATCCGGATCTCCGTAATCATGCCGTTCGTCCAGAGAGTTGTCGAGCCCAGGTTGTTGTCCAGGGTGCAGCTCTTCAACGAGGACGGTTCTGTGCGCGTAAACGATGGCGAGTTGGAGGCGGTGACCAATTTCACCCTGTGCAGCGCTCTGAAACAATTGGCCTCGTTGTCCCTGGTCGCGGACGATATCTTCAAGGAGCTGGGAGACCAGCTGAAGCTCATCTACGGGAGGTGCGAGAAGGTGAAGGTGAAGCTGGTCGTATTGGGGGATAAAGTGGAGAAGTTCGATCCCAAGAAGGTGCCAGTGCGTAAGTAGATTTTTAATTTCATTTACAAATTTCATGCAAAAGTATACTCGTACATGGCGCTGATGTTAAAAAATAGTGTATCAAATTTCAGTGGGTAAAAAAAAGAAATAGTTCCTATAAACATATGCCTGGATGATACCTCCTGAGAAAGTTACGACCCTTGCAAGCTTTTATAGCCCTTATAGCCCTCGCTTGGAATATTTCTTGAACATTTTTAGCGCCCCTCTGGTAACTGGTTTCGAACTAAACGAAGAGTAGGTAGGCGCATTTCTTACTTAAAAAATCCTACCTTTTGATATGAAAAGCTGTGTTAAAAGTATGTTGAAATTACTGTTATTATGTTCAATTAAGATAAAAACGATTTTGTGGGAAACTACCCTCTAATGAAACGTACCCTGTCAGAACTATTACAGATTTTTACATCACCATTCGCTTTGGCATTAAAATAATGTATGTAAAAATAGGAAACTTCAAGGAAAATGGTTTACCCAGGTTTACCAATATTTTTAAAAAGATATAAAATACCGGGTGCGTCTCCAAAGTGGCTCACCCCTATTACTTTTTATTTTTTTCAGATAAAAAAACGAGCTTTGGAATGTTGGTATATGACATAAATTAGGACGGATTGACGTATTCAATTGTTTTTGGTCACTTCCTGTTTCACCGGAAATGACTACAACTTTTGATTTTTAAATGACATCCTTAGTATATTTCTACTTTATTCGATAGAATATGACACTTTGAATAAAATGACATATCATATGTTCACTTTTAACATTTTGGCTTACAAAACAATCGTATTTTAAATTTCAATTTAAGCCCAGTTCATGCACTTGCGAAATGCGTTCTGTTTGCGTTATTGCAATTGGTGGCCTTCAAGGTCTTCCTTGAAGGTGGCCAATCAGAACGAAAATAGAACGCATTTCGCAATTCATAAATCGCAATTCGCAAGTGCATGAACTAGGCTTTAGAGTGCCATGGTTATGGCAAAAACATTAATTTTTAATCAAGGAGCCTTGGAAAAGTATATTAGTGTTTTTCGTGTATTGTCCTGGCCGGTTAAAAGATGCCTAAATCGTTTTTTTAAACATATCTCAATTTTTTCAAATGGAACCAGGGTGGTTCATTAGCATATTTGAAAAAGCATTTTTTACGAATAATTTGGTACCACACACTTGGTACTTCGTATTCAGAGTGATTTTCTATCGAATAGAGTAAAAATATATCAAAGATGCCATTTAAAAATCAAAAGTTGTAATCATTTCCGGTAAAATAGGAAGTAACCAAAAACAATTGAATACGTCAATTAATCCTAATCATAGAATAATGTCTTTGATCCTAATTTATGTCATATACTAACATACTAAATCTCGTTTTTTTATTTGAAAAAATAAAAATATTTTAATACATATTCAAAACAAATAATGGTATTTAAGATAATTACAGATTACCTATTTTTTTAAAGTTTTAACATCCCTTGTAACTTAAAAACTGTGCATTTCCGCTTCCGCTCTCATATTTATAAGAACTTTTTTCATATTTTTTGATGAGGAATCAATATGTACTTATTTAAGACTTTGGCCAGTTAATGACATTACATTTTTTTAATGGTTGTCATTAGACTTGGATTAAGGCAAATTAATAAAATTGCGTTTATTTTGTCAAGGATACCGAAATCGACAAAATACCAAGAATCGGCATTAAACAACCTAGATTGTGCTAACACAAGAAACAAGAAAAAAAAGTCAGTGGCGCATAGATTTGCCATTTAAAAATCAAAAGTTGTAATCATCTCCGGTAAAACAGGAAGTAACCAAAAACAATTGAATACGTCAATCGATACGTCAATTTTAGTAATTTTATCTACGTTTTCAACTTCCTCTGGAAGCATCTTATGGCATATGTTTATAGAAACTCTTTCTTTTCTTTTTATTTGTACTAGGTAGATATCATCCAAAGTATAAACCACTTCATAAATTTATTATAGTTCCGGTTTTCTCAGACTCAACTTCAAACCCAGCATAATCCCTTGACATATACGTAAATTACAGAAAACATCTATTTTATTTATATAGAAGTTAAAACAAAAAATCTACACAAAATTAAAAAAGGTAAATCTGCATCAGTCTGGAAAAAGTCAATATAATTTCGTTTTAAAACCAAACCGCAGAATGAAAAAAAAACATACCTATTGCAAAGTATAAGAAGTATATTCTGTTTAAATCGGTGGTGTTAAACACTAACTAACACTGAAAAATATTTGAACACGATTCTGAACACAAATTTGAAATGGACAGTCTGTCATACTCTGTCCAGGCAGAGTATGTGAAGAAGAAGCATGAAGAACTTCTGTGAAAGAAAGTCTTTATTATAGTCCAAAAGTTAAGATTATTGAACTCCTAAATAATGAGTTATATCTGCCCCAGTGGCTGAGGAGGCCAAAACCATTTGAGTTGGTGTAGTGTGCACAGGTACATAAAAATCTAAAGTGCTGAGTTCGGAGTACCTTTCGTTGTGTAGAGTTCGGATAAATTCAAAGATAAACTGATAAATCTTGCTTGGTACAAGATGGTTTCGGACCTTTAGATGTGTATTTTATTTTGGTGTATAGAGTTTGATATAGTATATGTTTAGTTAGCAATTACACATAACATAACTATGATTCACAAAGGATTGTAAACATAGACTTAAAATAAAATATAGACTGAGCATCTCATTCATAAATAGCTGGAACATGCGGTCAGACACTGTCTTGTTATTGTTGTGTTATTGTTATAATTGCAGTTTCCAAAAAATAAAGTGAAACAAACGAATTTATCGAGGAATTTATTGAATAGTGTCAGGAATATTGTGTGTCTTTTAAATTGGATATAGAAGTTACAGAAGAGAGATAGTATGTGTAACATAAAACTAAACGATTTACGTATTAATCGTTTAAGATTTTAATTGAAGAAGAAATTATTATCCAGTTATCCTTCATTCTTCTTCGTTTAGTGGAAAACGCTGAAATGATAGAATGTAATGAGGAAAAGTTTAATAAAGGTAATACAATAAGTGTTTTCTGAGATAATAGGATATCATAGGGAGTAATAAAGTACTGTATGAGAGTAATAAAAATGTAATGAGGAAAAGTTTAATAAAGGTAGTACAATAAGTGTTTTCTGAGATAATAGGATATCATAGAGAGTAATAAAATACTCCTACTATTATAAGAAGTGATATGCGTCAAATCTTGAAGATCTGACTGTGGTCTGATTAATAGCATCAAATTTAGGGTACCAAAGATTAGGTTGAGAGTGAGTGAGTTTAATCTTTTTTATATTGAGGGTGGAAGCCCCTCGCCATTCACGTTTATGCTCACCATTTGTAATGATATGTTGTCTGGGAACACAATTCCCGATATGTTTAGCATTAAGTTTGGCGAACTTAGGCGCATCTTGTTGGTGCATCAGGAGACAAATCTGGTGTGATAGGTTTCATTGTTTTTTTTTTTCATTGTTTTTTTTATTGCACATTTTAAATGTTATGTACTTTGTTACTTATTTACTTTATTTATTATTATATATGTTTTATTTATATTATTTTTATGTACTTTTGTAGTACATGTCTAGTTTTAAGTAATTGTAATTGTATTTGTTTTCTTTAGGCCTTTGCATGTAGCTACCTCAATAAGTGTTTGTAATGAGTAAATAAAATAAAAATAAAAAAAAAGTTAAAAAAGCATTTTTTTGCTTTTGAATTCGACTCGATTTCAACAACTGAATTTATTTTAACATGAATAAATTAAGAAATATAACACTCTAGCAACAGAAAGAGCAATAGAACATTGAAAGCACAGTTAAAAGCATAACGATATTTTTAGGTAGGTACTTAATGTTATTTGTTTGTTCAACTCAGAAAGAACTGGGGAAAAAACCTATTGATACTTCTTAAATTTGTTCAATATCTGTAAGTATATTTAACATACAAAAAATTATATTAGAAACATTATCTATCATAACTTCTTCATAATGCTCTCAAATCCTCAAACCGGAAATTAGTTATTCACATACTAGACAAATTTAGGTTGTAGATTTTTCAACGTTTTCTGTTATAGCTGTAAAATTTTCAGCTATGCATATTTGCTATTAACGATAAATAACATAGTTTTATTTATTTTTAAGATATTCGATAGAGTTCTTTATTTTGTCTTTTACCACATACGTTAGAAGTTAAGTAACATTCCAGCTAGAAACCAGCTTTTTAATAGATTCGCAGAAACCAACCTAACAGCCCAGACAATAGAATTCTGTTCAAGTTCGTTAAATTGTATTGCGTGAAAAGATCTTCTCGCCGTTCTTAATAGGTTTTGACGGGTTTTCCTTATGGTGCAAATGGACTTTACCTGGCGATGTTTGGCTTAGGCCTGTTTCAAAAGCCCGGTTAAAAACTTCCGGTAGTTCTTTACCTCTTGAAAGTATTTTCGAAGTGTATTAATAGTTTTAGTGGTGGGATATTTTTCTATGCATTAGTTTTCATGCTTGAAATTTATGATATGACTATGGGTTTGATATTTTTTGGATTGTACTTTTTCTAAATGGTTCCCGGTGGCGTAGAGGTACAGGCTGTCGTCTACCAATCTCAAGGTAGTGGGTTCGATTCCCACACCCGGCATTGCATCAGCCGACTATTTAAAAAAAAAATAGTTTGGGTACCTAGGTCGACTCAGCCTTAAATGAGTACTTGGGATTCACACTCCTGAGGTAATAATAGGCTGTTGAAGCGTAGTGCTATAGCCACATTACCTCCTTGTATACCAACGGCTCTAGTATGGCAAGCTGTACCTTGCTACTCCCAAGGCGTTAAACGCTATATACGGGAGCTATTATTATTATTATTATTACTTTTTCTAAATATAATTTCTAGTTTGGTCATTATTTTATTATTCTATATTTTGGCGGCATTAGGCGGCTCTCGATTAGCACTAAATATCAAAGCAATTTGAATTAATATATTTTTTA